AGGCACTTGAAATGATAAATTGATACTTACAATTTCTTTCTCCTCGAAGCTGATGTATTTTGTGGTACGGGGTTTGTACCTCAGCGGAAGTCCGTCCAGTTTGTCTTCGAGCAGACGACATTTTTCAACCCGACTCCACTGGGGTCGAAATAGCGGTCTTGGGTTTGTGGTCTCAACTTCCGATAGTGTCTCTTTCTGGAGGAATGGTAGAAAAACTCGTGCCGTGGCTAAGATCCCAACGTTATATACTATATCTTGGCTTGATCCGGTCTCCATTCGAGTTGATTTTTGTGAAGTAGATGGCCGGGACGCCGGGATTGTCACATGACCTGGCAAGAACACCACTGCCGTAGCTACGACCCCTTCGTAATATGCGATGAAGGGGAGTCTCGCCAGATACCGTGGGTTTGAAGGAGCGCTCACCAAAGATTCGACCTCACTTGGGACCATTGTGGCTAACATTGCTTGGTTGTAGGCTACAGACAGATTGTGTTCACGCTTGAGATACAGCCAGGTTCAGAAGACTTGAGAGTTGCTCCTCCAGAAAGTCTATATAATCAAGCTCCAATGTACGTGCCATGGACAGGAACTCTTCGTTGTATGTCATAGATGCACTTTCCATACTTTTGAATCCGACTAGGGGCACATGTCGTAATGGCTGAGGCTTTAGTTGTGCATTAACTGGCATTAATACACGTGCAGAGGCAGCCCTTCGTTCGTAAATCGCGACATACGAGCATCTCAGGAGTCCTGCTTTCATTCCGTTGCTTTGAGTCAGGGCATATGCTTGTTCTACAGCTCCTGGTAAGAATATCTGAGTTGTGGCAACCATCCCGTCGTAAAAGGCAACAAATGGTCCTACATTCTTTCTTGAGTTTGCGACGAAGGGGAGTCCTTTCTTGTGTCCAGCGAGATACCGTGGGTTTGCGGGAGGGCGTACCAGAGATTCGACCTCAAGTGGGCCCATTGTGACAACCATCGCTTGGTTGTAGGCTGCAGATAGACTGTGTTCACGCTTGAGTAGAGCCAGGTTCAGAAGGCTTGAGACTTGGTCCTCCAGAAAGTCAGTATAATCAAGCACCAATGTACGTGCCATGGACAGGAACTCTTCGTTGCATAGACTGCATAGACTTTCCATATTCTTGAATCCTTGCAGCTGCACGTGTCGTAACGGCTGAGGCTTCAGGTGTTGTACAATACCTGGCATGATTGCAGTTGTCCTGGCTGCGCTCCTTTGGTTGAATGTTACATGGAGACTTTCCAGTTCTTCCCGATTCCATGCGTTGGTTGACTTCAGATTCACCATTCCTGGTAAGAATATTACGGCGTTGGATACGATGCCATCGAAAAATGCGACAAACGAACTTTCCGGAGCCTTACTCCCAAACTTGAGTGAAGGCAATGTCTTGGTTTCGACGATTTCAATCTTCATCGTGAGATGCGAGAGAGAACGTCTTGTTGGCAGAAAGACCGCATCAACAATGGCGTGACGTCACAAACGTCTCCAAGTGTGGTCCATCTCGTATCAATCCCGTCACACGAGGTTGTAAATGTTGTTCATAAATGTGGCTTTGGAACATCAACGAATTTACGCCCTAGATACTGTCACGAAAATTTCGTTACTATGTACACGAAGCATTATCATCAATGTTATGTTCTAAGGTAGTAAAAGTTTCATAAAGCGAGAAGTGTATGACCGCATAAAGCTATGACGTCACAATGCAATACGCCGCAATCGCTGGCTTGCAATGACGTCATTTCACAAGCTACGCTCTCCAATCCGAGTCCCATGCTAAGTCATCACTTGTCGGTGTATGCTCGAGCTAATCTAATTGTTTGACACATTCCTGATTCTGCGCTCTATCAGTGAATGAATAAGGCCCGGCTGACCGCCCGAGACGGGCTAGATTTCTGAAGGACGGTCTAAATTTACAGCTAGCTAGTCCGATGGTCTGGTAAAAAATTTAGACCCATACATCTGAGTAAATTCACAATATCTGTCTTTATACAGTTTTACTGTGTATTTTATATTATTGCGATGGGGGAACGGTTTCCCAAGAAACTTATGATAGCTTTCCATTCCCAGTTTCCCAACGATTGTCTCAGTTACTAACACCAATGAAAACGTGATACCTGCCAATTTCATGATAAAAAAACTGCGCCCACCCTTATGAAGGGACTCAGCTCATATCGGCTATTGAACAGGCACCCAGAATCCCATCGAAAGGCGTAGAGTCGACTCACGGGAACTCGTGTCCCGCTGCAAGGCTTGCTCAGGTGGTTTGCTCGTGTTTTTAGTCACTGGTTGCCTGGTGTTGACTGTTCGATACACGCTGCCATGATATTGGTGGGGAATCTCCGACTCTTGTGCAATGTCTTAATATGGGAGTGAGCGAGTTGGTATGGTTTTACGCTGCTTAATCAATATTCCAGCAATATCACGTCGGGGGACACCAGAAATGGGCTTTACACATTGTACCCATATGGAGATTTGAACCCAGGCCTTCGTCGTGACGAGCGAACGCTTTAAACACTAGGCTACCCCCACCACCCGTCTTAATGGACGAGCAAAGATATGTCTTTCAAACATGTTCGTCTATTGTTGATTATTACTGAAAAAGGGGCGGTGGCGATCCTCGCCCATGACTACAAGCGGACTGTTTCAACTTGGCTCCGTCAGTTGGGTTTAATACACTTCACACATTATTTCAGCTTAATGTGGGAACAGGGTGTTGCAGGTCCTCTTGATACAGGAAGTTCTGACAAACCAAGGTTTAAAATCAACACGAATTTGAGATTGGAACAAATGAGTTGGGTTTGCATACCATAATTTATGGCAAGGGGGTGTGAAGCATGTACACTGTGAATGACTCCCACCCCCTATAAAATGTACGTACTGACGTAAAAAGTAAGTGAACACACACACACACACACACACAATGACCCCCTTCCCATAAACCCACGAAATGAAGCTGACGAACCTGGAAACCTCAGGGCGAACTAGAATTTGTATCAGTCGAGACTGGAACTTGGGTCTTAGAGGTGTAACCATGCAGAACAAACACTGCACATAAGATACTGTTTTACCATATTCATTAGAAGAAAACGACTGTTGACATATACAGGTATGTTTGGACAAATTTGCTCACTTGCCATCTAGTTTATAGCCTTGTTATTTTCTGTCCCGTTGTTCTCAAGATTCTAATCACTATACAGTACAACCAGAAATTATTGAGACTTTAAAGATTGTAATTTTTATTTTTTTTTCACTCATTACTCACGTATTAAATGTGAATATTAGTAGAACATAACTCCAGATTCAAAGACAGGTGAACAGTTAATATTTTGTCAAGTCACCATGGGCAGCAATGCAGGCTTCAATGCGGCGGGGCATACTACTGATCAAAGAAGTTAGAAAGACGTGGTCCATGCTGTCCCAATATCGGACCACCTCTTCTTTCATTTCAGCAATATTTGTCAGATTTTTCTTATTGACACATTCCTTCATAAGTCCCCAAACATTTTCTATTGGATTTAGGTCAGGGCTATAGCTTGGCCAATCTAATAATGTCATATTTTGGGTCCGAAACCAGGCCTGTGAATGCTTTGAACGATGTTTTTTGGGTCGTTGTCCTGCTGGAAAATCCAAAAATGTCCATAGAACACGTGAGCAGATGGAAGTAAATGTCCCTCGAGAATATCTGTGTACCGCTCACTGTTCATATTCCCTTCAAATACACAGAGGGGCGTTGCCCCTAACACAGATATGCCACCCCACACGTTAAATTTCGGACTGTACTTTGGGCGCTGATACAAAGGTTTTTCAGTTTGTTTGGTCCAGAATTTCAGTGTATTAGGAAACAGCCACACAGAACTTCCATCTGAGAAAATCACATTGTCCCAGTTAAAATTTCTATGCTGTAAGCACCAGTTCAACCTTCGCTCCTTTTGTTCAGGTTTCATGATCGGTGATGGAATTCCTCGACTTTTCTGCCAACCCATTGCATGCAGCTCGGTTCTAATTGTCTCCTTACACACAGCCACAGTTCCTCTATTAATCATATCCAGCCTTAAGTTTTCTAAACTCCCTCGTTTGTTTTTAGAAACAAGAATACCAAGCTGCCTCCTGTCATCGACAGTCAATTTTCTGGGCCTACCTGCGCCTCCCTGGTGCTCAATGATGCCATATCCATTTGCAATATTTTTCAAAACACGATAAACAGTGGACAAAGGGATGCCTGTTCTACTTGAAATCACTTTAGCTGATCTGATGTCCTTGTTATAATACTCTAAAATCAACTTCCTCTTCTCTAAATCATCCATACTGAGGATCACTGAAAATGTCGTCTGCTAGCAAGTAAACAAAGGGGGATAACTCTTCACAAACTAATGAAAAAGGATTACCGGAGTTCTCTCTTGAATGAAACCAAGCACTTGATAGCTAGTCAAGGTTGTTTTTACTAGAAATCCAATTAAACATATTCCTAAAATTCTCAATAATTTCTGGTCATACTATAACAGTTAGCCCAGAGATAACAAACCCAAAATGTTGCAAATAGTAGTTTCAAGCATCAAAATTAGTAGTTTGACCAAAAAATTAGTAGTCAACTAAATGATGGATTCTGAGAAAGATAATAATTATCAGCATTACCTTTCGTCTTGTCTGTTTTTGGCGAAAACGTATTTAATCAACAAAAATATAAGTTTTTGGGTCTATATATCCGAATTTTAACGAATTCGTAGAATTTCTCATGTAATCGTATTGCCGTAGTTTCAGGCTAAAATTCGTAGGGACTACGATAAAATCGTAGAGCTTGGCATCTGTGGTCAGCCCATGAATAATCATTGCATATCATTCTGCTTAAAGTATTAAGCTTGATCCCTTGATGTTCCTCATACACTGAACTAACAGTTGATCTTGCATCAGCACCAGTTGGGCTGTATGTTAGGAGTCCACAGCCCTTGTAGATGAGAGCACAACGAAAACAGGAAGGCAAGGACTGAGTAGTAAGTTTATTGAACACCTTGATGTCAGGTGAGTGTGAGACAAGTGTGAGATCAAACAAAGAATGAATGTGAAGGTGTGCATGTAAAGAGTAGTGATGTGTTGAGATGTCACACAGGGGCAGATCAAGAGGTTTAGGTGGGGACTGAGAACTAGTAAGTGAGTATAGTTTGACATCACTTTTAGCAATATTCCAGCAATATAACGGCAGGGACACCAGAAATGGGCTTCACACATTGTACCAACGTGGGGAATTGAACCCGGGTCTTAAGCATGACGAACAGCTACTTTAACAATTAGGCTACCCCACAAAGCCCTGAGAACTAGTAGAGGCATATGAAAATATATTTGGGAGTAAAAAATAATTATGATTTCATTACTTTTACAGACCTTCTTGCATAGTGACAAGAAATTTTAGAAACTCTGAGGATAGCAACACCCTGACAGTCCAATAAACTAAAAGGACGCCACCGTGAAATATCCTTGATCTGTCTGTTGTGTTTGTGAGATGTACAGATGTATTGAAAGTGATGACAGAGATAACTCATGAAATAAGTACAAAGTGCAAGATTTAGTTGAAATCAGTCAACATAAACAATGGCATTATCACGATGATATATATTATATAATTTCTTACAAGCTGACAAGCATGCACCATGAATGAAGAGCCTGGAACCAAACTCTAGTGAACGAGTGCATTTTGTTTTACACCACCACAGTCAGCAATATTGCAGCTACATCAAGGAAGTTGAGCAACAGACCATCTATTGTTACAAAAGTCCAACAATCAGCCAGGTCACATATAACCCTGATTTTTAATCATTCGTATATGGGGTATAGAGGACCTTCACCATAAGTCTCATCTGATGCACAGTTCACTGCGACGTTGGACACTAATGATGCTAACCAAGTGAAACATCAGATGCACCAACTTCTGATGGTCACAAAGGCAATATTTCAATTCTACCACCATCACTATTGAAGCAAACAATCTTATTCATAAAGTCTTATGACATCAACTAGAAACAGTGTTCTTCTGACGTTTGTTGAATTGAAACTACAACCTAAACCTGCCAATGTCATTATGAGCCATACGAGACACCAAATACAGAGAACATGATAAATAATGTACATACAATCGAAAGACATGAACAAATCTCAGAAACCTCTACTCTCCATCCAAAACCTTGAGTGTTTTCGGTTTCCCGACGAAGCCGTCTTTTTTCTCAAATTGCACAATAGCTTTCACAAGCTGGTGTAAACTTATGCAACTTGCATACATTTGTTGCATCTAATGATAACGAAGTTATTATCTTCATTGAAAATCCTTTGAAATTGATTTACAGAAACCATTTTTCTCTGGCTGATGAATTGTGCATATTTTAGTATTGACATGACAATGAGCACATGAATGCAAAACAGAAAAATCCCAACCATATTGCAAACATAATGATCAACCAATCTGTTCATGAACAGCAATATCACACACAAAATAGCACTTGAGACAGCACTTAGGTCAATAAACAGCACTAAATGGTTAGGACACTCAGTTCATCAAATCATACTGAAAGGCAAAATGATACTTATAAGAGTAAATGCTCTCAGTTCACATGCCTAGTTACAGTAAATGTATTGCTAACCATTGACTTTCAGTTTCCTTGTCCTTGTCATTACATGAACAAATAGACATGTTTGATTTTCTTCACGCAGTGTTGGGCTTTGAAACTGAAATGTCCACAAACCAAATATTCTTCAATAAAATATAACATTTTAGTTTATACAGCAAATGCAATTACTACAAAAATGACATTGACAAAAGTAATGCATTTACCACATGTTATCAAAACACCAGCCCACCAGTATATATCCTCTCCCAGCATTTGGTGTGATGTGTCAATAAACTCCACATCAGAATAGCAATCAGGGAAGATGTATAACCTGATTTATTTTGTCTCTGCAGTTAGCATTTCACATAGTGCAGAAATATGATTCACTGTTTGCCAGTCTGTATTTAGCTTCATGATAGGTCTTGATACAAGCTGAAGACCTCATGTACGATGTACCATGAAGTAAAACGCTTGCTCTATTTCCCAAAAGATGCATTAATACAAAAAGAATTCATGCAGGAATCACTTCATGGCATCCATGAGTAAAAATGTAGTCCCTTAATGGTGGAGACAGTTCTGTGTTCGATAAAATACTGTCTGCTTCCTGAAATCACGAGCCTCCTCCAACTTGACTTATCAGTGTGTCGCACAGGTCTGTCAGCTCCGCTATTTCCCTGCCCTGAAACAAGTGAATACATGAACTGGGATGACATTCAGCACTGTTTAGGGGCTGAACAGGAAGAGGGGGGTGACATTTATAGGCTGAAACATTGGCAGTTGGTTTCAGATCAGGAGGGGAGACATTTATAGGCTGAAACATTTGCAGTTGGTTTCAGATCAGGAAGAGGGGGATGACATTTATAGGCTGAAACATGAGCAGTCAGGTTCAGATCAGGAAGAGGGGGGATGACATTTATAGGCTGAAACATGAGCAGTCAGGTTCAGATCAGGAAGAGGGGGATGACATTCAAGGGCTGAAACATGAGCAGTCAGGTTCAGATCAGGAAGAGTGGGATGACATTTATAGGCTGAAACATGAGCAGTCAGGTTCAGATCAGGAAGAGGGGGATGACATTTATAGGCTGAAACATGAGCAGTCAGGTTCAGATCAGGAAGAGGGGGATGACATTTATAGGCTGAAACATTGGCAGTTGGTTTCAGATCAGGAGGGGAGACATTTATAGGCTGAAACATTGGCAGTTGGTTTCAGATCAGGAAGAGGGGGATGACATTTATAGGCTGAAACATTGGCAGTTGGTTTCAGATCAGGAAGAGGGGGATGACATTTATAGGCTGAAACATGAGCAGTCAGGTTCAGATCAGGAAGAGGGGGATGACATTTATAGGCTGAAACATTGGCAGTTGGTTTCAGATCAGGAGGGGAGACATTTATAGGCTGAAACATTGGCAGTTGGTTTCAGATCAGGAAGAGGGGGATGACATTTATAGGCTGAAACATTGGCAGTTGGTTTCAGATCAGGAAGAGGGGGATGACATTTATAGGCTGAAACATGAGCAGTCAGGTTCAGATCAGGAAGAGGGGGATGACATTTATAGGCTGAAACATTGGCAGTTGGTTTCAGATCAGGAGGGGAGACATTTATAGGCTGAAACATTGGCAGTTGGTTTCAGATCAGGAAGAGGGGGATGACATTTATAGGCTGAAACATTGGCAGTTGGTTTCAGATCAGGAAGAGGGGGATGACATTTATAGGCTGAAACATGAGCAGTCAGGTTCAGATCAGGAAGAGGGGGATGACATTTATAGGCTGAAACATTGGCAGTTGGTTTCAGATCAGGAGGGGAGACAATTAGGGGCTGAAACCTTGGCAGTCAGGTTACTATCAGGAGGGGAGACATTTAGGGGCTGAAACATTGGCAGTTAGGTTCATATCAGGAGGGGAGACATTTAGGGGCTGAAACATTGGCAGTCGGGTTCATATCAGGAGGGGAGACATTTAGGGGCTGAAACATTGGCAGTCAGGTTCATATCAGGAGGGAGACATTTAGGGGCTGAAACACTGGCATTCAGGTTCATATCAGGAGGGAGACATTTAGGGGCTGAAACACTGGCATTCAGGTTCATATCAGGAGGGAGACATTTAGGGGCTGAAACATTGGCAGTTGGGTTCATATCAGGAGGGAGACATTTAGGGGCTGAAACATTGGCAGTTGGGTTCATATCAGGAGGGGAGACATTTAGGGCCTGACTCCAGGCTGAATACTAGCCTCTGAACACTTCTGTACAAATCAATGTATGAAGCTTTCATGGACCTCTCTATTGTAATTAATGTGGTAGGCATGTGATTAGAGGATGACAAAAGTGTATGAGGGAAACTGCAAAAGCCAGAATTTTTACTTAAGGTGGAAATATCACAAGGATGTGAAGAAATGTGGCTGAGTAAAAATATATTACCTTCTGCTCCAGTGTTTTCTCCAGACCTTGTGAATGAAGTACACTCTTCTTGAGAGCGGCCTGTAGTTTGATGTTCTCAGCATTGCTACTTGACTTCTCTTTCTCTCTCTCTTCACGGGCTCTGCAAAAATACATTGTACATTATAATGATGCCCAATTTCAACATGAGAGGAAAGTGAAAAAATAAAAAATGAGTACACTGATGCTGGTTTTAGGAACAGTTCAGAAACATTTGAGAATCACCACATTACCAGTGCAAGGAATAAGGGATTATATGGTGAAAGCTTTGAGCCATGAGTGAAGGACTTACAGTATTTCTTCACCATTAACAAGTAATCCTTTATTCCTCACAACTTCAGTCTTCACAATACATCATTCATTGTCAATGCCATTTTAAGAAAGAACATTAACAAAAACATATGACATGTCAACACAAGGGGAAACATCAGACCTGTTGTTAAAATGATACTATCAGTTAGTATTTTGTTTTTAATGGCTTAAAATGTTTAAAGTACATCACATAAAACACTGATGTAGGGTATTTTAACCTAAATACTAATGATTCTTTGATTTATTAAAGTATGTCCTCAAAGCACCAAAACCTGTAAAAAAACATGTCATTGTCACTTCAACCTGTCATTCACACATAAAATTTCGAACCCTAAAACATTCTATATATTTAACTGTGTCAGAGACAGTCATACAAAGCCTTGATCATTTTCTACAATACTGAATGTAGTAAAAGACTCACTTTGATGAAAATGAAGACTGAAAGATTTAAGAGAGGGAGTGATTGAGGTTGGTTTAATGCTGCTAAGAACATTTAGACCACAACATTTCAGCTGGTGGCAGACTTGCCTACCCCCTTTTAAAGAAAATAGTAAGATCAGCTAAAAAAATAGTAAGGCAGGTGGATTTGATAGTAAGGCATGTTAATGTCAAGAAATAAAGGGAAAACATAGCTGGTTAAAATCTTAATAAAGTGTTTAATAGTCAAATGTGGTGCCGATCTAATTAACATTTTTTAAAGTCTTTCACTTTGAAATAAACTTGACCAGCACTGTAAGATGTAAAGACTATTTATTTATAATGTTTATGATGCGACTTCTGTTTTTCAGTACTTTAAGTACCGTAAATAGCATGGGCATGCCTATATCTAGTATTCAACCATTAATTTGAAGAAGTCGTAAAGAATTTCAGTATGATCGTAAGGTCGTAATTTAGCACTAAAAATAGAAAGCCTTACGCTAAAATCGTAAGGATAGGCAAGTCTGTGGTGGGGACAGGTTGGGCTGGACAAAGTGATATAATATAGACTGGAGACGTTTACTACTTGTGTGAAATAAACAATCCAGGGCATTGTGCTGACAGACATAGAACCATAATAAAGAACAAAGCGGTGACACGAACTGTTTTATCTTCGTCTCCGCTTGAGTTTTCAGCTTGTTCATTGCTTCATCCTGCTGTTGCATCTTCGCAATGAGCGACTTGTTAGTCTTCTTCAATGTCTCTTCATTCTAACAAACAGCAAGAATTATCTCCTTTTGGAAAACAGTGTAATAAATAACCTTAAAAATTCACAGGATATTTTCACATTATACTTCATTTGCATGCAAAAAAGGAGACTCCATGAAATTAGCAGTGCAATATATCTCCCAGATTGGAGAATTTGAAGATCTGCACTATGTGTAACTTTACCCTGAAGTGATTCAGTACGATTGTTATTTTAAGTACTATATCAGGAAAACAACACACATTGTAAACGTGGATAGTATCAAACCCATGACTTCCACAGAAGTGAATGCCTTTACCACTAGGCTACCTCACTTCCTTGTTTATAACACTACCATGTAACAACACACTTCGGAGAAAATACATATACATGATGGCGTGGATGACAAGTGAGCTGTTTTGTGATTGGTTAATGTACTTTGACAGACAGATTTGGTCACATGGACTTAAAGTGATTTTGCTTCTCGACAACGCAAGTCACAAGTGTGCTTAGGTAACTTTGCGAAATGTGACCAAATACCACATCTCATATTCAACCGATGGATGCAGGAATAATCCGGACATTCAAGGCATACTACAATAGATCGCCTGTTAGACATTACCTCACCTGTGCTGAGGAAGGACGTGATCAGACACGTCGGATCAACATGCGGATGTCACTCGGTCACACTTTTTGCTATGACTATAGATTATTGTTGTGCTTGCTAATCATTGTTGTATAAGCTTTAAATTAAATGCTTATTTGTTTTATCCAGATTCGTGTCTTTTTTGTAATAGTAAGCGAAGCAACTCTTGCTTGAACTTGGGTCTTGATTCAGTAGTCCGGACGATTCGCAATCCGGACGAATTTGCTGAGAAACGCAACCGTCCGGATTAACGAGGCTTCACTGTACATAATCTGAACAGCAGTCACAGCATGTTTACCTTTCTGTAATCTTCTAGCACTGACTTAACCTTCTCATACCGACGATGCAGATCGGCAAAGGACTTCTCCACTGACTGTAGGTCCTCTATTGCCTGTAGAAAGAAATATTAACAGTTACGAAAGGTGTTAAGATTGTACCATACTACTACCAAAGTCACAAAGAACACAGATCCCTTCACTGACTGCCCCTTGCAAAGAGAACTGACTACAGAAAGTTACTGTTGAGTAAATGGAATCTCTACATCTTATCTCAAGAATATTTTTCATTTTTATCAGAGCCATCCACAACAATCTGGTGACAATGTTGTCAATCCCACATGAAAACTTCTAACTGAATGTTAAAAGCAGAACACTAATGGAATGCTTTACACATTGTACCCATGTGGGGAATTACATCCAGGTCTTCAGTTTGATGTGTGAATGTTCCAATGACTAAGTCACCAAGTTTGCTAAAAACAGATTTCCTAGCATTACTACTTTACTCTATATTGTCAGAATGATTCCATTTCAGTATTGAGTGAGTGAGTTTAGTTTTACGCCACACTCAGCAATATTCCAGCTATATGGCGGCAGTCTGTAAATAATCGAGTCTGGACCAGACAAACCAGTGATCAACAGCATGAGCATCGATCTGCACAATTGGGAACCGATGACATGTGTCAACCAAGTCAGCTAGCCTGACCACCCGATCCCGTTAGTCGCCTATTACGACAAGCATAGTCGTATTTTGTGGCAAGCATGGGTTGCTGAAGACCCATTCTATCCCGGATCTTCACAGGTCCTTCATATCAGTATGGAGAGACACACAGCAGTGTTTCAATATCAATCAAGTTACTACTGTTGTCTGATATAGACACATTTTTCTCAATTTAGTTGACTCAAGAATATGCTCCTTGGAGACTATCCTGCTTTGAATCAAGAAAAATCATAAGTACTGACATCAACTGTAATATTTCAGTTATACTGTAAGACATATGGTGTGGGACAACTTCCTTCAGTGACCTCTTACTGTAAGTGCTTAAACCTAATGTGACAAGGCTCTATTACCTGATTTCTTTCACTCTTTAATTTGTTTTTGGATTCTTTAGATTCGCAGGAATTCTTTTCCTTTTCATCTGAAAGTAATATCACACAAAGAACTTAATGAAAATTCCACATCAGTAACAGGTGTTGATTCTGTCTTTGAAATATATTTGTCAAAAGAATGAGTACAGTTTTATGCCATTTTCAGCAATATTCAAGCCTTGACTAGGCATGGGACAACAATGGGATCATTGTGGAAAAAAATCAAGAACAAATTAAAACAAGCTTGCTCCAGGATTTACTGCAAACTAAACAAACATATTTGCAGATGTTGGTTGTCCTTGTAAATAATAAATACAATTTTTACAAACCTGGAGAGGTTATGAATTCTTTGAAGAAAAGTCCTCCTTGGGGTACATATAAGCATTAAAATGTCCATTTTAAAAGCCTACGACAGTTGTAACAATATTTCAATAAAATATTTTACCAAACAAAAAACTCGTTATGTGTGGTGAGACCACCCCTACAGGGCCCCGTAGAGGGCCCCTACAGCCAAGAGCAGGTAACTCTGGCTGTGTACCTCGTACACTCACTTTTCATGCTGAACGTGTCAGACAGAATGAGGGGAGGGTAAGGTGACGTACTTTGGGAGGACTTTTCTTCAAAGAATTCATAACCTCTCCAGGTTTGTAAAATTCTTTTCAGAAGAAGAAGTCCTCCAGGGTACATATAAGCATAAAACAGACTCCCAACGATGTTGAGTCGGGAGTGGTATTCTGTCTGCCTAATATACCCCCCCTAGTTCAGTCGAAGGCACAGCGGCAAGACACAGAGAGAGAAAGTACACTCACCTAGTCACCTGACCGCTGATGTCAATCAGGCGGGAAGCAAGCTGAGGGGAAAAGGAGCCTAGCCGATAGGCTATTGGTGGAATTTATAGAAGGCGGACGCAAGTCCCACCCCCAACCATCAAAATGGGAGGGAAAGTATGGGCGAGTCCAATATATATCCTCAGCAACCCAAACCAGCGCGTGGTGCAGGGATGAACACAGTGACTGTGAAGCGAGTGATAATCGCTACATACGGTAAAACCACCACCAATGTGATACCACCACCCGATAAAATTGAGGAATTTATTAACACCTACACCATGAGAAAAGCAAACGTGATTTCTAAGGCTCATTCGGCTAGAGAATCCGCGACACTGCCCACTGGTGAGAACTGTCTACAAACCGAGCACGCTCCCGTGAGTGTTTGTCCAGCTGATAGTGGCGGATGAAGAGCGTACTCGGGTCGGCTCCAGATAGCCGCTGAGCAGATCTCCTCAATGGGCAGTGCCAGCGGGCGTATGCTTTTGATGTCGCCACTTCCCTAATCGAATGAGCCTTTAAACCCTGAGGGATGGTTAATCCTTTGTAAGAGTAACTCAAACAAATGGCAGAGACAAGCCACCCAGATATGGTCTGCTTGTTCACGGAAGACCAGCCTTGCCACCGCCATAACAACAGAACAGCTGCTTATCTTTCCTGATAGCAGCCGTTCGCTTGATATATAAGCCTTGAGAGTCTTCACGGACATCTAAGACGTGAGCACGCGAAGAGAGGTACCGGACGATGGAGGCTGAGTGAAAGCTGGCAGTTCGATAGATAGCGCCGCTATATGAAAGGCCCCTGCGACCTTAGGACGGTAGGAGTCTGGCAACCGAATACTGACTCTGTCTTTGTGAAAGACAGTCAGAGCAGGATCCGCTGACATCGCATGGATATCACCTACCCGCCTGCCAGACGTTACCGCCACAAGAAAGGCAGCCTTCCAACTTAACAGCTGGAGTGAAAGAGACGACAGATCGTGAAAGAGAGGACCGGACATCCAATCAAGAACGATTGACAAGTCCCACCGGACTAATCTAACCGGACAGTCGGACGGATTCTGTCCACGCTTCGCTAAAAAGCGCTAATGCAGAGAGGGTGCTGCCCCCAAGAGAGCAACCGTCGGCAAGGGATATGGAAGGCAGAGATTGCCGTGGAGTAGCCCCGGATAGTAGACGCAGCGGCTAAACCGGCTTCTAACCGAGACTGCAAGAACTCCAGTACTTCAATTACAGTTGAAGAAAAGGGATCAAGAATCCCTCTGCCGATTAACATTCAGCGCCGCATAACAGGCCCCATCTATCCTCGCACTGAACGTTTATCGAATCCTCCGCTGGCCAGAATTGTGGCTGCAACTGGTGCAGGAATTCCGCTTCGCGTGGAGGCGTATTCCGGACAGAGGCCAGGCCACCCACTGAATCCTGGGATTGGGGTCGTGCGGCCCGTTCTGGGATAGTAAGTCCGGTCGAAAAGGGTAATAGTACAGGAGGCTGAGCCAGAAACCTGAGTAGTACCGAAACCAGCTTTGAGCCGACCAAAGGGTGCAAGGAGCACAAGAAGTCGAGCTGGTTGGGTGGCAAGCTGCAAGAGGACTTTGGGAATCAGGGGTAGTGGGGGGAACGCCCACAGAACCCTGTCCGTCCAATCGAGCTGAAAGCGTCTTGCGGCGATGGCTCGGATCCGGTATCCGAGCAAAACACCGGAATCTGGTTCGTCCCCCAGATGCAAACAGATCCACCTGAACGATTCAACAACTGGGAGATAGCCCCGGAATATCCCCCGATGGAGCATCCACTGTAGTGGGGCCAGGATACGACGAGAGTGCATCTGCTCGAACGCTGTCCGCCCTGGGAGATAAACAGGCATTACCTCGTGATGTCGAACTGGTCGCACCAGAGCAGAAACTGCCATGCCTCCTGCAGAAGAGACGGGAAACCTGTACCGCCTCTGCTTCAGGATGTGGTCATTGCCGCCTGGTTGTCCATCTCGAAGACGGACCACACGGCCTTGAACCTGCTCCCCGAAGTCGCTCGAACACCAACCTGACTGCTCTCAATTCCTAGCACATTGATGTGCAGTTGCGCCTCGCTCTGTGACCACAGGCCTGAGACCGACAGGGCGCCCAGCACGCCCCCCCACCCTGTGAGGGAAGCGTCCGTCTGAATTGAGAGATCTGGCGATGGGATGTCCAAAGGGAGCCCCTTGGATAAATTCCCTGCCAGTGTCCACCACCGTAAATGAGGAATTAGCCACCCTGGAGTGTGGAGAATCAACTCGTAACTCCTGGGTGTGGACCCACATTCGAAGCTAGAACCTGCTGAATGGGTCGCATCCTCAACCAAGGCCGCCAAACGATGTCCACCGTTGCCGCCATGTTGCCTAGCAACTGGAGCCAAGTCCGAAGCTGAGGCCCTGGGGAACTCGAGAAATTGTAACACAACTCTCTGGACTTTGGTGACGCGGTCCGGAGACAGGGAGACTATCCCTCGCGCTGTCTCGAATCTCGCTCCCAAGAACACCAGATCCTGGGTGGGAACCAGTTCTGATTTCTTGAGGTTGATAATCCAGCCCAACTTGGTGAGAATACTCAACACAGCAAGTGTCGCATAGCTTCGACTCAAGTGAGTGGCAAGCGCCACGAAGGAGCCAATCGTCTAGGTGCGGGTGACAGCACCTGCCCTGTGACCTGGCTACCTGAGCTGGAATTAGCATGAGTTTGGTGAACACCCTGGGCTGTGGAAATGCCAAGGGGAGTACCGAACTGATAGCACCTCCGGGTCGAAGGAAAACCTTAGGTATTTCCCGAACTCGGGTGCATAGGGACATGGAAGTACGCTGCGTCTTTTGAGGTCGATTGACGCGGAGCCAATCTCCCTTCTCCACAGACTAAATCATCGAACGCAGTGTCCATCTTGAAGGATGGTACCTCTAACATGTCGTTCAGACCTTTGAGGTTTAGAATAGGTCTGAACCCTCCGTCCTTTTTGGTGACAAGGAAATAAGTTGAGTAAAACCCAACATTTCTTGTCCCACAGGAACCACTCTATGGCTGCCTTGTCCAGCAAACCACTGGACCTCGCACATCGAGCACTTCCGCCTTCTCTAGGGCAGCGGCACTGGAGTGCAACGGATCCCCGGAGAAGGGGGTGGGTCTCGCCCACTGTGGCATGTGGCCTTCCCTGAGTGTGGACAGGACCCAGGGATTGACGCGGACTTTTTCCCATTCCGACAGGAAGAGGGAAAGTCGACACCACCACAGGGATATGTGGCAGGAGACATTGAATACCTGACTTTGGCAGTAATTCACTGCTTGGTCTGGTACCAACAAGGGCTCGGAGGAATTATAGCTGGGAAGCCGGGCTGACTTCCCTTCCTCTGAAAAGGCTGGTGGGCGCCGTGGTCTTGCCCCTTGCCCCTGCTGCCTCTGCCCTTACCCTCCGCGACTGCAAGGGCTGGAGCCCATTTAACAGATTCCTTCGCGCGGCAGAAGGATATCGCGGAGGAGACAACCGGGGGCATGAAACGAGACGTGTGAGGCTGTTCCAGCAAGGGCTTAGAGTCCTTGAAGGTTGAGACAGCCTCCGCGGCCTCCCGGACTACTGTAGCTGCCCCGGGAACAGGGTAGAACCCATCCGGAATGGCAGCCAGCAGAGCCTGTTATGCGTGGCAGGCGAATACCTCGCCGAAAGAAAGCCACAAGCGACGGAGGCCCATCACCGCCGACATCATTTGGCAAGCCGACGCACCTGGATAGAATCGCCGCCAGATGTGACTGTACCTCCGTTAATTGCTTAGCCAAGGTGAGGGAGATCGAATCTTCCACCACCCCACCCACATCCAGTAGCTGCCTCTGCAACACCGAGATGGAATGAATGGATTGTCACTTTGAGGCATTGAACCCATTGCGGTATTGCTCTTCAAAGGATCGATAGGCGGATTTAAGCTGCCAGCTGTTAGTCGCGGAACGGGCGAAGCCGGCGATCTTGCTTGGCTGAAGCCATAGAATTACCTCGACGAACCCCCCAGGGCGACGGATGCGTAAACACAATCGTCAACCACTGGGGGATTGTAGAGGCAAGCCTCCCCCATGAGGTACCGACGGTCAAGTTCTGGCAAATCGAACCTGGACCTGGTACCACAGAGGAGGGGGTTGATTACTTCAGACAAGACTGAGGGTAATATACGCAGCCTTGTGTCCCCCACCTTGGTGGGAGCAAAAGCCTCCCCTGGGAGGCGAAACTCCTGAGGGTCGGGTGCGCCAGTACTGACCACTACCTGGGGCAGGACAGAAGCAACACACGCCCCGCATCTGCCTCAGGGACGCACTGAGTAAAAACAAAGCATGCATCTAACTTTCCCCGACCCTCATCCTCCTCCTCTGTTTCCAGAGAGAGCTCTGAGGGATCATCCGAGGGGTCTACAGAGAGGGACAAAGGCTCGAGCAGAGCCGGGTTGCCCGGCACACCCGACCCAAGACTCGAGACTGAGTCGCGGTGCCGTGATGAGGAAGAGCCCGTGCTGGGATTCCTCAATGGTAGACAAAATGATCCAGACACCGAATGGCCCGGCCAAGCCGGCGCAAGCGGTGGGACCAATTGCCAAGAAGCGGCAACTACAGGACTGCCAAACTACTAACTACTGGACCAGACCCCAGCCAAGGCTCGGGCCGGTAGTAGTTACTATAGCGAGGGGTGGCCAGCAACCGAGACCTAAACTTCGAGCCGACGCGCGACCCCCCACAGAAACCCCCCACACCAGAGCCCTGCTGAGGTTGGGAGCACTGCTCGCCATAGATCCGCACAATAATACACCCGCACCTGGTCGGACGCCAATCTCCTGACGGAGGCCAGCCATCGCCAGCCACGGTGAGTGTGGACCGAATCCATCTGCTTCTGCAATATATCAGAAAGTAAATCAATTGTTAGCTGGTTAGAAACAGGGACAGGGGGGGAAGGTGCCTGTGATGTTGAGGGATGGCAGGTGAAAGAGCCAGAGGCCCCTGCACTTCAGCCCGCAAGGAGCATCCCGAAAGAGAGGAAGCCGCCTCTTTCTTTTTGTTTTTATCTTTGTCTTTAGGCGCTCCCTGACCCCAAATGTCCCGCCTGAAGTAAGGATGTGTAGAACATGTAATCAGCACGTCTGGACTTGATGAGGCGGGGAGAAAGCCTGACACATAGAACAACCTTGTTCGCCGCATGGGCTTCCTCTCCGCTAAACAACGAAGCAAACCAGGTGGCGCATCCTGAGGCTACAAACTGTCCGCTACAGGTGACACCCCTTGGGTTGCAAAAACAGAACCACGCCATGATAATAGCAAGGACTGTCGATATACATAATATAATATGCACACACAACAAAACAGAACAAAATACAAAACTCGGCTGATATTTTAACTGTTACAGCGCAGCTATTAAATACTAGCTGCCAAAGCCATAATAGCTGCCTTAATGCGCGCATATAGGTGACAAAGAGCAACATGTGTGAGCGGCATCGCAAACGCCTCAACGAAAACACTCAAGCAAAACTTACCTAAAGCCTGGAAAAAGAGGAATTTAGGCAAGTATAATCTACAAAATGAAATATCAGCCCTTTCACGAACTCCACTACAAGGCTTTTTATCTAAAGCCAGGAGAAGGAAAGCAACGGACCCCTCGCCGTCCCCCATCTTGCCTCGCCACGGCTTGAAGACAGCTTAAACACCGTAAAGTTACAACAAATCATGAATGTTTGTTCATTTCTTTGATTACAAACACAACTCGTTGAAGCTGTGAAGGAAATATATCTTCTCCCTCAAAGAACCAATTACTGATCATAGAATATTAAATGGTTGTGAGGTGAGGTGAAATTGGGTTTAACGTCATGCTTGAGAATATTTCGCTCATACGACGACGTGCATGCGTGTGTATGTGTGTGTGCGACTGCTTGTACTAGCCCAGACTGAAGCTGGTTTTATAGTGTTAGCCCATTGAGATACCATGCCGCAGTGAAGCATGAATACCCCACTCAGACACATTATACTGACTCCGAGCCAACCAGTCCTTGTTGTACCCATTAATGCCGAGAGCCAGTCAGGGACCAACAAGTACCATATTTTAACATCTTTTGGTATGACGCGGTCGGGGATCAAACCCGCGACCTTCCGCTCTCCGGGCGGACGCTCTAACCACTACACCACGGAGGCGGTCCATTAAATGGTTGTCTCTTGACCATTTCCCGGTTATATCCAAATCAATAAATCTTCCATATGAAACTGAGTGAGTGAGTTAACTTTTACACCGCACTCAGCAATATTCCTGCAATATGGTGGCAGTCTGTAAATAATTGTATCTGGACATGTGTCAACAAAGTCAGTGAGCCTGACCACCCAATCGCCTCCTACGACAAGCATGGGTTACTGAAGATCAGTTCTAACCTGGATCCAAATGACTTCCATTACAATGATTACAAACTCATAGTGATGGGCATCAGATTTCAGATTACTGCAGTAATGATGCATGTGGTACCACGTGTACCTTAAACTTCATGTATATTGCATGCATTCTTTCATCTGTAATTTTACACCATGAAGGGCCGGGTTAGAATGAACTTCAGTAACCAATGCTTGTCATAACAGGAGACTAACGGGATCGGGTGGTCAGGCTCGCTGGCTTGGTTGACATGTCATCGGTTCCCAATTGCGCAGATCGATGCTCATGCTGTTGATCACTGGATTGTCTGGTCCAGACTCGATTATTTACAGACCACCGCCATACAGCTGGAATATTGCTGAGTGCGGCGTAAAACTAAACTCACTCACCCATCTGTAATTTCTAATGAACCTGAATTAAAACAGACCCATGCATCCGACTTCCATCACACATGTTTGACAACTTAGCCGTCTGGCATTTTTGCTGGATGTTGTCAGAACACATTCATAATAGACACATAATATACAGATAGCTAGTTATAAATATTTTCTCTCTTTTTCAATCATTAGAATCATTTGTTAATTTCTCAATTTCACAATCTAAAAAAATAACAACTCTGCCAACAAAAGATGAAAAAACAGTTCGATTGTAAAAAAAACAAACAATAATAGTATTTTGTAAACGTGTTGTGATATGCATCAATCATGTGCATTAGTATTTCAAATTGTGGGATAATTGTACCCTGTTGAATGGTTTCAATACAAGGAAGGATAATCTACTCACTGACTAGCTCATTGATGAAGGATTCGTATTCAACGACAACTTGTCTGAAACAAAAATAACATTACATATTAACAAGAATTGATGATAGAAAATAGACTTCAGAAATAGAAACAAAACATCTATTTTGCAGATATATGAATTTTTCTGAAATTATTTAAACTTTGCTAAAACATTTGTAATTGTCAAGAATAACCCTCAGCACCTCATTCTTTATTATCACTGACCTCATCTGTTTGTTCTTGACTTCTAGCTGGTCGGCCAACTCCTTATAGTGCTTAGCCTCCACACTGAGGGCCGTCTGCTTCTTACTCAACTCCTGCTCCAAGGAGAGTTGTCTCCCTTGAGACTCCAGCGTCAGCTCCTGACGTTGCTTTTTCAGCATCTTCTTGACATCCGTCTCTGAGTACTTCAGCACCTAGTAATTACATTCAGTTCCATATCAGCTGGATCACTGAATCTAACAATTATCTTCAACACAATTACTTTCAGAATACCAGTTCGTGACATCTCTCTTCATCAGACTATTATTATTATTATTATTATTATAGGATATCTATATAGCGCACATATCCAGGAAACTAGTGCATGCTCAAGCCGCTGGTATTATTCCCCCTTGATCATTGGATGTCAATCTCAACGGCACATCATATTATCAATCGCAACTCCCTGGGGAGTATACAACTCTTGCAGCCACTAGGCGCACCGAGTTATTGTGGAGTTCTCATCCTAATGAGGTACCCATTCACAGCTGGGTGGACTGGGACACATAGTCACAGTACTTTGTCCAAGTTCACTGCACGTTGATGTACCCGCAGCTAGGTGTTTGCACGTAGTGTGACGTATTCATGTGGCCACCATCTGGTCATATACCAACGGATTCGTGGGATATAATTTATTCTTCTGATTTATAACTATCATTGACAATGCCAATTTTAACACTCGATAACAAATGGCAGCTTAATAATGGTTATCCATCAATTAGAGCATACAGTGTCCATACCTCAACAACCTCGAAGAAGGTTTCATCTTTCTTAGTATCTTGTCTGGGTGTAGGGGCTGCCTGATCTTGAGTCAGACCTTCAGTCTGATCGGATTTCTTTTCCTGGAACATTTAGTAAGCATGGTGAGTGGGTTTGGTTTTACGCCACGTTAAGCATTATTCCATCAATATCATAGCGGGGGACACAAGAAATTGGCATCACACAATGTCCCCATGTGGGGAATCGAACCTGGGTCTTCGATGTGACGAATGAATGCTTTAACCAATAGGCTACTCAACCACCCTGTAAGTTGTATAAATAATAAAAATTCTTAATATGATGTCTTTTACTTTAATCTTTATTAGCCATATATATACAGCATTATTCGATGGCCAAGTAAGCTCAGTTCTATGGTACACGTGATAATTGTCATGCTTGGGATTTTACAGGACACTCAGACACGCTATGGATGCTCCAGTGAAGGTCTGTCACTTGACTGAATCTAGTTTTTTCAAATACTGCAGACTGCAACCGTTGTGTATACAAGAGACAGTTCAGTCCATTCATAACTACTCGCCTCTTTCCGTGACCTACAAGAAGACTTATACCTGTATAGTAAACCATTATTGCCAAAAATCGTGGCAAACCAATCAAATCACGAGTAGTGAAATGTGAAATGAGTCAAATAGTTTCTTTGTGATTATCGATTTTCATCATTACTTCCGTGATTTATTAAATTATCTTGTTACTGATATTTGTTAACGACATAAGAAACTTACTTAAAATGACTAACGTGTTGTATTATAAATTTCTAGGAGTAGCCATGTTGGGAAATTCAGAGTTATCTTTTCTTGGAAATAGTCCTATACTATTTTCATCTCCGTACCCGTTTGCACTTAGACAAGGCCCAGTCGTGAACATGGCCATGAGAGGGTCACGAGTAGCTATTCGACTTGCCGGAATGACACAATTAGTTATGAATGGGTTTAGTCATCCAATGTGCCCATAATGTCAGTCTATTCATAATGTGAGCAATGGTAATAGATTTGTTTTAAGCACATCTTATTGTCTATAAACAAAAGTATAAGGTACAAATGATACAAGAGGTTTTATCACAAGTGGCTTTAACAAGGGAAATATGAATACATGCACAAAAATCCAGCAACATCTAAAGTGCATATAGTTACATAACAAGGTAACTATTTTGGAAACAGTTTTTGTTTTATTATTGTATGAATTAAGATTGTTCGCTACCACTTTACCTCCTCCAACAAATTAACTCACTCTTTGTGGTTTTATGGGGCCCCCCTTTTCTCAAGTTTCTAAGAACTCAGGCAACAATATCAAATTACAACAACGAAAAAATACTGAATACCAACTGTAGTCTGATGGACACTAGATTCTTGAGCATGGCTTAACTGAGTACAATGGTTGAAGCACTGACAGGCTGGTTGTTTGTTTCAGTCACAACCTGCATAAGCTAGGTGAGGTGAGGTGAGGTGAGGTGAAATTGGATTTAACGTCGTGCTTGAGAATATTTCGCTCATATGACGACGTGCATGCGTGTGTATGTGTATGTGCGGCTGCTTGTACTAGCCCAGACTTAAGCTGGTTTTATAGTGCTAGCCCACTGAGATACCATGCCGCAGTGAAGCATGGATACCCCACTCAGACACATTATACTGACTCCGAGCGAACCAGTCCTTGTTGTACCCATTAATGCCGAGAGCCAGGCAGGGACCAACAAGTACCATATTTTAACGTCTTTTGGTATGACGCGGTCGGGGGATCGAACCCGCGACCTTCCGCTCTCCGGGCGGACGCTCTAACCACTAGACCACGGAGGCGGTCGCATAAGCTAGGAATGGCTGTACATGTACTACCTGTTGGAGTTCCTCTGCTTCTGGACTACAGGAGAAGATGAGATCCACCAGGAGGGGCTTAGCTTCCTTCTTTTCTTCCACATCTTCTTCTTCAAAGATGGTTTTGGCTACGGCAGCTGGAGGTCTGCGCTGGACGAGGATAGATCTCCGTCGACCTCCACCACGTGGTGGTGTTCCCATCAACATGATACTCTCATCACTGAAATCATAAAGCTACCCTTCAGGCCACGCAGCAAGTTGTTGGCAGGTGCTCAATGACGATGCAGTGTAGCAAGGTATCACAAGAAGCAACCACCCTCTACATGTCATGTCATTTTCATGTAAAATACTAGCTTTAATCATATTTTTGATAGTAGTATTTGATGGTGTTTCACAGGGCTCCAGATAATTTTTCAACATCAGGAGTACGTACTCCTTATTTTTTCAATATAGGAGTACTGGAAAATCTTAAGAGTACATTTGAGTACTGAATGGAATTTAAAGGCATATCAGTAACCTTGTGTTTCGTTTCATATATGCAACATTGCTAGTCTTGTGCAAACAGGTCAATAAACAATAAAACAATACTTTTTCAGATAAATACGTCTGTAAATGATTCTAAGACCGTACACCATTGTTGTGGTGCGTATCTGCTACGTTTTCTAAATTATTTCCTATGGTATCGTGCATATTTTTTATCCGTACATACGCCGACACGGCCCTTATCTGGAGCCCTGGTTTCAACCAGGCTTCCAACTAAAACATACAAAGGTGTAAACAAAAAGCTTGTTAAGGTAAGTCCAAAGTGATGCAGGTATGAGATGTGTAACACTTGATGAAACCAATATACAATTGTTGGGGGCTGACAAATCTAAACATATTAGAGCAATTTATTAGAGCAATAATAAACTATCAGCCCTCAGGGAAGCTACCATATAATTTATTCAATTTTTGTTTTAGATAGTTAGATTACAATATTAAATTAAGAAGTTCGAATTAATTAATGCAACATTGCATTAATCGACTCTTGCGCCCCCTACCGATTGAATATTATTTAAAGTGAACCCCATAGAGTTATGTCCCTTGGAGCGCTCTTTAGGAATATCCTACACACAACTTGTGATTGAAACCAGTTCCTCAAACCAACAACACCACGTGCAACGGTTTTTTGATGTATGGAGCAACTGGTTACATTCCATATATGGCAAGTGTTCTCTCTTTGGAAGCTGTTCACCTCGAAGTTTCAATTATTGATTTCAGGCAAATCATAAGGGATAATGATATATTAAACCTTCTTGATTGCCTCTTGAATCTAACATGGGTGACAACATGCCAGAGTGTGGAGAAGATTCACAGAACAATAGATGTTGAACATCTGTATGTAGATGTATAACTTACCCATCTTTAACAACTTCCATCTTCTGTATTCCACGTGCTATTCCTGAAGATAGAGACATATTGTATTGGTAGAAGTCCATGGCTAGAGAAAATAAAACAGGCATTTCTGTGGCAGACACCAGTTCTTATAATCAGCTAGTTTGTTGTGAATAGTTTGATCTAATTCAGGTGCTTTTATGTTCTAGGATTTTAAAGTTGTTAAAACAGTAGTTTCTCAACTTCTCCTTGCTATGCTTTTGGAACAGTCTATAAAGGTAAAGGGGATTTCAGCTTAGTCCATGTTTAAGTCATTGTCTCCTCTTCGTTCTTTCCCTAACCTTGATTTCATTGGTCTGTTTAAACTGTGCAGTTTTTCATCCATCTTGCACCTGACAACACACTGACTTATGGACTGGTGTGATCTATGACTAATTGAAACAGACAATTTTCATTGTTTAAGGAGAACTGTATGCTTGAGGCGTCTGCCCCAGGAGAATCAACACCCCAGTGCCACCCACAGGGTACTGATAATTTGAATATTAACTATCATTATCTGTATATATTGTAGATAATATATTATGATTGATATGCACCACTGATTGCAATTTGTATCATGGGTACCATAAAGTGGTAAATGATTATTGTGTTGAGAACATTTAATGTCATTTCATAACAATGACCTATGTTTTGTACACATGTATTGCTATCGCCCTTGATGAATTCTTTATGCAATCCAGACAATGATTTTATGCCTCATTGACAAAGATATTTATGTATGTGAATGTGAATGTGTACTTGTAAGTGAAAGATGTATCAAGTTTTTAGGATGTTATCTCATGGTATTGTTTTGTGTATTGCAGGTTTTCGTTACCTCTCTTGCTACCTATGCAAATAAAACCTCACACCGGTAGCCTGTGTTTGGACGTCCTTTATACGCCAATCACGACCCGGTTACATTTCTTAAAAGAATGATGAAAGTCATTGTTTCATAGTCATTTACCTGTCGTAAGTGGATATGACATGAAGTGATACGCTGTTTAACATTGATGTTCAAGATTACTGCACTCATGTAGCATCGTGTGTGTGACTGTGTGTGAGTGAGGGAGTGAGCGAGCAAGGTTTTACACTGTCTTAATATTCCAGCAATATCATGGTGGGGAATACCAGAAATATTGTACCCATGTGGTGAATCAAACCCAGGGCCCTGTTTCAAAAAGCTCTTGTAAGCATAAGAACATGTAACTTTTCTCGTAGCATTCGTACCTCCTATACTGTAACATAGGAAGTACCAATGTTACGAGAAAAGTTACGAGATCTTAGGCTTACGAGAGCTTTGTGAAACGGGGGCCCAGGTCTTTGGCCTGATGAGTGAATTATTTAACCAATGCCACCTTCAAGACAAGTACCATATATTACTGTAGATGAGCTAAATTTTGACGACCCAAAAAAAAAGCAGTCTATAGAAGGGGGTCAGCTTATCTACAGGTTAAACTTTCTTCAAACTTTTTTTCTGGTGGTAAGAAAACGACATTGTATCACTTCACTGTTAAATTTGCAACTAAACATCACTAGACAAGATTATGTACTTTTTCAGTTTTAATTATTTTTTTTTCCCAATACAGATTTGTTGATACTCTATTTCCGATGACTGACAACGATGAGAAGATGAACGAAGGTTGGTGGGTCGGCTTATCTGCAGGACATACCATTTTGATACAGATTTTAAGGGTCAAGTTACCTCGGCTTATCTATGAGATCGGCTTATCTACGGTAATATACGGTACATGTTGAACAGCTTGGTATGAGAAACCCAGTATGCATGATAACCTCTCTCAATACCCACCTGCAGGGCTGTGGGCAGGTTTAGAGTTGACCAGAGGATCAAACTTGACGTACAGAGACATACGTGACAGATCAGACTCAGCATTCTGCAAAGATCACAACACACATTCTACAAAACAAGCAGGTTAACATTGCCTCTAGTCTCATATGATCAAGTTCATTAAGTAACTTTAATTCAATAGAACAATTATATTTAAGATACACCAGTCATATGCTGCCTTCTCTCTTTACTTGATGAAATACACCATATTCTTATCATACTAATATTCTAATTTAGAGGACATCCTTGTGGTTCTGGGGCAGTATTAAAAAAAAAATCACTTCCGAAGTAGGTAGCTTTATGAACACCAGTACAAGTCTCAGACTTAACTAAGTCAGATTTCAAAAAGTTAAATTTTGACTTACGAAAAATCAGTTTCCTTATGAATACCAGTTTAAGTAAACAGAGACCATGAAGGGCTTGTTTGAAAACCAAAAATCGGAAAAAAAAGAATGCCTGATGATCAACGTACAGTGAAACCTGTCTAAACTGGCACCCCATGGGATCGAAATAAAATGCCGGTTTCTCTTTATCTCTATAATGCCAAGCGTGCCGAAAGGAGTGTATTGGATTAAGGGACCTTGAATGCGACGTTTCGGTGTAGATCCTAACACCGTTATCAAGCAAATGCTTGAAACCGAAACGTCGCATCTACAACTGCAACAAAGAAGTTGTCTATCCATAAAAAGTGTTCCACTTCATCATACCAGCTTCTAAATGCCACTTAAGGAAGCTGGCTTAGAGCGTTTGATTCACTGCGCAATCACTACTTCCTGATTATCTACCGTGCCAAGAGGATTTTGTCCTTGATTGGACTGCTCATACCCATGCCAGTTTAGACAGTGTTAATTATAGTTAAAATTGCTTGTTGGGACCGGAAAGCATGCCGGATTAGACAATGTTTTAATGATCATAATATCGTTGTAAAATGGCGGGACCAAAATTTTATGCCGGTTTTGACAGTCTGTCGGATTAGACAGGTGCCGATATTGGCAGGTTTCACTGTATTTGAACTTTTTTATAATGAAAACCCATGCTTGTCGTAAGAGGCGATCGGGTGGTCAGGCTTGCTGACTTGGTTGACACATGTCATCATATCCCAATTGCATAGATTGATGCTCATGTGTTGGTCACTGGATTGTCTGGTACAGACCACTGCCATATAGCTGGAATATTGCTGAGTGCGGCGTTCAACAAGAAACCATAACACAAGGAGTAAAACTCACAGTGTTGTTACTGCCAAAGGTCTCCAGCATGTCCCAAACATTTGGATCACTGAATACTGAAACATACAATTTACTTCATGAAAAACGCGAACTAACAAAACAATGAAAGAAAAAATCAAAATGCATCTTGTTACTATTGTCAAATTAGCTCATCCAAGTTTGCAGCAGGAAGTATCCTAGACTCTACCTGTAGTTAGGTTAGTTATTTTCTGTAGTTTATAATCATTTTTCATTATTTCACATAATATTGCTTCCAAGCAATATCAACAAATAATTAGTGTGAACTTGGCATTTTAAGACACTAAATTCCAAAATGAATTTGTAAATGTCATACAGTAACATTTAAAACCTGGCTTGTCTCAGCAAACAATCTTATTTTGATGCATGAATCGGAAAAGTTTTGCAGCTAGTCTGCAAGTTTCACAATTGTGGACTGTTAATAACCCAAATCATAAGGCCAATGTTGAAGACGGGAACAATCCAGGCAGTGGGGAAACAATTACACATCTCTTGATAATTGTTTAGGACTGCTCTTATGACAAGTGGGGGTGTTTTACATAGGGTTACTGTCAGAAATGACATGATAGGTAGCCTCTATTCCAAAACAGAGTACAGTGAGAGTCACGTTTATTTTCATACATTTGGCAAGCACAGTTAATCACTGTTACTAAGTTTATACAACACTAAAATCTACATACTATGATGCAAGGAGACAAGTTTGGAGAAAGAGACGGGAACAATTTTGGCTGTTACTAAATCTATGCTAAGAGTGTAGAAGTTTGATCATCAGAAGTGGCAAGATTGCCCTGTAAAAGTTCTCATGATTTGTAATCAATATTCACCTTCATTTGCAGGTCTGAAATCATCCTGGGCAAAGTTCATACCCTCTTGTCCACCAGCTGTTTCCCCTGTGGCAATCATGCACATGACGTTGTCGCCTATGAGATCCATCCCACCAGAATTCTGTCTGGGAGTCTTCGGTAGCCCGTTATTGTTGAAGTTGCTGTTAGTATTACCCAACCCTGACTTTGTCTGGAATGGGTTAAAAGCGTCCAGATTGTCAAAAGGATCAACACAACTCGCCTGGACAGGTTGTTGCCGAGAAGCTTGTGAATCTATCATCACAGTTGAAGCTGGCTGTGTCTTTCCTGCAGGTGAATTTCCAACTTTCACTGTGGTTGCAAAGGGGTCCCCAATTAAATTTAACTCTGCTGCAAATACAGATGATGGCACTTGTTGTGAATGCTCGACCTGTACACTGGGCACCAAGGGGTCTAAGCCAGTCATCAGACCACATGGTTTGACCGGTGAGTTGGGCACCTTGGACTTGCTTTGAAATGGGTCTCCTCCATTGTCTACAGTAATTGTGGGATTGCCTGCTTTAACAGGTGAATTGTGCAGCTGGGTTATAGTTTTAAAAGGATCACCATCTGGCAATGACCCTGGAGAGTTTTGAATCTTAGACTTCATTTGGAATGGATCAGCATCACCTGGCATGGTTGAGACAGGCTTCACCGGAGAACTAGCCACACAGGTCTTTGTCTTGAAGGGATCAATGCTATCAAAGTCCACCGGTTGGTCACATGTTGTAGGTTTGTTTTCTGTTTCGCAACAGCCTTAGGAGCAGCTTGTTTCACTTCGGCTGTAGGCTTTATGGGTGAATTCATGACTTGGCTTTTTGTTTTGAAAGGATCAGTGGTATCAATGTCAGTAACAGGCTTAGCTGAAGATGTTGATTCAATTTTCAATGGTGAATTAGCCACCTGATTGCTGGTTTTGAAAGGGTCTATCTCAGGGTCTGTATCTGTAACTGGCAGAACTTCCTTTTTCATATCTGGGGTATTGACAACTTGGGACTTTGTTTTGAAAGGGTCAACAGCATCAAGAGTTTCTGGTAGACCAACAGTTGTCAATGGTGTTTCTTTGAGTGGGGAATTTGGGATTTGGGATTTAGTTTTGAACGGGTCAACATCTAGATTTTCTGGTTGGCTCCCAGTTGCAACAGATGGCGTTCCTCTGAGAGGAGAATTTGGTACTTGTGATTTACTTTTAAAAGGATCAACATCTTCAAGATTTTCTGGTAGGTCCCCAGTTCCTGCCAAAAGTGTTTCTTTGACAGGGGAATTTGGTATTTGCGATTTAGTTTTGAACGGGTCAACATCAAGATTTTCTGGTAGGTTCCCAGTTGCATCAGATGGTGTTTCTCCGAGAGGAGTATTTGGTATTTGTGATTTACTTTTAAAAGGATCAACATCACCAACAGTGTCTGGGAGGCCCATAGACGCTTCTGCTGTTTTTGATGGTGTTTCTTTGATGGGGGAATTTTGCATTTGTGACTTAGGTTTAAAAGGGTCAAGATCTGATTCTGTCAGATCAGTAGATTCAGGAGAGGTTTTTACTGGTGAATTTGTGATTTCTGATTTGGGTTGAAAGGGATCTACCTGATCAATATCATCAAGCAAATTCTCAATTACAGTGAGATCTGCAGTTCCCATTGTCGAGTTAATGGTTGAATTCTGGCATGGAGAGTTAACCATCTGAGCCATGGGTTTGAAAACATCAATACCGTCAAGACTGTCTGGCAGTCCTTCAGTAAATTCATGTGATGAACACTCAGACGTCTGGTTTGAATCTTGTTCCTTTGGTTCACCATCCTCCAAAATCTTCAAACATTCAGCTGCTTCCACAGTGGTCTGGGCAGAACATTTAACAGGTGAGTTTTGAACCATGTTCTTAGATTTAAAAGGGTCAAATTCGTCCAGGTTTTCAGGCAAACCATTGGATACCTCAATAGAAGCAGTTGAAGGAGAATTTGCAATTTGTGATTTGAGTTTAAAAGGATCAATGTCATCCAAAGTATCTGGTAAACCAGTTGATACTGTTGAAGGAGGAATCACTGGAGAATTTGCAACTTGTGATTTGGGTTTAAATGGATCAATTTCATCCGAATTGTCAGGTAAACCAGTTGATACTTCAGAAGATGGAATCACTGGAGAATTTGCAATTTGTGATTTGGTTTTAAATGGATCAATTTCATCCAAATTGTCAGGTAAACCAGTTGCTGCTTCAGAAGGAGGAATCACTGGAGAATTTGCAATTTGCGATTTGGTTTTAAATGGATCAACTTCATCCAAATTGTCAGGTAAACCAAGTTGCTGCTTCAGAAGGAGGAATCACTGGAGAATTTGCAATTTGCGATTTGGGTTTAAATGGGTCGACTTCATCCAAATTGTCAGGTAAACCAATTGATACTTCAGAAGGTGGAATCACTGGAGAGTTTGCAATTTGTGATTTGGTTTTAAATGGGTCGACTTCATCCAAATTGTCAGGTAAACCAATTGATACTTCAGAAAGAGGAATCACCGGAGAGTTTGCAATTTGTGATTTGGGTTTAAAAGGATCAACATCTGAATCGTCAGGGATGGCTTTAACAGGTGTATTCTTTATTTCTTTAGGGGGTGAATTCTGAAGCTGAACCTTCGTCTTGAAGGCATCTTCATCCTGTGCATCTGCCTGTCCAGTCATGGAAGCCAGAATACTGTCATCATCAGTGCCTTCTGGGGCAGCTAATGGAGAGTTGGCAATCTGAGACCTTGTCTTGAAAGGATCCACATCTTCCTTGCTCCTCACTGGAGAGTCAACAGCTCTAGCTGGAGATGCAGCAACATTCCCGACAGAGGAAGCTAGTACAGATGTGACTGGAGAGTTGGCCAGACCTCCCTTGGATTTGAAAGGATCTGCATTCTCATCATTTGTATAGGCCTTGGTCTGGAACTGAATTTCGTCATCTGAGTCTGCAGATACTGTGTAGGCGTCACTGAAATAACACAGCAGGCAACTGAACACAATAGACACATATTCTTAGTAAAGCAATAAACAATTAATTATTAGCTTTTTCCTCCACCACCTGCACAAGCAAAGCTCAAGGGATCTTTTTGACACCTAGTACATATAGATGAGGAAAACAGTTGTGCTCCTTTACCTGATAAACACACCTAACATTTGTTTAATAATTTAGATGGAAAATTTGATAATAATAATTAATTTGATATTAAAATACAAATTGTTAATTCATTGTTCTCTCATGTGTTAAAAAAGTTATTGACCAGTTGTAATTTCTAACATCAAGACCCAGAAGAGTGAGTGTGTGAGTATGGTTTAACGCACTTTTCAGCAATATTCCAGCAATATCACGGCGGAGGACACCACAAATGGGCTTCACACATTGTGCCCAAGTGGGGAATCGAACCCGGGTCTTCAGAGTGACGAGCGAACACTTTAACCACTAGGCTACCCCACCGTCCCAGACCCAGAAGAACAGTGACTGGTGAATTAAAGGAATGTGGCTTGTTTAGTAATTAAACATGTTAAAAGTCATTATACTAGTAAATTTGAGCAAAAACAATTAATTGTGCTGATGTGGTGCTTGTGATTTGTTTGACAATTAGTAATCAAGTTAATTTGTTATTTCCCTTAAAACACCAAACCAGGGCTCAGTGTGGCAGTCATATAGCCCTGATCAAGGACATGCAAGTGGTTCAGATGGTGCAGACTGACGTCCACTTACACCGGGACTGGCAAAGATCTAATTATATCATGGATAACTTCAGTAGCAAATGCTGTATAGTCTCGGTGGTCGTTCTGGGTGAGACAACTGGTACGTTCTGCCCACAGTTCTGTGTCTTCCGTATCTCTTACAATATCGTACCTGTTGGTGGTGGTAGGTGCTGTGGCTAGTGGAGAAGGCTGGGAAGGCACCTGGACACAGAAACAATCAAACATATTTATGAAATGACCTGATGAATTGTATTCACGCTTAAGTCCAGCCATGTTAAACCCACAATTACAGATTCATATAAATGGGTCTATACATTTAAAAACTAGGGGGAACTCTATTTAACAAGAAGACTCCACCAAGACATTCAAATTCCTGGGCCCTGTTCCTCAAAGCGATTGTAGCGCTACGACTGTCGTAAGTCTATGTTAAAGTATGGGAGTTACGATCATCTTAGCGCTATGATCACTTTGAACGGGGCCCTGAAAACAAATATCAAATTTTGTTTCCCTATTTAAAACAGTTTCTGAGAAAATCTGTCCCCATTGGGGATATCGTGCACTAAGTCAAGAAATGCATGACAAGGACTATAACACTGTAACAAATTGTAACACGGTTTCCGTTTTCGAAATCCATCAAGGTATTTATGTCCTGAAAACACATATCAAATTTGGTTTCTCTATCTATAACGGTTTCTGAGAAAATATGTCCCCATCATCTCTGATGGGTGGACCGACGGAGCTCAAACATATATCCCCTCACTTCGTGGCGGGGGATAATAAATATCATAAACATGGGGTTCCTTCACGAAATGTATTAAAAGTCAGTTCTCAAAACATAACTGAAAACGGTAATTTGATGATATTTATACTGACAATATTGATAGCATGCACACACAGAAAATATATTTTCAGCAAAAAAGGAAAAGTTTTAAAAAAACCCATCAAGAACATGTCAAGTTTTTAACAAGTTTCACAAGGAGTTGGAACACCTCAAAGTGCAAACAGTACCTTTAGATTTTTATTTCCAGGTGACTGGAGCTGTACGACGTTTTCTACTGGTTTCAGCACAGATCTGATGGAGGGGCTTCCACTCACTGTCTTCCCTCTTGCCATTTGTGCTGGCGGGGTATTCTCATCCATGGTGGACATTCCTTGATAACAAAAAAACAGTTAAAACACATCTCAGTTCCAGCCAGTATGCAGAGGGGAACTGGACCTTCAGTAACCATGGAGATCTGTACCTAGTGCTGGAGTGATTGATTGAATAATCAGTGAATTGAACGATCAAATTAAACTTTAGAAAGTGTGTACAGCTTTGGCAGGGCTCCAGATAAGGGCCGTATTGGCGTATGTACGGATATAAAATAAGCACGATATGGTCGGAAACAATTTTAAAAACGTAGCAGATACGCACAACAGCAATGGTGTACGGTTTAAGAATCATTTACAGACGTATTTATCTGAAAAAGTATTGTTTTATTGTTTACTGACCTGTTTACACAAGAGTAGCAATGTTGTGGTGCATATATGAAACGAAACACAAGATTACTGATACGACCATTAAATTCCATTCAGTACTCTAAATGTACTCTTGTTTTCCAGTACTCCTATATTGGAAAAATAAGGAGTATGTACTCCTGATCATGAAAAATTATCTGGAGCCCTGGCTTTGGGTAAGAGTTTGTATCCACTTAAAATGGAAATGTACTCTATTTATTAGAATTATTTCGAGGTTTTAGGGTTTGGTTTAGGGTAAGGGTTAATTTTTTTAAAATAAAAACCATTTGTTCTAAGGCATAGAATGATAAAAAAAACCGGGGATTACGGGTGGAAATCTTTCCCAGCTTTGAACACACAATGCCATTTAGAAAGTGGTCAAATGTAACACATGTTATATTTGGGATTACACTTTCTCAGTACAGATTCTGTCAGCTGTCAGCCTTACTGAGAAAGCATGATCACAATATAACATGTGTTATAAGTATATCTTATTGTCTTGTTTGCTCATGACTGCTGTGAAAGTTCCTTAGATGAACGTGTACTAAATTAAAGGTGCTCAAAATCCATACGAGACTATGTAAATTTAAAGCTGAGAACAAATGAACTAGGAATATGCATGCATTTTTTTACGGCTTATACTACATGCTTAACAGTCAGGTTTCAGACATCACTACTATCCTGATGCAAATGCAACACATACGATAATAAATATGTCACTTCCTAAATGGCATTGTGTATTCAAAAACATGCATTATGTGTATGGGTGTGTATAGACACTTCAAATGTGTGTACAAGTTGGCTTAAAAGTCATGATATCGAACAAATGCTCCAAACTATGCTAAATGAGGAGCAGAGTGAACAGGAATTTTACAAACAGACTAGCCATTTTAGGTGGTGTGAATCTCAATTGAATTGTCCAGTGTCCATCCAAGGTGAAATTAGAATTTATTTCCCTAACCATCACTGCCCATAGTCACAAAACTTGACAATGTCAACAAGCATTACTTATACACTAGCCATGTTATACATAAGGTAGACAAACGCTGCAATGGGGTCCTACAGTGAAGACAGTCGCTCGGCTATAGCTCAGGTGATGATGAATTTTTGCTGATCTATTTTGTCAAACTTAACATCGATCGAGTAATCAGAATTGAAACAAACATTACAGCTCACAGATTTCAAGTTTCATCTGTCATAATCTGTTTTCTGAAGCAAATAACGAAATAGCACAATCAATGATAAAATTGGCATTAACCATTACGCTAAAATCACACTTGCTAGGGGCACCAGAGTTGACTTTGGCAACAGTGATTGAATTAACACGTTGACTGCTTATCATGAGTATACTCGTCATCAAATGTAAGAGAATTTGCCACTATACTCATCGTGTCTTTGACTGAAAATGACTGTAGTTTGGGTTTGTTGTTTTAGGGTTAAGGTAGTTTTCGTCCTGCACTTTATCTAGAAGTACATACAGAGGCTGATATTCAGACCCTAATGATAAACACGTTAAAAGAAACACAAATTCCCAATAACAGGAATCTGTTAACACCCAGTTTCAAAGTTAGGTTATGGAAGAACATACTCTATAGGTCTCCTCGAATGTGCCTGCCAAATGCACTTATTGGACTTATTTTGAATCCGAAATAAATTCTCAGAACATTAACTGAAATATTTCCTGACGCGAACACTCACAGAACAGGATGAAAACATATCGCATTTGACGAGACAAAGGGCTAAATAAAGACCCTATAGACAAAGGATTTGGGCAACAACCTACTTAAGTGTTGATGAAGCATTAGGCCGATAAGAAGATGACAGCATGTTGTACTCGATACATTCATGATGCCTCCATGATGAATGCATGATCAAAACATTGCATTCGGCATTTGCAGATGTGCGTCGTTTCAGTTTCAAATTAACCTCATCTAACACTACAGCAGAAATTCGACATTGGCATTTTATTGTTCACTTTAAAATCATGTCCTTGGATAAACATGGCTTACCTAATGATAGTCGTCGTTTCCACTATTCCTGTCTGCAGTTGGTCTACGCTGTTTATGACAACAGCAACTCATTCAAATGATACACTGCTCGCGTTTGAATTTACCGCCTGCGCATGCGTATTACCGACACCGGAAGTAAACATCGCAGTATAAAAATCTTACGTTTTACATGCAAGGAAACAGTCAAACTAGCTACTCTATAACGTGCAGTGGTGATAAAGGTTACACCAATCTTTGAACACGCAAACTGAAGAAGACATTACACTCTCTCGTTTTTCTCAATAAGTAATACATTTACAAGAACTTCCGGCAGATATGTGTTTGATAACATTTTATGAGCGCTTAATATTTTCTCAGGGGAGTAATTCTTGTAAGTTCAACAAGTCTTCCTTACCTGGGGCGGTGGGGAGCCCAGTGGCTCGTCACGCCGAAGACCTGGGTTCGATTCCCGTGAATGTACAATGGGTGCGAAACCCATTTTTGGGCGGATCCTGGAATTTTGAAAGGTGGGGTTCGAACCCCCTGAACCACCACCCACACCCACTCCTGGATCCGCCAATGCCCGCCGTGATATTGCTGGAATATTACTAAAAGCGGAGTAAACCCCAACTCACTCACTCACTCACTTTCTTTTCCTTGTTTAAGATATACAAGTAACGATTCATTGGTTGTTCTGAAAACTAGTAAAGAAGTATGCCATGTACCTTTCAGCGGCAAATGTACAAACCCGTGAAGTTGGTTTTGAATTGGTTTTCAGCAACCCATGACTGACGTAAGTCGATGGCATCAATGGTAAGACATGCTAAATGTAATAAATATGAAATCATGCTACTTGAATAATGATGTACTGAAAAAATATAGCATTCCCTGTTATTCTGTTTTTTGTTCCAGACACAACAAAAATATTTGAAACAAAGCTCATTAAATTCAGACAATCAGGATACATCTCTGCCTGAAGATCAGACACAAGTTCCACATAAAGTCGCCGGAGGTGAACTTTCTATGCAGCCAGTCAGTTCCGAGGCTCACTATTCTAGGGTGTGAATGAGTGAAACATTCAGGGCAGCAAGTCTGATCTCTGTATACCTCTAAAACGAACATACACGCGCAATTACAAATGGAAAAAATAAAAGCCGTTGAGAATATTACTTTATACAGCATGTCGTTTCAGCGCGCCACACAATAGTGTGTACTGTCAATGGAATATTTTGTCATCTTTTTCATTTAGGTGTTATTTTGTAAGACTGACCTTTCCCAACCTAGGTGGTAAAGCAGGTCTGTGACTGGCTCGTGAATCCACGGGATTCTTGTTGTCATTTACGTTTTTTGTGTATGTCTTTCTAATTACTAGTAAAGTGTTACTACACTTTAATTTCAGTTTGTTTTGTTTGTGATCAGTTTATTGTTTAACGCCGCTCTCAACAGTATTTCAGTTGTATGGCGGCGGTCTGTAAAACATCGAGTCTGAACCAGACAATCCAGGGACCAACATCATGAGCATCTATCTACGCGATTGGGATACAATGACACGTGTCAAGCAAGTCAGCGAGTCTGACCACCTGATCCCGTTAGTCACCTCTTACCACAAGCATGGATTGCTGAAGACCAATTCTAAACCAGATCTTCACGGGTCGCTTCTAAGCCCTGCTATGAGATTCTGACTACAGTTATGTTAGGCGAGCCCTCTTCAGAGCATGAAAGCCTTTTATTCACACAAATTGGGAAGACCCGTCTTTTTTGTTGGATGTCGGTGAAATACAATCGAGGACGATCCTGGGATTCGAGATTCAGATATTTCCCAGTGAACGAACGAACGAATGAGTGAGTGAGTGAGTGAGTGAGTTAAGTGTTACGCCGCACTCAGCAATATTCCAGCTATATGGCGGCGGTCTGTAAATAATCGAGTCTGGATTAACAATCCAGTGATTTACGGCATGAGCATCGATCTGCGCAACTGGGAACCGATGACATGTGGCAACCAAGTCAGCGAGCCTGACCACCCAATCCCTTTAGTCGCCTCTTATATTAGGACAAGCATGGGTTACTGAAGATTCATTCTAACCCGGATCTTCAAGGGGCACGAACGAATAAATGAAACAAAAGACACATGGGCAGGGAATTTAAGACCGCGGAGAGAAAAGTAACAACACACACAATATGCAGATATTATTTTGTGTTGTGAAATGACGTCACTGTGCCGTTCGCCAATTATGGCATCATTGATCTGTGACGTCATAGCTTTATGGGATCTATACACTTTTCGCGTCGACAAAATTTCTACCTTATTAGAACATAACATTCTTGCTACATGGACATAGTAACGAAATTCCCGTGATAGCATCTAGGGCGTAAATTCGTTAATGTTCCAATACAATAGACAATATTTACAACCTCGTGTGACGGGATTGATACGAGATGGACCACACTTGGAGACGTTTGTGACGTCACGCCATTGTTGATGCTGTCTTTCTGCCAACAAGACATTCTCTCTCGCATCTCACGATGAAGACTGAAATCGTCGAAACCAAGACACTGCCTTCACTCAAGTTTTGGAGTGAGGCTTCGGAAAGTTCGTTTGTCGCATTTTACGATGGTATCGTATCCAACGCCGTAATATTCTTACCAGGAGTTGTGAACCTGAAGTCAACCAGGGCATGGAATCAGGAAGAACTGGAAAGTCTCCATGTCACATTCAACCAAAGGAGCGCTGCCAGGACAACTGCAATCATGCCAGGTATTGTACAACACCTGAAGCCTCAGCCGTTACGACATGTGCAGCTGCAAGGATTCAAGAATATGGAAAGTCTATGCAGTCTATGCAACGAAGAGTTCCTGTCCATGGCACGTACACTGGTTCTTGATTATACTGACTTTCTGGAGGACCAAGTCTCAAGCCTTCTGAACCTGGCTCTACTCAAGCGTGAACACAGTCTATCTGCAGCCTACAACCAAGCGATGGTTGTCACAACGGGCCCAAGTGATGTCGAATCTCTGGTATGCAATCCCCCAAACTCACAGTATCTCGCTGGACACAAGAAAGGACTCACCTTTGTATCATTTTATGATGGGACCGCAAACACGGCTGTTATATTCTTACCAGGAGCTGTAGAGCAGATAAACGGCGTCGCGATTTACGAAGAAAGGGCTGCCTCTGCACGTACACTAATGCCAGTTAATGCACAACTTAAGCCTCAGCCATTACAACTGGTCGGATTCAAAAGTATGGAAAGTGCATCTATGACATACAGCGAAGAGTTTCTGTCCACGGTACGTACAGTGGTGCTTGCATATAGAGACTTTCTGGAGGACCAACTCTCAAGCCTTCTGAACCTGGTCATTCTCAAAGGGGAACAAAGTTTGTCTACAGCCTACAACCAAGCAATGTTAGCCACAATGGACCCACGTGAGGTCAAGTCTCTGATGAGCTCGTCCTCAAACCCACGGTATCTGGCTGGACCCAACAAGGGACTCCCCTTCGTTGCATTTTACGATGGGACCGCAAACACGGCTGTTATATTCTTACCAGGAACTGTTCAGCAGATAAACGGCTTGACCACAAGCGCAAGAAAGAAGGTAGGACTATTTGTAGGACAAGCATGTGCCCTGACCACAAGCAATGGAATTCAGACAGGACTCTTGAGACGCTCGTATGTTGCTCTCTCCGAAATAAGGGCCGCCACTGCACGTGCACTAATGCCAGTTAATGTTCAACACCTGAAGCCTAAGCCATTACGACACGTGCAACTGGTAGGATCCAAGAATTTGGAAAGTCCATATAACGAAGAGTTCCTGTCCATGGCACGTAAACTTTTGTTTGATTATAAAGACTTTCTGGAGGACCAACTCTCAAGCCTTCTGAACCTGGCTCATCTCAAGCGTGAACACAATCTGTCTGTAGCCTACAACCAAGCAATGTTAGCCACAATGGTCCCAAGTGAGGTCGAATCTCTGGTACGCCCTCCCTCAAACCCACGGTATCTGGCGAGACTCCCCTTCATCGCATATTACGAAGGAATCGTAGCTACGGCAGTGGTGTTCTTGCCAGGTCATGTGACAATCCCGGCGTCCCGGCCATCTACTCCACAAAAGTCAACTCGAATGGAGACCCGATCAAGCCAAGATATAGTACATAATGATGGGATCTTGGCCACAGCACATATTTTTCTAACATTCCTCCAGAAAAAGAGACAATCGGAAGTTGAGACCACAAACCCAAGACCGCTATTTCGACCCCAGTGGAGTCGGGTTGAAAAATGTCGTCTGCTCGAAGACAAACTGGACGGACTTCCGCTGAGGTACAAACCCCGTACCACCAAATACATCAGCTTCGAGGAGAAAGAAATTGTAAGTATCCATTTATCATTTCACGTGCCTGAAAATATGTGTTCGTGTGACAATGTTGAATTTATAAGAATACACAATGATATTAAGTATTAAACTTATTTTCTTTTCCCCCGAGTACTGAAAAATGTGAATACTAGGGAACACTTTTGATCTGCCTTTCCAACACAAACCCACACCCACATCCACACAAACACGCATATACACCATAATCATGTAAAGAATCGCTCTCTGTATGATCAGTGACTGGTTTCTGTGGTCCATGAAGTCAGTTCTAAGCGTGGTATCAGTTTAAGTTCGAAAGTTTAATTCGATAAAATTACCGTTCAAAGTTTGAGTCAAATATTCAGTATTACAGTTACAAATAAACGTGTGTATGTTTGTGTTGGTATTTTGTGACTATTGCAGAAAGTATAATATATATAAACGCCATCAAAATAAGTAAAACATGTCTTGAACAAGGAGAAACAAGCTCGCGTTTGAATACCTTCTTTGAAATAATAACTAGCTAAAATTTCAATGTTTATATTTGAAAGATAAGCACATGGTCTATTCGACACGTACACAAGCTGAGAATCTAAAGTCAGAAACATACGGTCTAAATGCAGTTTTCACAGTAAACAAATAGCAGTCATTCCCTGTATATTATACCTAATACGTATCAACAGAAGAGAATATTTTTTACCACAATATTATACAACAAAATATTTCACGATATGTTCCTCGTTTCACATAGGACACCCGGCAGCGTATCCTCAACACTATCCCCTCCCTGAAGACTTTCTTCCCTGGGAGCTGCCTGGCCCGGAGTCCACTCACACCCTGCTACTCTCTTGAGGAAACCTACCCCGACATGGCCTCTGCCACCTTGAAGGACCTGGTCACTCAACACATGAAGTACTTCAGGGCAAGTCCCAGCAGGGCTCCAAGTCGACAGGCAGGTCGAACTCAAATCCAGATCATGGAAGACCTGTACTGGGAAAAGCTGAGGAGGATGGGAACACCGGAGACAGCAGACGAGATGTTTAGTAGACGACAGAAGGAGATGTGCTTCACTAGGAATCTCTGGTATGGGTCTGTCATCAAGAGGACCAAACTCAATTCCGATCACAAGGGCAAGTCAATGTTGAACACCAAAACTGCCAAGCTGAACGACACAGCCTGTCTTAACACAAATAACAACGGTTACACCAAAGAAGAAGGTGACTGTGATCGTGACACTACCGACTCTTCTGTCTTCGGGTCGAAGTCGGACCAGGGGTTCTCCAGAGGTCAGGATATTGCCAGGAAGAAACCAAGGCACAGCTACCTGAACAAACGCCACTCTGATGGCTATAGATCGTAACAGGGGACCAGCGGGTGTGGACGGAACATATGCTGATTTTCCCAAAACGCATTTGGAGCCAGAGCCAGCTCAAAATGAAGCAGGGATGGACACAGGCCAGTTCACAGATTCATCGCCGCTGCAGTGTCAGATGAAGGCCGCAATCTTAACACAAAGAGAACCAGACAAAACCTTCAATCCAACTGATTGTGGCTTGGGTCGGGTGTCTTTAGTTACACATGACCCTTCTACCCCGAGACATGATGGAAAGTTCTTTGAAGAGGCTTTGTTGCAGAAGGGTACCCCCGAGGATGATGCTATTCATCTCAAAGAGTTGTTCAAAGACGTCTCAAACTTTGATTCCCTCAGTGATATTCCAGAATCCACCTTGCAGAGAGTTCTCCTCTTAACATGCAAACCATTTCTTAAAGATGGATACAACAGTGGCTTGTCTTTCCTATCAAACCTCATAGAGAGCCCAGAGTGTAGTCCTGTACAACCTATCCAAAACCTGGAACACTGTGCGGGTCAGGGCACATCAGCAGGAAGTGCTGCAGTAAGTCCCACAGACGCGCTGTACAGAGAGACCTGCTGTATGAGGTAGGTGTTTTGTGAATACATTGGAGTAGGTGTTTTTACGAATGCATTGGAATATTGTTTAATGCAAAGAAATACGTGATATGTGTAGGATGTTGTGATGCTATTAAATTCAAGGTTTATGTTTTGCTCTATGTGTCAATAATGCCTGTTATCACACCTATTCCTCATTTCAGACTTGAACAGTTCCCCGTGTTTGAGGCTAAATCTACCCATAATGACGACTTCATGGGAGACCTTTCCTTTACTGACAACAGTCCTGACGATAGGTACGTGACATTGAATAATGAACTACTTGATTATAAATCAACATATTCTTGTAAGTAACATTGCAGTGATTAATGACGTGATCACATCATGACTTTGGCTTTGATGTTTCAGGGCTGAGTCTCCACGCTCCTTCCTGCACGATGACTTCATCCATGAAGATGACGTCCTGGACATTCCTACCTTGAGCATCCTGTCTCCCTCTCGAGCCTCTCTTGGACAAGCCTATCACGGTGATCATGCCATTACTTCTCTCACCACCTCAGACCACGATGAGTACAAGCCAGCCAGCCATGAACCCTTTCCTTCTGAGTACGTCTTCAAGAGGGCGTGTGGACCTTCCTTTAGAGTGTCCTCGGAATTCTGGCACATCCAAATACCAACTCTTCCGTCAGACATGGTCGACTACAAAGTGGAGGCAGACGGTCTGACTGAAATAGTGATCGGGTCAGGATGTTTTGGGGAGGTTTATGCAGCAACGTTAATGGTGTCCCCTGGCCAGAGTAGAGATGTGGTGGTTAAAGAACACTTCACAGACAAGACAACACAGGAGTCCATCGCTAATGAGGCAAAGATCACGATGTACCTTGAGTCCACAGGCTGCGTCCCTATCTGTTATGGACTATTGAGTGACGAGGAAGATGGCTACAACATCGTGATGGAGTATGTTGGAACAGGACAAACACTTTATGATGTAATGCGCGAGTTGGAATTGCCAAGATTACACTGGCTGAATATTGTGTGCCAGCTGGTCAGTGGACTGAATAAAATCCACAAGAAAGATGTTCTCATCAATGACATCAAGTCAGACAATATACTTGTGGACATGTCTGGAGAACTGCCCTTGGTCAAGTTCTGTGACATGGGAACAGCATCTTACAAATCAGGGGTAACCTACAGAGGGCCCATGGAGAATTGTGTACATCTCGCCCCAGAGGCCTGTGCTCACGCCGAGACAACCGCTGCATGTGATGTATTCAGTCTTGGCAGAGTCCTGAAGAAGATCCATGGCGTCTCCCACATCTCAACCTTGTTGTCAGTTTCTGACCTGTGTATGGCTGAGGATCCATCCAGTCGTCCCACTCTCGAGGCTGCAAACCAGCTGTTGCAGGGGGAGTACACCAGGGAGATCATGTTCCCCACACTGACCGTGCCATCACACGGCTACCGTGACTCCATTGATGAGGAATCACAGGAAGAAACTCCCGGGTCTATACTCAGAGTTAACACACCAGTCGACACTGACCTGCCTACACCTGCAGGTCCTGGTACAGCTGAAGTTAGTGGTGCTGTCTCAGGTGACAGTAAATCAGGAAGTTGCAGCCAAAGAAGCATCAGGAGTGGCAGAGTCTCGCCATCAAATGACAAGGCCTCGGTCACAACGATAAGTAAACATGAATTGGGTACATCATTAGCTGCTGCTGATCCTGTTGGGATCCAGGACATCTATTCCATTTCCATCGATCATGTGCCATACATCCAGGGCACTGGATCATCTCATAGACACACCGTATCAAGAGTGAACTTGCCAAAATGTGCCCTTTCCTCTGCTGAGGTCACAGAAACTGCTGTTGGTTCCAAGTCTGCACAAAAACAAACTGAAACAGTGGTTAACAATACGGAAGCTGCTATTTCCGTGCCTGCACAAAGTGGACGTACACGTATGGCTAACGTTGTGGATGTTGCCACTACCAGGTCTGTACAACGTCTAAATGGAAGTTTGGACACTTTACCACCAGAGGGAACTTGTGAACTCCCCGATGCCTTCAGTTCGCCAAATGGATCGTATGGGTTCTACGCGCCACCTGTGCCTCCATCTTCTCCTGCATCATCATGTGCATCTTGCCACCTCCACCGGACATCTTCGTCAATGGAACTGTCTCTTGCTGCAGACTCACTAAAGTTTTCCGTTACCAAGGAAAGTGTCGACACTGCATCTGGTGAACTTCAAACATCCGCAAGTTATACTCACGATGCTTCATCCGACACGTTTGTTGATGCTGTCGAGGATCACCCTGATGCTGATGCCGACCCTGAGGGTCATCATACTGATGTTAATGAGGCTGCTGTCGTTCATGTAGACGGGAATCCTACTTTTCCCAGCCTGGAAGCTCTCCACGTGGCGGAGTACCGCGTTCTGTGCCAGGCAGAGCTGGGGGTGTACAACGAGTACAGTGATGACAGATCAGTGTACAAGGATTATCTGCCCTTGGTCCTGCCACTGTTGTTGCTTCCCCTTGGATTCTTTGGATTTATATAGACTTTGGATGGGGTTTGGACATTTATGTAAGGAGGATATATATTTATTTGAGCGTGTATGATTTAAGCTCCGGGGGAGTGTGATCTGATATTTCTTATTGCTCCTGTGATAATGTGTCCGGCGATTTATGCATGGAATCTTCTGTGATAATTTGTGATATACATGACCTTGTGTAAATGTATGGGTATTTTATAACTAGAATACAATGCTTATTTGTTTTGAATGTTATAGTGTTATTGTGCCATTTTATTGTTTTATGAATCTCGTCATTTGACAATCCATATGCTTCGAATACACCGATCTTTACCTTATTCAATCTTTGTGTCATGTTGTTTACCTCTATAGGTACTATTGACATAGCTGTTGTGGGCTCCTAGCGGCAATACACCCGTGAAGATCCGGGTTAGAATTAGTCTTCAGCAACCCATGCTTTTCGTAAGAGGCGACTAACGGGATCGAGTGGTCAGGCTCGTTGACATGTCATCGTATCCCAGTTGCGTAGATCGATACTCATGCTGTTAATCACTGGATTGTCTGGTCTAGACTCGATTATTTACAGACCGCCGCTATATAGCTGGAATAATGCTGAGTGCGGCGTTAAACAACAACCAATCCAATTAAAAAATCATACGGTCAATAGTTCCCAAATGGGGTAGACCGACCCTTGGTTGTTTTCTTGCCATCGGACTCCGATCATAATATCAACCACTTGTTATCGGTCTAGCTTAGACTTGATTGTATGTTTACGCCATTTACCTGCACTATACATATATATTGCTCACCGCATTTTCAGACAACAAACAGATAAAAAAAGTTGCTACTAATTGCACAAACAAGTGTTAGGCTAACACTTCCATGATCAAACAAGAACAAACGTAACGCTGGGGTAACAATTGCACAAACAATCCCCAAACCGTTAGGCAACCACTTACACTTAGTCTAACAAACGTCAGAGTAACACTTGTACACACACACGCACGCACGCACGAACACGCACACACACTAGATACAAAAAACCCAAAATATAATAAAACCCATTAATTACACTGGCAAGAGCACAAGGAAACTTTACGGTAAACATGCAGGAAGTGAGCCGACAAACCGAGGGATTAACGGGAGTTAGTGAGTGAGCAGTATACGAGTAACATCATGGCGGGAGACATAAGAAATGGCTTCACACATTTGTACCATCTTGGGAATCGAATCGAGTGTTGACGCTTGACGATTAAACTACATGTATATATACACTAAACGCCAAAAGAAACGTTACCCTCCTACATTTACGAATTACTTAAAAACCATCAAGATGTGTTAGAAGGTATAAGTTTACAAGAAAGCTGAACAACACAGCTTTATGCAAATTACGAAAAATATTTCTCAAATGCATTCATATTTAGGTGAAATGCATCTTATTCAGAAGAGTTAAATTGTCCTATTTTCGTCCATGCCGAAATAAACCAATAACAGTGATTTAGATGTCCAAAAGAAAGGTTGAAATAAAAATCTTGTTTGAGACAAAGATAAACTATTTAAAGACACCATTTTTCAACTATTACAACAAGAAACAACTGTTGCAGAGTGTAAAATTGTCAAATAATCATTCCTATGATTTCAGTCTTTTAAAACATTTTCTGCTGATTTGCATTAGTGAAAACAAGTACAACGTGTCTGTGGTATTGTCAAAAAATGTTTGGGAACATCTGAAATTATCTTTGTTAACATTTTTGCTTGCAAAGTAACATTTTTTTCCATTTTCTGTTTACACATAGCAATATCAATCGCCAAAACGCAGGAATATTCAAGCAGTATTTGCATCCATTTCACATATAGAATGATTCTGTAGCATATAAAGAGAGCCTAGAATGCATGATATGATACACAATTTCGAGAAATATGCCACGATTAACAGCTGAAGAGAGAGAAAGTGCCATTGTAATGGTGCAGATGGGGTCGACATACAATGCCGTTGCCAACGCCCTCGGATGCCAATCGTATCACGGTTATAAGACTTATTCAGGGCTTCAGACAGACTGGGGTCCCCGTAGACAGAACAAGAAGTGGACGTCCACGCATCACAACGCCAGCTGAAGATAGGTACCCCCGTCATTAAGGAAGGAGGGTAACGTTTCTTTTGGCGTTTAGTGTATATGTTCCCTCACCGCCCCTGGGTATTCATTGTATATGGTCATTGATAGTTTCAGTTTTCGTCGCTTGATTTAAACCGAGCAAAATCTCTGGTACGTCAGCACATAGCTTGTTCCCTAGTCTCTCTCACAGTCCCTGAACCCCATTATTTCCATAAGTTGCCTTGCCCTTTCTGCAGTGATATTTTAGCTCTGAACGAAGCAAGTCTATATTTTCTCACTGGCTCACTCTCCATTCTCACTGAGGCACCTTTTCAGTTTGTTTGTTTGTTTTGTTTCTATAAAAATTAGATATATTCAGAGACTAGGCGTTAGTCTATTTGTTCCATTGTTTTATAACCGAACCAGTGTTTATGTTTACATTTCATACATTAGAGGTCAATGAAATAATCTACTAGCGGCTTACTAATATCATTAAGTATGAGAGTAACCTCCCTTGGAATATTTTTCCGCGGGAACTCGTATACGACGTTCTTGCCATATTTTGAACAAGATAATGGACCAAAGTGAATTTGAATCCGATCGAACCAAGAACTGCATCATAAAGTCAGAGGTTCCAGAGATCTGCAAGACGGAGCCATGCTGCCTGGGGATAGACGAAGCTGGAAGAGGACCGGTGTTGGGTAAGCACTAATAGTCTATGCTAATAGCTTGAGACAAATTGTAAAGAATTTGAAGTTTCGAATATTCATGACGGCTGATAATAACTAAATGTATAAACATAATTGACCTTATATTATTAAATCATTAGGCTGTTTATATATACTGCACATACAATACAGTGAGCGTTTTCGCAGTATTTCACACTCATTGCGCCTTACCAGGGATACTCTACAACAGGGTCATGTCTTGACTGTATAGAACCGCATCGCGGCTATCGGCTACAACAGGGATAGGTCACTCGCTTGCTTTCTTTACCATTTGTACTAATTAGCGTGTGCCTCCTCATGCTCCAACGCACACAGCGACTTGGTTCGTTCCCAGCGCAACTTCGGCTGCGTTTAAAAGTACTTCAGCCAGTGTATTGTATCAGTCGGAATTTTACAATGAATGAATAAATGAATGAATGAATGAAGAGCAAGAATTATATGTGAATGAATGAAAGAAATAAAGAAAAAGAACAAAAGAAAGAAATACATATGTGAATGAATGAAAGAATAAATGATACACCACGGCCATCCCTCCCCAAACATGTTAAAGAACGCAAAACTATCGGTAGAACACATGTGTTAACATCAGCTGTCCTTTTTTAAAAAAATCTACTTTGAGACATTTTTTTACATTAGTAGTTTCAGATATCTTATTGCATCATTGTGTGGAATGGCATGGACATTGACAGAATGTTAACTGACACTGTCACAGACCCCGGCTACAACATGCCGACTTGAAACTTTACAACAAATTATTTGACTTAAAATGGAGTGACAGAATAGGTAACTTATCTTCTACATGTAGGTTTTCAGTTGTCACAACACTCAGCGTATGTAATTGGCCGTTGAAAATAAACCGGGCTCAATCTTAAAAACTACGCTGCCGCCATATTGGCTACACTGGTCACGTGACGAGCCGAGGCATATGCTAAGGGGCTTTCCGTTATATAGTCTCCCTGGTCTTACCGAGATTTTTGGTAAGAGTTCCGCCCGTAACCCCCGCTTGAAATGTAATCTATTTATTAGGATTATTTCGAGGGTTTAGGGTTAGGGTTTAGGTTTAGGTATAGGCTGTTTATAATACCTTTAGAATACAGCACCACAAACTTTAAAAATACGTCATAATACCCTTTTACGTAATGTAATGTGATTTTGTTCGAAAGCACGTTCTCGAAACAATGCCCTATGACGCCTGCATGGCAACACGGTTGTCTGGTTCAGCGAGTGCGTATAAGCTCCGCTCACTGGTGTTTCATCTCTACGAGCTATGTCATTGCATAAGCCCATCGATGTTGAGAGTTTCCAGTAGTTGTATACCGGCGGATGCGTAATATTTTGCAAGCACCAGTTTGAAATATTTTTCTTTTTTCACCAATACGCTCATATTTATTTGTATTACGGGGTGCTGAGGTGTTATGTTTTGTGTATTTTGTATTTTGTATTTTTAAAATTTACATAAATATTTTTGTCATTCAGTAGTTTGCACCATTACATAGAAAAGTGTTTTATTAGTATTTTATTATTTCGAAGCGGTAATAATGCATTACACTAGACACGTCAGTCATGTTTGTGCCGGTTCGGTCAATGCATTCTATTTATTAGTATTAATTCAAGGGGTAGGTTTAGGGCTAGGGTTAGGGCTTAGGGTTTAGGGTTGGGGTTGGGGACCTAATCCAATATAGTAGGTATTGTCCCGTGGTTCGGTCAATGCATTCTATTTATTAGGATTATTTCAAGGGATTAGGGTTAGGGCCGTGGGTTTAGGGTTAGGGTTAGGGACCTAATCCAATGTAGTAGGTACATGTCCGGTGTAATACGTGAGTACCATTTGTTATTTTTCCTTTTGCATTTTGCTTTTTTCACACAAAAAGGGGAAACCAAACGTCGAAAGTACACTATGAAATGGTTTAATGTAGAAATTTTGGGCTAATGGAAATTGGCCTGGAATTTGCACTGAAGTCTCTTTCACACGCAACATTTGTTCAGTAATGATTCGAAGGCTAACTCACCCTCGTGCCGTCACTACACATGCTCATGTCTCCCTCGTTCCTTAGTGCGATCCACATTATCCTTACAGTGTTCCCTACATCACTTTTCTGTCACAAAATCACCGATTAATATAAAAGCGCGTCATTCATGCACGCACCGTGAAATCTACGTCTGACGCCTGACGTCAACAACCCTTTTTAGTTTGAGGCATATCGGCTCATTCCACGCCACACGTTATCTTGTAGATTATGGAATGGGACGAGTGTGCCAAATGGCATCGGATCCATTCGGCAATTGTCTGTAGAATAAAATCACGAGACACCAAGTCTACCCGTAACCTTCGTAATTGTCCGTGACCTATTCGACTCTTTCCGTTCATTTCCGTGACGACACAGGAATGACTCGATAAATTTGCACATTGTGCAACAGTGTGGACGTAGCTCAGTCGGTTAGCTGTCGAGCTAACAATCCGAAGGTCGCGGGTTCGCGTCCGACGGGTTCTCACAAACTGGTTGCTTGTCTTAATGACACGTGACCTACGGCAGAGATCGTCCTCATGAGAAGTTGTGGTTCTGTAGGTGCTCCCAAAAAACATAGGCGTATATTCTTAGGCATATAATGATTAAAAAAATACGGGGATTACGGGCGGAAATCTTTCAGATTTTTTACATACATGTAGTCTTGTCTTGTATTATATAGTCTCTGGTCTCAAAGACTATTCGTTAACACAATCACGATAAACAGAATATTTTGAAAAGTTTTCTTCTCTCTTCTCTAGGTCCAATGGTGTATGGCATTGCGTACTGTCCCCTTTCACAACAGGAGAAGCTGAAAGAGATGGGATTGGCAGGTAGTTACAACTTATGTACTTATGGTCTCAAATATTACTCTTTCCTATAGTACAGGGCTCCAGATAAAGGCCGTATCGGCGTATGTACTTATGGTCTCAAATCTTACTCTTACCTATAGTACAGGGCTCCAGATAAGGGCTGTATCGGCGTATGTGTGGATATAAAATACACGATCGGTAGGAAACAATTGTTAAATGTAGCAAATACGCACCACAGCAATGGTGTACGGTTTCAGAATCATTTACAGACATATTTATCTGAAAAAGTATTGTTTTATTTTTTACTGACCTGTTTACACAAGAGTAGCAATGTTGTGGTGCATATATGAAACGAAACACAAGATTACTGATACGCCATTAAATTCCATTCAGTACTCTTATTGTTTTCCAGTACTCCTATATTGGAAAAATAAGGAGTACGTACTTCTGATCATGAAAAATTATCTGGAGCCCTGATAGTAGCCCATGCTTTTTCAATTATACAGTTCACATATGATAGCTCTATTGTTTCTGAGCACACATTGTAATATTCAACCTGTGAATAGCTCTGTTATTTTATTATGAAATACGGGGAATTGGGATACAATGACATGTGTCAACCATGTTATAGTCAGCAAGCGTGACCACTAATTGATTATGTTAGTCGCCTAGCTCTTACGACAAGCATGGGTTGCTGATAACAAATTCTAACCCGGATCTTCACGGGTGATACAGCATAAGAAAGAATACCATTTGTTTTGTGAAGTGGAATACCCTTCTTTTGTTTTTGTTAGTTTTGACCATGTTGACCTTTAGCATCCCCCAAACACTTTTGTTTTTGATATTTTGATTTTCAGATTCCAAAACATTGTCTGAAGAGCAGAGAGAATCCATGCTGGAGAAGATAAAGGCTGCTGCTGACACAGTGGGCTGGATTGTTGAAATCCTCACACCAGCCTACATCTCCAACAGCATGCTCCGAAGGTGAACCATGCAGTTTACTTGAGATTTGTGTGATAACTCACTTAGATGGAATTACACAGGCAACCTTTGACGTATATTGCTGACCTTTCTTATAGCCTGCTTATCATAAAGGGTTGATGGTTTTCAAAGGTCACTTGCTGTTAAGTTTTATCTCTGAGCTTAAGTCAAGGGGGTAGGCTCTTCTGGTACTCTTGCTGAATTTTTCAAAGGGTTGCCTTAACATATGTCCTCGAGTTTGCCCTAAACAATACTAATGCAACCATTGCATATACTCAGGGTTTGTAATTATGATCCAAGTCCACTCTCTAAGCATTCTATATCATTAACCTGGTTGATGGATCAGCGTGCAATGATTTTATGCTCAACTCCCTCGAGAGTATACAACCTAAACTGCATGTGAGGCGTTTGAAGGTTATATCTAATCCTTCCGGGTACCCATTAACTGCTGGGTGAACAGACACATGTTTCAAAGAAAGTCCTTAGAACCACCACATGTGGTACAGTGGGAGGCTTGGTTGATTGTATGTCACTGATGTGATGATGTTCATGCTATTGACCACTAGTTTATCTGACACAGGCCTTATTACTCACAGGACAGCTTGTTTTTACTTAAAATAAAATCTAGAAATTATGGTTTTAACTAAAATTATGATCTGAGAGGTCTGTGCTAGTGTAATTTTTTATGTACAGTGGAAGCCCTCTAAACCGGCAGCCCTCCAATCCGGCATGCTCTCAATATCGGCACTAGAATTTGGTCCCTACAGAAGTTAGTTAATTTATGATAATTTACCCGCCCTCTAATCCGGCATCAGCCTATTCCGTATTTCGGCACAACAAAGACCGCCCAATTGACTGATTGTACAGTAATTAACGCTCTCTAAACCGGCATGATTGTTTTTCGACTGCCCGCTGTAAAAACATGCCCATTTCTGGTCCTATTTTGAAAGAGAAAGCTATTCAGTTTGCTTCAGAGTTAAATGTCAACGAGTTTAATGCATCAGATGGTTGGCTGGCACGCTGGAAGACACGATATCAAACAGTTCAAAGTTAGCGTCGAATATGATGACTATCAACACGTTGTTCAGTCTTATTTTACGGCATACGGAAGATCATTCTCAGGTTGAAAAGGGAAAAGTTCTCTAAACCGACATTTTTGGGCGGTCCAAACGAGTGCTGGTTTAGAGGGCTTCCACTGTAAATCTCTGTTTATACTCTAATATTACCTTCCAGGACCAAGTATAATTTGAATGCCCTCTCTCATGACTCAGCGATTGGCCTTCTACAGAGGGCCCTCAGTCTGGGAGCAAACATCACAGAGGTAATAGTATCTCACATTCTCAGCAGGGATTACTGGAACTGGGTGTATGGGGGACTCACAGCCTTCTGTTTTAGAGAAATGTAAAAGCTAGTATACGCTGATCGACCTCAGATGCCAGACCGTAAATGTTCAGAAGCTCATAGGGAAAATGGAGTTCCCCTACTGAATGCATTTGTATAGTAGTGCTAAGAAGATCTTGAAGCTTTTGACTGTGATTTGAAATTTTATAATGAGTATTTACAGACATTAATTGATTAAAGAGGTACAGATTATGAACTTGCAGCATTCATTCCGAAACAAGGACACACATTTCAGTGTTACAGTAGTTGAAAGCAAATTATGTTTGCACTCCAAATTATTTTTGCACAACTTTTTGTTTATTGTATGGAGTGACATTTTGATGTAGTTTCTTACAGTTTTAGCTTGATAACGGTGAAAATATCTACATCGAAACGTCGCTCTATGCAATAAACAAGAAGTTGTCATCTATAAAGTTGTATGATATATTGTTGAATTCAGTATCGCCTCATATTTTAGGTCTTAATAGGGCTTCTGAGATAGAATAGGTCTCTCTGGTCATAAGAGATGACCAAATGGATGAGGTGATCAAGCTTCTGATATGTTTGTGTGCCCTTGACCCTTACAGTGTAGATCATTTTGTACAGTGTTGAACACACTGCAATATTACTGAGTGTCACAATAAACAAAAACTACCAGCAAAAGTTATAGTGATTTGATTATTAAGAAGAACATTATGTATGCTATGTTATTTGTTGTTTGCAGGTGTATGTCGACACAGTGGGAGACCCTGCAAAGTATCAGGCGAAACTGAAGGATATTTTCCCCGACATTGATATCACTGTTGCCAAGAAAGCTGACGCCACCTACCCCATTGTCAGCGGAGCCAGTATCTGTGCCAAGGTCAGTGAACCAAATGTAGTTTTTAATATCAATCTTAACCTCAATTCAAATGGATTTTGATTATTTGAAACCTAGTGAGATTGTGATGGTGTTCACGGTCAAACATTTGCTTAATCAGTGTTTCGAGTTGAAAAGGAAAAGTCATAGAGATTTTGAAATGGAAAGACCAAGTTACGAGGGACATTGGGATGTTATATGCTGATGTAGGCACAGCAGCCATATTGGGAAAGGTATTTATGGCCCTTATGAGGTCATAAGAAATTTCGTGATATTTGGTTTGTTTATAGTTGGTAGTGAACCTTAAAAAGTTTTCTGTTTTTTTCAATAGTTTAGATAGATTTGTACCTTTACTTGACCTTCGACAAGGTACAGTTTATTTTTTCACTACCTGCAGCAAGTACAGAGAAGTGAATTAATCAGGGAGCACCATTAAAATATTGGCTGCTCCATGTTGACAACTCTCACTGATAACAGACAATTCCTTATCAGCAGACTGAGAGGGATATTCCTGGCCAGTTTCACTATCTCCAGAACTGCTTGGAAAACTGCATGTATGGGGAAATATTTGTTTGATAGTTTCTATTAACTGACATTTTCATTCATAAATTCAATTTTTTCCCCGCTTGACCGCAGTCGGCAAAATCCCCATTACAAGTGACTGACTGACTGACTGAGTTTGATTTTACGCCGCTTTTAGCAATATTCCAGCAACATCACGGCGGGGAACACCAGAAATGGGCTTCACACATTGTGGGGATTCAAACCCGGGTCTTCAGTGTGATGAGCTAATGCTTTAACCACTAGGCTACCCCACCGCCCCCCATTACAAGTGACTTATTAGAGAATGGCATCTGACCTACCATGAAATGTTACAAAATTGTGAACTGATTTATGAGCTTGAATGCTGACTTGTTTATGTGTTATTTCCAACGATAATTCACCAGATACACACCACAGGAAAAGACGCAATTTGTCCCAATATAACTGTTGCCAAAATGGAAACTGCTGAAAAATGTGTAGCCTGAAGATAAAAGCTACCTGCACTAGCAATATGTTACCTTCACTGATTCAGACTGGAGATAGCAAAATGGATCCCTGATTTGACCTTTAACATAGAAGCTGAAACCAAGACTTGCACCCTTTAGTTGAGTAAAAACTTGTTACCATGACATCCAATCCTAGAATGACTTGATCATGATACTTTGTCAGCAGCAGGGTGGGGTTGTGGTTCAAGTGTTCACGCGTCAGACTCGATTTCCCACATTGGGACTGTGTGTGAAGCCCATTTCTGGTGTCCTCTGCTGGAATATTGCTGCTCCCTCTCTCCCTCAGATGCTTGTTGGCTTCAATAAAGTTTTGAAAGTATGTAATCATTTCGGCCTTCCTCAGTCATTAAGCAGTGATATTTCATACCTCATCTTGCAATCCAGTCTGGCTGAAATACTGTTCAGAGCAGCATGGCATTGAAATCATCGTGCGTATCTCACTCACATAATCTTACAAACCAGGGTCCCCTATACTGTGACTTGTGTTTCAGGTGGCACGAGACCAGGCTGTTAAGTCATGGCAGTTCCAAGAGCTTGTTGGGAAAGAAGGACTCGAGTATGGATCAGGGTATCCAGCAGGTGACTATCCCCCTGAGAATTTGTTTCATTTTGTGAGAAAGTATATCTAATGTGTAAGATGATGCTCTCCAAGATGGCTCGGGTGAAAAGATTCACAGATGGAGTAAGGCTTTTACACCAGACATATTACACATACCCATATGTAAATTCATGCGACAATTTGAATCAATTCCGAAAAGATATATATATATATATACCAAGTGTTTGGAAGATATGGCCTGATAACTAATCATTGTCAGAAAAAATTCTAGGACTGACTGCTGATCCTTTCAGAAATATACTAGCCTGTTTTGCAATCATTACATTGTCGTCTGATGCCATGATATACATTCTTTTGTGCTTCATGTACATCGGTATACATCCCTTTGTGCTTCATGTACATCGATATGCATCCCTTTGTGCTTTCGAGTACATCGATATGCATCCCTTTGTGCTTCATGTACATCGATATGCATCCCTTTGTGCTTCAAGTACATCGATATGCATCCCTTTGTGCTTCAAGTATATCGATATGCATCCTTTGTGCTTCATGTACATCGATATGCATCCCTTTGTGCTTCAAGTATATCAATATGCATCCCTTTGTGCTTCATGTACATCGATATGCATCCTTTTGTGCTTCAAGTATATCGATATGCATCCCTTTGTGCTTCAAGTACATCGATATGCATCCCTTTGTGCTTCAAGTACTGTTAAATGTATGTATTGTCACAAGTACTGTGACATGTATTTTCTTGTGACTCACGTTATGATATGCACTTGTGATTGTGTTCAGTGGTTGGTAACATTCTTCCCTGATTTCTAGATCCAGGGACCAAAAAGTTTCTGGCAGAGAACATGGACCCTGTGTTTGGATTCCCAGACTTTGTGCGCTTCAGCTGGTCCACTGCTTCCCAGATGATTGAGAAGGACTGTGTTCCAGTCAAATGGTATGAAAGGAAGCTTGTGTCATAGGTCTACAGGGTTTTACCTTGACCTTGGGATACAGTGGGACCCAAAATTCATTTTAAGTGTCCTTTAAGAAGGAAGTTAATGTCTATTGAAAGATTTGATAAGAAATTTATTTACAGGAATTCCTGCCCTAAGTTTGATACAATTATGAAATACAGTTGCTCTACCCCATGTATAGTGAAATAAAGTACAGTTTTAACCTGGACTATTTTAGTTGAAGAATGTGAATGTGCTTTTTTACACTATACATGGCGGGTAGAGCAGACTGTATTTCTTTTGACAAAGACGATGACGATTAAGAAATAAAATGGAAAAATGATGTGTGAAATTGCAAAATGTTAAATTTAAATAGTTTTGCGTAATGAAGAGGTTATCCATAGCTATGGTATTCAGTCTTTGTGTGTCCTAGTTTCAGTGGGATTGTGATCACACAGGATTTGTGATGTATTTCCTGTTGTGCATATTGTCATGTCAGCTGAATTTCAAGGTCACTTGAAGCCTGCAGATGTGAAAGTAAATTTACTGACTCACTTTGCTTATTCGTAATTGTAGTTAATCTGTGTCAATCAATTCGGTTAGTAAATGGGATTTGAAGCTGAGATACATCAATCCTGCTGGTTTCTGTACGACAAAATAGTTTAAAAACATGGCTTCAAGAATTTAAGAAAAAGGTGGTTGGATTTATATTTAGCAAAATTCTTTTGAGCCGATAGTTCTCACAAATGAGTACACTTGTGATGATTCCACAAGGTCCATTGTCAAGGTGCAATGTTTATTTTATTTTTTTTCAACTGACACCTTGTCACTTAAATTGAATTATTAATGTAGAATTGAACAAGAAGACGTGGTCATCAATATCCCACGCCAGTGTTCTGTTCCTATTTGTTTTAACTCCACTGCCACATTCATGTTACTGACAAAATCTGTTCCCACAGTCGAGAACGCATAAGGGCCATAACTCTCTTAACAGTTTCCCTTTTCGGACCCCATCAAAGCATTCATGTCCTGAAAACAAATACCAAATTTGGTTTCTCTATTTGTAACAGGGGTTTTTTTGTTGCGAAAATCTGTCCCCATCATCTCGGATGGAGCTCAAACATGTAACTAACAGCTCCAAAAGTCACTGATAGCCAAAACCTGGGTTTGATTCTTGTGAATGTAACTGCATGAAAATATGGCCGCGCAACACAATGCCTGTTTCTAGTAAAAATTCAGATGTAGTCTATCATTCCGTTTCTTAATTCATCAACATTGAAGAGTCAGAATTGTCTTTTGTTATCTTCAGACCACCAGTATTTATTACCATCATGTTTTGATCTGATTGAACTGTTTTCAGGGAAGACGATGATGAAGATGAAGCCAAAAACACAGGCAGTGCATCCCTCTTATCCTTCTTTAAAAAGAAAACAGAGGACCCACGTCAACAGAAACACAGGTTCTTCACAGACAGACGTCTTACACAGGTCTCAGCATTGTGACATCCACATCAGCCATGGACTTTGCGACGTGTAGAAATAGACCTTTCCAATGTGTTAATATCAAGTTGCCCTTAACACCATGAAAAGACTAAATGTATTGTAATCCTGATAAATTCAGGTCATACTTGTAAATAAATCATATGAACAACCATATTTTTCCCTGGTTTTAATACTGCAAATGATATCTACATGAAACAAGCGACTTTTTAAGAAATCACAGTTCCATACATTCAGTGTTGCAATGTAACAAATGGGCGATGAGTAGAATGTTAGTTACATCTTCAGGTAGTTGGACATACAACAATAAATAATGACCACATTTAAAGAATAACTTACAGATGCATGGTCAGATTTCATTTCAGGAAAGTGTTAACACATTTAAAATTTGCTTTTACTTCATTTTTCGTTCATTCATTCACGCTTGAAGCAAATTACTACTCTAAAAAACATTCTGCAGCTACAGATTTAAGTACATTGTTACGGTTTGGTGGAACTGTTGTGCTCTGGCACTTGAGCATCAATTAGGGCAGGAAATTGTGCGTGATTCTGATAAAGCAAACTCTGCTTGAAGCCGTCTATGCACGTTTGATTTGTCCTTATTGCTGAGAAGAATCACTATCCAAACCACTGTAAGTTACAGAAATGCCTAAATAAAAGAATTTGGTTAAAAACAGATTAACGCACCAACTGAAATTGATACAAAGACATAATCTCGAACATAAGATGAATCCTAGGTTGTCCATTTCATTAAGTGACTGATATGTAGTGAAATGGTTGTACATTATGGCGTCAATTTCAAGGTCATGATTATCTGTAAATATTTGGTATGTCAGACTTTGGAACAATCTCATTAAAATCAGCTCAATCACTCCTGTACAACATCTCTGCATCAAGACCTGACATCTCCATAGAAGGTCGTCTTTGTCAATCTTAATAATCAGCATGGAGGCTTCTGGATTCTAGATATGAATGACCGTAGCTTTCAGATCAGCATTGGTGAAGTCTGCATAATGAAAACATAGTTGATTGACTTATTCTGAGTATTCAGGCGAATTCAGATTGGTTCATTTTCCAGGAAGCTGTCATCCAAAAATTCCTGACTTTGGAAATAATATGAACATTTAAGTCATGAAAATGTCCTAAAGCCCTGAATCTCTAGAAAAATCACTAAATATTTTATTCACCCTATAGCTTCTGAACACAATGGCATATACAACCTATACAGACTATCATCAAAAGCCTACATGAGTTCTGTGCTTTTTCTTTCGTTAAATTTTCGAATCAGTTGGGTTAAGTAATGGAAGCTGAAATGTCTTACTAACTTCTGAGTGACTGAAAAACCCACAACCTTTGATTAATTTGGGAGGTCAAAGTTTGCTCATCATCACCTGATGATACCTCTCAGGGAAGTGACCTCAGGTCTTCATGCAGAAATATCACACAGGAATAAAAAAGATCATATTTTAATGAGCTTGAAGGAGTAACAGCATTGCGAATGTAAGTCTCACAGGCATCCAACACTTAAACCTTGCTAGTCTGACAATCTGGAATCTCAGGACTGAAACCAGCTCATTATATACAATTCTTTGTATGTACAATTTCGTATCTCCATTGGATGTTAAGGAGACTGGTCCAGACCACTCTAGATGTGGGACTGGAATGTAAATCAAACTTGTTAAAATATTTGAACTCTTCTACTGCTGATATCATCAGACTGGCAAGGTCCAACCAGATGAAATTTTCTCTACAACACAATAAATTCACGCAATAACTTATACTCCGAGACATTTACACACTATTAACACAGAACAGGTTAATTCATCAGCCATAGTCTGCACATATTACAAAGGTTTATTGGAATAAAACTTCATACACAGACTGAATATGAAAGAGTCTATGAATACAGTGGGAACCATTATATGATTCCCAAAGACTTAAATAATGAACTAGGAAATGATCTACAAACAAACAGATTAAAGGTTACCATGACAACCAGTAATGTACACAAAAATAAAAGGCAACTTGTGTGTACGAAAGATCAGATATGAGACGACTATTTTTTTTACTCAGAAAAGCTGTCCATGCATGAATATCCGACACACTCTTTCACCTAGAACAAATTCAACATTAAAAATATGAAACAGGCTCTTTATAGCACTTGCCCTGCAAAGCAACTTTCGTATTAAAAACACCCCACGAAAAAAAGAAAAAAAACTTCAACAGTCGCAAAGTGGGCCCCATCACAAGGCATGGCAAAGCATAGATGCCCAATACCACCACTTTGTCTACGAAAGCTTGACAAATTAAGAAACAGTCCAGCTCCATCCACAAACTACAGATACTCAGATGAGATGAGAAACACGGAGAAGAGAGCATCCATCCATCCATCCACACACAGAAAAAAATCACAGAAGTTATCTACCATTCTCTCCATTCCACTCAAGTCAGCAGTGAGCAGAGACGGAGCACATTATTCAAGTTTATGTAGAAACATTTTATCATTTTGGGATCATTTTTTTTCTTTCTTTTTTTCGCTTATGTTTTTTGGACAACATTGTCAACAGCTGCCCGGGACACACAAATACAAATAATGGCTGAAAGACGTCCGCTTGGAAGGAATTCCGTATCATTGCTGTCCGTCATTCTGTCATTATCATGGTCCATTGTCCTCCATGCCTTTCTCTACCCACTCTATACCATCAGATCCAAGATTTGGCAGGTATCCTTGAGCCTGAAGCTGTCAGCTGGGCACAAGTTCATGCTGCTGGAGCTGCAGACACAACTCTCTCATGTCTGGTCTCCATTACACCAGCCTCCATTACATCAGATTCCAATGGCAAAGCGTTTGTTTGACAGGATTCATTTAGTCTTAGTAAGTCAGCATTATGAGCCTGAAAGAAGCATGCATCATTTGGATACGTAGGTGTAGGTTCTCTGAGGTGATTTACCACCTTCTGGCAAGGGCACGTTAAGAAAGTCCCAGATGAGAATGGTATCGTCATGAGAACTGCTCACTATCTGGAATTCATCAAACTGGAGCCGGAATACACGTCCTGAATGTTCCTGCAAAAAACGCATAAATTACAAGATATCATACCTGTGAAATTGTTCTTTGGGTGCACAATAATATGGTGAAAGCGAAAATGACCAAAATTCCTGATAAAATATACAGGATCAGAATAATAATAACAACTTTGATATCAATGCCATGTGATCAAATTATAAGCAACAAGCTCATGATTAAATAAATATACATTTACTGGAATGATAAAAAAGAAAGAAACCTAACGATCACATTGAAAATGTTTACAATCACATTTTGCATCTACATGGTGACCAGGCCATGATGTATGCTACCATGCTATCCAACATCAGTTGGGACCACCAATCATCACCTGGTGATTGATGGGCCTTCATATGCAGTATTTGGCAAGACTTTATCGCAGGATGGCTTTTATCTATCTTACTCAGCCTCCTAACCCTGGGACCCGTGAAGATTGGGGTTAAATTTGATCTCCAGTAACCCATGCTTGTCGTAAGAGGCGACTAACGGGATCTGGTGGTCAGGCTCGCTGACTTGGTTGACACATGTCATCGGTTCCTAATTGAGTAGATCGATGCTCATGCTGTTGATCACTGGATTGTCTGGTCCAGACTCGATTATTTACAGACCGCTGCCATATAGCTGGAATATTGCTGAGTGTGGCGTTAAACAACTAACCAAACCAAAAAAATCATACGGTCAATACCTGGTGATAGGTAGTCCCTCATCTAAGTTACCTGGGGACGGTGGGGTAGCCTAGTGGTTAAAGCGTTGGCTCGTCACGCCGAAGACCCGGGTTCGATTCCCCACATGGGCACAATGTGTTAAGCCCATTTCTGGTGTCCCCCGCCGTGATATTGCTGGAATATTGCTAAAAGCGGCGTAAAACTAAACTCAGTCAGTCAGTCTAAGTTACCTGAGTTTAGATTTGAGGTTATCCACAAATACACCTATCACTTGATTGTTCTTAATCATGACATCAACAAGACTGTATTAGAAACAATTGTGTAATTCTTTTACAATACATTTATGATAGACTACCATTCACTTCTTCGCCACACAACCACATACTTCTGTCATACAACCACCTACTTCCCCGACATACAACTACTTCCTTGTCATACAACCACTATACTTTGTCATTCAGACAGCTCCTTCCTTGTCGAACAACCATCTACTTCCTTGATATTCCCACACCTACTTCTTTGTCATACAACCACCTATATCCCTGACACACAACCACCTATTTTCCTGACCCTGTGGGGACCTGGACAGCGAGTGAGTGAGTTACGTTTTACGCTGTTTTTAGCAATATTCCAGCAATATCATGGCTGGGGACACCAGAAATGGGCTTCACACATTGTACCCATGTGGGGAATCGAACCCGGGGCTTCGACGTGACGAGTGAAAACGCTTTAACCACTAGGCAACCCCGCCGCCCCACCTGGACAGTGAGGTTCCCACACCTTATTGTGGGTTGGAAGTGTCAAAATGAAATGCCTGCCATAATAGCTGGAATCTTTGTTGACAGCGGCAAACAAACAAAAACAAACCTGCCTCCCTGGGTTCAAGTTCACCTGAAACCTAGATCTGCTGGAGATTTGATGCAACATAACAATTAAATCATGGCTTAGATCTGGAGGCTTACGCTTACTGATTATTACCCTTATCAAATTTTGATTTCGCAATTACAAAATATCAACAGCAGACAGTTTGTAATGACATGTACAAATGTCTGTGTTGGTGAATTCATCATAGTAACTCACCACTAAAGTTCTGAGACAGAGAGTGCCTGCTGGCGAGCGGGGATCTAATGCAGCTTGCAGGTCCCACACTTTGATTTTGCTGCAACAGAATCATAAGTTCAATTCACATTACTCAACAAAAAGTCCACATTACTTAGAATACAACCCCAGGAATCATGCTGGTTGCATTAGGCAGCTAAAGCATCAGTTGGTCAGAGAAAATGACTGGATTGAATAGTGGGATTAATCCCTGATGGTGTGGATGTGGCTCACAATATAAGGTAGGTGGATTTTCTGGACAAAGATCCAACGTGCAGAGGTAATTAGGGCCACGCAGCTTGAATATTGCAAGTGTGACATTCAACATCAAACAAAATTAAGTCAAAACACTGAAAGATCCTGATTTTATCACATATAAATCAAACACATTCGCATAAATGGACCAAATGATTGATTCACTTTTGAGTGCGTGCACAATACTTGACATGGACTTCAGGTAAAACTGACAGTCTACCAAACCACAACCTAACGGCTGTGTGCTGAAACTCTGTTCATACTCACCCATCATAAGCTCCACTGACAATCCTCTTCCCATCGAAGCGGATGCACCTAACCAGCTCCTCATGGCCCTCCAACACCCTGAGACATGCTCCATATTCTATGTCCCATAACCTGAAGCACACAAGGAACTGAGTAGGTGGACACTCATCAGGTTTACAGATTAATCCACAAAATATACCAGGTTAGGATATATTTTCTTTCATTTGTTTGTAAAAACAGTTTAGTGTCTCCGACTGCTAATTTCAGACACTGTACAGTCATTTCTGTGAAGGGAGATGGATATAATGAACAGTTGGAGGCTGGAGAAACCATGGCACATTTCATGATGTAACTACGTGATCTTCATTTCATTTACCATTGACAAATACAGTACATCTGGTTTATAGCCTTGTTATTTTCTGTCCCGTTGTTCAAGATTCTAAGCACTATACAGTACAACCAGAAATTATTGAGAATTTAAAGATTGTAAATTGTTTATTTTTTTCACTCATTACTCACGGATTAAATGTGAATATTAGCAGAACATAACTCCAGATTCAAAGACAGGTGAACAGTAAGTATTTTGTCAAGTCACCATGGGCAGCAATGCAGGCTTCAATGTGGCGGGGCATACTACTGATCAAAGAAGCTAGAAAGTCTTGGTCCATGCTGTCCCAATATCGGACCACCTCTTCTTTCATTTCAGCAATATTTGTCAGATTTTTCTTTTTGACACTTTCCTTCATAAGTCCCCAAACATTTTCTATTGGATTTAGGTCAGGGCTAAAGCTTGGCCACTCTAATAATGTCATATTTTGGGTCCGAAACCAGGCCTGTGAATGCTTTGTACGATGTTTTGGGTCGTTGTCCTGCTGGAAAATCCAAACATTTCCATAGAACACGTGAGCAGATGGAAGTAAATGTCCCTCGAGAATATCTGTATACCGCTAACTGTTCATATTCCCTTCAAATACACAGAGGGTGTTGCCCCTAACACAGATATGCCACCCCACACGTTAAATTTCGGACTGTACTTTGGGCTGATACAAAAGTTTTTCAGTTTGTTTGGTCCAGAATTTCAGTGTTTTAGGAAACAGCCACACAGAACTTTCATCTGAGAAAATCACATTGTCCCAGTTAAAATTTCTATGCTGTAAGCCACACCAGACAGCCACACTTCCTCTATCAATCATATCCAGCCTTAAGTTTTCGAAACTCCCTCGTTTGTTTTTAGAAACAAGAATACCAAGCCGCCTCCTGTCACCGACAGTCAATTTTCTGGGCCTACCTGCGCCTCCCTGGTGCTCAATGCCATATCCATTTGCAATATTTTTCAAAACACGATAAACAGTGGACAAAGGGATGCCTGTTCTACTTGAAATCTTATAATGCTCTAAAATCAACTGCCTCTTCTCTAAATCATCCATACTGAGGATCACTGGAAATATCGTCTGCTAGCAAGTAAACAAAGGGGATAACTCTTCACAAACTAATGAAAAGGATTAACAGAGTTGTCTCTCTTGAATGAAACAAAGCACTTGATAGCTGGTCAAGGTTGTTTATACTAGAAATCCAATTAAACATATTCCTAAAATTCTCAATAATTTCTGGTCATACTATATAACAGAAGCTACTAGTGAATGATCAACCTGGTATAAATAACAGAAGCTACCTGGGCAGAAGGTCAGGTATGACATATTCCTGTCCAACATAAATATAAAATAATACAAACACAAAAAACTACAAAAGGAGGCTTATATTTTAGGGTTTAAGCTGTTCAAGGACAGTAAAAGGGCTTCAAGGATACGGCCTTGATGTCAAGGACATCAACCACCAGACACTGCAGAAGTGTCAGGTGACAACATTGTATGATTAGTGTGGAACTGCTGATAAGTTACTGAACAGAGCAACTTTTATCTGGGCTTGCAATATGCCTGCACTTGTGGAAATTGTCAAGGACAAAGAATGTCCCTATAAATCAATACAGCTTTTTTCAAAACCCTGACACTTTCGAGATGATAGTTATAATGACAGGAAGTTTCAACCTGCTGACATGGACTGGGTGCATTTGGCAGTTTGAGGTTGCTGCAGAGGAAGTTCCAAATGGTGAAATCGAGCCCTAGAAGGTGTTTGTGATCTTTAGCAAATTGTCAAGTCAAGGCAGGTGACTGACTGACTGAGTTTGGTTTTACGCCGCTTTTAGCAATATTCCAGCAACATCACGGCGGGGGACACCAGAAATGGGCTTCACACATTGTACCCATGTGGGGATTTGAACCCGGGTCTTCGGCGTGACGATCAAGGCAGGTGAACACCAGTGAGTACATTTTACTCAACTCTTAACAATACTACAGCAATAACATGACAAAGGACACCAGTAACATAGTCTTCACACATATTACCCAAGTAAGTAATAAAACATTTAACCAGCACCTTTGTGCAGCTCCCATTACAAACATTCGATTTTGAGGTCGGTCCTCATGTTTTGGTGGTTTGCTCCCACTGTAATCGAACGGAAGGATGTCCTCATTTTCTGTCATCCACCACATGACAAGAACACTCAAGCCTTATTTTGACTTTATTTGCAGCATCTGTGTGTACTCACCGTATGGTGTTGTCTGAGCTGCCACTAACAACTAGTCTGTCCCTGTACTGAAGGCAGGCAATACCTCTCTTATGGCCATTTAGTGTCCGCACAAACTCACAGGTAGAGGTGTTCCACACCTGAAACACATATAACATTACCAATTTACTACAGAAAGTCAAGAAACATAATTAGGGCTCCATGCCTCTAGGCAGGAGACCTATTGTAATCGTTCGGTTGTAATCGTTCGGAATATTATTATTATTATTATAATTATTATTTATTATTCCGCCGATTTTTGTACCAAACATAACTCCTAAACCAATGCTCCGAATCACTTACAAAAAATCACACAGATGCGCACCGAGGTGTAGATATTCCCCTTAAAAATCTATAGGCTCTTGGCCCAATAGCAAAGGGGCGATAATTCAAAATTAATTCCAAAATTTCAACGTTTGACAGCAAATATCTCAAGAACTAATTGTTCCGACACTTCCAAATTTCTTGTTCAGATGCACAGTATGGTAGATGATGTCCTGGTGATTCCAGAACACTAATTGTTTTGAACGTAGACCCAAGAACAACTGAGATACAGCCTTTTAAAGAAGGAACTATTTCTTTTCCGGAACTATTTAAAAGGCTTACATGACTTAATGATTAATGTATTTGGAAGATCCTTTAAAGAAGGCTTCGAACTACTGTCAAAACATGTGTTCTGGCTCCGTTTTTGGCGATGATATCTAGCCCTCAGATACAATAGATAGAAAGTAAAGCCAAGGACTATATTTTGTGTAATTTTTATCAGCTCTACAGGGAAATCATAACATTGATAATAGACACTGCTGGTCATGTTACATTACAAAGGATCTTTCCTTTTGTTTCTTTTTCTGCGCAAACTAAACAAATTTATGCTAAGTTCTGATGTGACTGAACAAGATTAGGGAATATGTTATCAAATTTAGAAAGCAGTATGCATCATTCTCCAAAGTTCCAGACTCTGCGTTTCCAGAAAACGTTACAGATAGAACAAGAAGACAAAGTCATCAATATCCCCGCAATGGCAAAATACTCTTCATGATTATGTCTACGAGTTATGATTATGTCAAATATTTAGGTGTGTATATAGAAAAGTGGAAGGAGAGTATTGAAAGGTTTTTGAAGTTCTGCTCCGGAAAAGTGCACTACCACTAATTTCTGTTTTAGTCAAACTTGTTGCCATGGAAATGCCAAAAATATTTTCTTCAGAATTCCAAAACTACCAAAAGGCACCAGTACACCACCAGATCTATCTATGTGCCAAGTTTGGTGAAGAAATATTGAACGGTTTTAGAGTTCTGCTCCGGAAAAGACAAATGTGCACGTAAGTCGAACTTGTTGCCGCAAAAATCGGACAAAGGACCGTACACGCACGTTCTATCTATGTGCCAAGTTTGGTGAAGAAATATTGAGCGGTTTTAGAGTTCTGCTCGGAGGACGGAAAAGACGCATACACACGGACGGAGTCCATTTTAATACCCCCCGCAAAATGCGTTGAGGGGGATAATAAGAACACATAAGCTCACCAGGCTAGTCTTGTTGAGCTAACAAATGAATAAATAGTGTGAACATACACTGGCTGATGTTAAGATCTGATGTACACAAACCTTGATTGTCCTGTCTCCAGATGCTGAGACAATGTATTTTTCATCAAAGTCAACAACATTGACAGCAGCTCGGTGACCCACAAGCACTCGCCTCAAGTTGATTTCCGTAGGGGACTGCATATCCCACACAGCTATCGAGCGGTCCTAGATGGAGGATATTAATTCAGATCAGAAACCTTTTTTCAGAAACTCAATTATTCCCACATCAAAACATCCATTTTATGTGAAGTAATTTGTTTTAAGTCCAAAGACTCACCCGATTTGCATGACTGCTGTGTCAAAGAAAATTCCCTAGGCTATTTATACTATTATGTATTCCTCACTGTATGCAACGCCTTTTTGTCATATGATATATGTCATGAAATGGAACCTATTTCGTCAGATAAGTGAGACTAGGCTAGATAATACTGACTGACTGACTGAGTTTGGTTTTACGCAGCTTTTAGCAATATTCCAGCAACATCACGGCATGGGAACACCAGAAATGGGCTTCACACTTTGTACCCATGTGGGGTTTCGAACCCGGGTCTTCGGCGTGACGAGCCAACGCTTTAACCACTAGGCTACCCCACCGCCCCCAGCTAGCTAATAGTCAAGGACCAAAACATAACTCGAGCAATGATGACTATTTTATTGCCTGGTTTTCATCGACTCAGAAACTGAAGTATCCAGTTTGTTTGTTTTTAATCACGAAAGTTGCTGAGATCCTCTGAGGTTCTCCACTTGCATTTGTACACTTTCACCTCTTGAAACTAAATCTATGACAAAGACCTTTTGCTCTATGCTTAACTTTGGCCATCATTATCCATCCCAAACAAAGCAAATGCATCCAAGAAAAGAGACTGACCTTTGAGCAGGTGACCATGATGCCATCATTGAACCTGAGATGCAAGACGGCTTCACAGTGGTGGATCAGTGTGTTCAACATCTCCCCAGTCTTCACATCCCAGACTCTGTAACAGGAGACATTGTGACTTGATGGAATGCTGCCATGCATAGTATTTGATCATGCACTGATATAGTTTGTATGACGTTTCTCTCCCCCTCCCCCTTATTCGTATCAGACAAATCTGAAGAATCCTTAGAAAAAAACATATGATAAAATATTATAATGGCACATATGTGACGTGTACACTAAGGCTGTAACGATTCACTCGCATATTCGATGAATCGAACCGTAGCCCTTCATGAATTCAATTTGTTATTCGTGGCCACAAGAACCGAATATTAACGTTTTTTGAATATTTACGTTTTTTTAAGGGAGCATGTTTTACTTGAACCCTTGTGTACTTTTTGAAAGTGAGATATATTCAGTAATGGAATATGTACTAGCCTTGCAGTAGCCCAAGTCATGTTAGTTTGCCAAGGCCACACATGGTACTGTCAATTATAACTATTACATACCAAATTTGAGTGTCATGAGATGACTGGTTATTGCTGTGCCAAATCAAAACTGTCAACATGGGCGTTCCATATTGTACATCAATCACTTAACTACAATATTGTATTCGTGAATAATTATTCGTATTCGTAACCCAATATTCATGATACGTATCATATTCGCCACATAGTGTATTCGTTGCAGCCCTAGTGTACACTTGAAGCAAAGTCATTATATTTAACTCTGGACACATCAGGTCAGTTAGTCTATTGTTTGAATGATGTCAAACAAAAAGACATTAGTGCCTGGTACAACTGACAAGTCTGAACAATGAACTCTTCCTGACAATGAGTCATGACATGAGACAGTTTGGGATGAATTCACAAACTATGACAGTGTTCACGAATGGTGTTTCAAAGTAACAGGACATTGGGTCCTGTAAGTTTAAGATGTCTGTCTGACCCATTGAAAATTCACAGGACCCATGGAATAAAATTAAACACACTTTTCAGATTTAACATTTCTTATAACTGGCATTGAAATTATTTACAAACATAAGAAACATTAAGATAAAATAAACAGCAAACAAGTGTCACATGTCAAATATAACAACTTCAGTGAAAGTCATTGTGAAATATACAGTCGAACACTGGGGCCGGTGGGTTGTAGACTTTTATCGGACCGTTGGTGAATCTGCCGGATTTGTCAGAGGGTCAGACACTATTCGTGAAACACTGTATGAAAACTAAAGCAATTGGAACATCCCATGCAATGACAAATATTTGTTTAGAATAAGTGAATCAAACTTGTTGCCAAACTGTTTTTAAAACCCAAAATTCACCACTACACCTATCTATGTACCAAGTTTGGTTAAGAAATGTACAGTTTTTAAGACAATATTTCTCCGGAAATGATGACTACCCCACTTTTCAGCCTGAGCCAATCACTTAGCCTCTTTTCAACCATAGTAAACGTCATTACATTAGATACTCTTTAAGTTAATTTTGAAAAATATATAACAAAATATCAAAGGCACCAGTTTACCATAATACCTATCTATAAGCCAAGTCAGTCGGAGATTTTTAGAGATCTCCTCTGGAAACTAAACCTTGCACAGAACAAAGTCCATTTTTAATACCCACGTAAAACGTTGTGGGGGATAGTAAACTAGCCAATAAACATGCTAAGAAAGAATGATAGAAGACAGTTTAACCTATACCTTATTTGAGGTGAAATGGGGTTCAACGTCGGTCTTAAGAATATTTTGCTCATATGACGACGTGCATGCGTGTGTATATGTGCGGCTGCTTGTACTAGTCCAGACTTAAGCTGGTGTTATAGTGCTAGCCTACTGAGATACCATGCCGCAGTGAAGCATGAATACCCCACTTAGACACATTATACTGACTCCCGAGCTGACCAGTTCTTGTTGTAAACATATCATACCATACAAATCCATCTTGCAACTAGACACACTAAGCCAACATAATGTGAGAAATACTTTGTAAAAGAATTCTCCATACTTGCTGCTACAAACCAGATCTAATCTCTTGATCCTTGTTGTACTAACCTGACTGTTGAGTCGCTGGATCCGGATATGATGATGTTCTCGTCATACTGAAGGCACAGCACAGATCCTGTGTGGCCTGTCAAAACTTGAACACACTCCAGTGTGTTGCGGTCCCACATCTACAAACATGTCAAGCCATGTACTAGTACATAGAGATGGCCCAACCCTTACAGTACTGGGAGAACCCATAATATACAAGTCAATCTCCAATATACCATTACCATTTACATGGAACAAAATCTTATTCTTGATGCACGAATCTGTTAAATTTTCTTTAAATTTCTTTAACTTTACTTGTATATATATTCATATTTATGATTTCAATTTATACATTCATTACAATGTACATACATGTAAAATTGCCATGCATAAAGTTATAAAGGCATGCTAAATTTTGCATCCATTCCCCACAGCCTATATTTACAAAAGCCAGTACTGTATGAGTCTAAAGCAAAACTGCACATGAAGCACCATTTGCCAAACAGCAATTACAGCCATAATAATTAAAATAAGAACTTCCTTTTCACCAAGTATCAGCATACTTCTTAAATCTTTGTGTAAAATGACAAACGCAGATTCAGCGTTCACAAGAAAATGACAGATCAAGAACTTTGTTAAAACAAAATTTTACCATTTAATAAGATATTTGACTTGATCACAACTATTTTCAAATGTCATAAAATCTTTCTAAATTGGAAAGCTAAAATATTCAAGAAAAAGAATGGCAATTAGGCCTAAAACAAATGTTGTGGTTCCGATTATCCGACCGACCCTTGAATTCTGGTGCCCACCCTATATTTTTGAAGCGGTATAAATGAAATAAGCATTCAGATACCATTGTTTTTTCCCTCCGGTACCGATGGACATTGGTCATTCTGATAGAGAAAGTCGACATGATGGCAGCAAGCTTGATTACATAAACAATTACACATTGATAAATGTGTTTTCAGTTTGTACTTTACGCCTAAAAAAAAGTTAAAAAAATAAATAAAATAAAAACCTACCTACCTACCCTAAAGTTTACAGAGCTGTAATTGGAACCACAACATTTTATCTATTTGGCCTTAGCCCTGAACATTGTTGATTAAACATGTTTTTTTCATTTGACAAATTGTAGAATGTGAGGCCTAAATTCTGTTGCCAATTTGTTTTCTTTCTTCATAATTTCAGGTTTCTTTTGTGGGCAGTTATAGTAAAACAACTAAATAAATATTAATAAAGGCAAATAATTTATCAAAGTTTAAAGGCGTGATGAAGGTTAAGACAATTACCAAGCTACATTGAGGAATGTAACAGGAACATCATGGCCAAGAGAGCAGATAGTCAGGCATTCAACTTTGGACCAGACAAAGCTGTCTTGATCATTAAGACAGGTCAACAGGCTGATGACACACAGCCAAGTCTGCAGCCAATGTTTTATACAGGGAATGGCCAGCACATATTTAAACAATGTTTTTTTTAGGGCTTCAAAATGCTGAATATTTTTTCAAGTGGACAGCCAGACATCATCAAACAGACACATTGGCACCTACTTTTTAAACAAAGCCTTCCTTATAATAATATGGAGACTGTTCACCGAGTAGGTCAACATTTCTTTTATAAATCTTTCACAATATGACCATATTGATGCTATCTGTAACTTTATGTTCGAACAAAAAGGGAAAAAAAGATCACTGTTAGTTCCAGATTAAAACCAGCCAAGGTTTCAGAAAACTCAAAATACAATCCAAACTGTGGAAAGTATAAATTCAGTAGCGATTACAACTACCATTCTTGTCAGTTCTTTCAAGTTTGGTGTAATGAGTACAAATTTGTTTTGGAACATGGGAAAAGTGATCATTTGTCAAGTGAAAATACTTATAAGTTATGTGAATGAAAAAATGAGTCATTACATAATACTCAGCCAAAGCCTAAATGATAGCACAATGTTGCTTGCTTGGTGAAAAGGGTTTCTTTTACTGCACTTACTTGAGAGAAAATAAAGCAATACACGTACATATACCTTGATAGTATTGTCTCTCAACCCACTGATGATCTTGCTATCATCATATTGGAGACAGTACACTCCCTTGCTGGTTTCACTGCGACAGTGTATCCGCTGTAATGTGTGGCGCCCTGTACGCCAGTTACTTTCTATTCTCTGAAAAACAAACATCACTGTACATTGAAACATGGGGTCTACATGTTGATATGCATTGTCAAGGTTATATATTTTCATGCATATGCTAAAGAAATGAGTCAATTTCTTCAAATGATGTGATTTTTGACAGAATGACTTCACTGGACTGATTTCCCACTGTGCTAAGGAAAGACCTTTAATAAACTTTGTTTATGAACTTGCAGAATGCCCCAAATTTAAATTTAATGGAAAATATATATTAAAATTGAGAACTATTTCGACCACTGATAAATTACCTAACTTCTATAATTAGAAGCTCTTGTTAGTTTATCTTGCAAACTAACAAACAAAGCAAATTTTGAAATCTAAAAAAAATAGCTGAAATTGGATATTCCCAAAATTTGTAACCCCCTCCCAAAATCAGGTCTCATGACCTTGTTCATAGACAATTTAATCAGTTTTTTAGAGGATAGTAAATAAATAGTTAAATAAATTTGACTTTATGTAACCAAATAGTATCATACACTAGTGGCAAAAACAATTGATTTGCATGGCCCAGGGACAGGTCTGGAAAGATATTCAAGACGATACTTACATCAATATCTTGAATAATTTGAGGGTACAGACTTCTGTAAAATTTATGATCTTTTGGTGGTTCTCCAGGCTTAGGTTTGAACAAGAATTGGCACCTGGAAAAAACCATTAATGTCAGTTACATGTCATATGTAAAAACTTAATTTGAGATCAGGAGTAGAAGTGTTAAACTCACTAACATGTCATAACGGACAAGTTTACAAATTGAACTTTGTCTAAACCATAGAATACTTGTTTCAACTTGAAATTTGACTAACCTGTGGCTTCAGATCTTATCAAAACCAACTAATTCTGGATGGTCTTTAATCAAAATCCACTTACACCTTATGAAGCATGTACTGCCATACATCCAAGCGAGTGAGTGAGTTTATTTTTACGCCGCTTTTCCCATACATCCAATGAATTTGACAAAGTGTAAGTTAAGCCACCCTTGCCACAACTCTAACAAACAATAGAACTATTCTAGGATGTACATTAGCCAGCCTGGATTCAGTTTAGGTTGTTGTTTCTTAGAATCTTCCTTTCTATTAAACCTATGTACAGCAATTACTAACTGCCAAAACAATGCAGTTACATCTGACAAAGCCGATCCTTACTCAGAGACTACTGGTTTAGTGAATCATCTTGGACAAATATAACATGTTTGTTCAGCAGTGGTTGAATAATAGCTCATTATCACAGTGCTTTAAGTAATAATTGTTGGTATACCTCGATGAAATTTGACTAGCCAACTGATTTATTCAAACCATTTTAATTGTGATTTAAGACAAAAATACAAAGCATACACATTTTTGAATACACAAAGCATTTAGAAAATGGCCAAATGTAACATGTCATATTTGGATTGCACTTTCTCAGTAAAGTGCAGATGTAAGTAGTTTTCCCGGTTGAGTCCCACATGGGATTCACATGTTCCTGCCTGCTGCTCATTATGACAACAATGTAAGGCCAAACAAAAAAATATGTTGTGGTTCCGATTACACCTCCTTAAAATTTAGGGTTGGCAGGTAGGATTTTTTTCTTTTAACATTTGTTTTAGAAGTAAAGTACAAACTAGTAACACATTTATCAATGTATAATGCAATCAAGGTTTAGACCATCATGTCGACTTTATCAGAATGACCGATGTCCGTCGGTGCCAGGAAAAAACAATAGTACCTGAAAGCTTATTTCATTCATACCGCTTAAAAAAAATAGTGTTGGCACCAGAATTCTAAGGTCGGTCGGGTAATCGGAACCACAACATTATTTTTTTTTAAGGCCTAAAGTGACCCTCAACTTTAAAACTGAACATAAAGTGTCAATCCAAGCTAAGTTGTTTTATCCAGCCTCATGTAAGAATGTTGAGGTTTGAGTGGTTCACGTGACTCTGATAAAATACCATGTACACCCGTCACGATCCGCGAGCAGGGAGTACAAAGTCATATTATCCCGCCACGCCTCGATGACCACGCGAAGTGAGAAAAGCGTGCATCGCAAAGCCTTTAGTAACGTGCGCTGCATTGAGGTCAATCGATCAGCTGGCGTCAACATGGCAGCAAGGAAACGTTTTGCCACAACAACTGAGAATGAAATTGATGCGGATTGTTTTCTTTTGATTTAGTAAAAATATTCGCTAGATAAATGCGTTATCACATCGTGTCTCGGGAAATACGGGGTTTTATCAGTCCCGAATAAGGTTGTATTCCCCGAGCCGGATTGATTGATGTGATCCAAACCCCAGACATATCAAAAGCACACTGACTCTTATTCTGCAAGGAATCTTTTGGGATATTATCACAGATCAATAATCACCACTCTGTTCCAAACATACATTCTAACTGTGTTTCACTTTTTTCATATTTTCAAGAAAGTTCTATGCAAAACAATTAGTCTTTTCCAAATTTTACTGTTTTGGGATTAGAAGGCTATGATGAATTTGAACTCTGATCTGTGATGTGATCTTGGGATACACAGCCAAGGAGCTATCATTATTCATACTAATAAAAGCAATTAAAATTACAACTTTCAAGAGGTGACTTGGTTTGGTGTGTTATAGCGGTGGTGGATGAAAGGAGTAAGTGAGTATGGTTTTATGCCGCTTTTAGCAATATTCCAGCAATATCACGGCAGGGGACACCAGAAATAAGCTTTACCCATGTGGTGAATCGAGCCCGTTCAGCGTTCGTCTACAGCGTGACAAGCGGACGCTTTAACCACTAGGCTACCAACACCACCCACTGGTGAAAGGAAGAGGCCTTACCTCATATAATGAATCCAATGAATAGCAATAGCAATAGCAATGAATGCAATGTGAGAAAATATAGATACAAAATACCTCTGAAATGAAGGAAGTAACTCCCCGAAAATACAAATGATATTTTACCTCAAATGAGCTAACAATAGCAACCTTTTGAATCCCAGAACACATCCTCATAGCCAAACCCACCAGTCACATAATGCACTACGTAATCTACCTTGCGTGTCTACTACTGTGTGTCAACAACAACAAAAGGTAACCTACCATCCTCTCCTGTCTGCAAGTCCCTTCCACAGACTATCTGTGAGCACTTTGCGTTCTATGAGTTTCTTCCACAGGTTCCCTTCTGAGATGACACGGTACCATTCCTTACACACTAGCTCTGCCGCACACAAGGAGGGAGCATCCAAGTAGCCCAAGATGTTCTCTGCCACATGGTCGAGACCTTTGGCTACAAACACACATGCCATGTTCTGATTATTAATCACAGAAAACATAACTATATATATTCAGCTTCTCATATCCAGTGTTCACAGATTCTAATTATCTGATTTAAGAGAAATGATGGCCCGGATGTTATTTGAAAATAAAAATATCTTTCAATTTGGGAAACCTGACTACCTTTGGGGTAAAATTCCCAACCCATCATCACAATAAAACGGGGAAAAAAAATTCCATAACTTTTACCACATGCATTTAGATGCATGTCCAAACGCAAAATGAACTATTATCAGAAACTCATTAGAAATGGGATAAGACATCAAATGTGTCACAGATATTTATAATGGTTAGAAGTAACCATACTCCATGTAGTCACGATATCACAAGAATGTTTGGTAAGTCAGAAATATTTTGTTTCAATTTGGTTTTATTGTAGTATTATAATGTTCTACATTTGAATCAATGTGAAACGTTTGGGCATGATTAAAGTTCAAAATTTGACAGAAAAGTTACAAAATAATGAAAATGAGTGTTTTGATTTATGAAATTCTTTTTCCCAAATTCCACATTTTGGCAGTAAGTTACATTTTCTGCATTTCTTTAATTTGCAAAACCTTTCTGGGACAGTGCAATCAGAAAATTACTTAAAGACTGAAGAGCAGACTAATTGGTTACAAATTAAAGATCACCACTTTGTGCCATGTTTATCTGCCAGTCACATGGGAAATGAAAATACAAGTCAAGGCTAAAATTTTCAAGCCCATCATCGCTAATATTAGATGTAAGACTTTGAACAAGGCCTGTTTTTCAACCAGCCGTATTGATAAGACTTCTATTTGTTGGACATTTGGCTCGTGTGAAGTACTGTACAAGTGAAGTACTATGATAACAGTCCATGATATAACATTTTCAATGAGAATTTTGACACAGCGACCATCAACCCTCAGATTTACCAATCCCAACAACATCTTACCAGTTAAAAACAGATAGAACTGAAACACTGCTTTCAGATCATCTATTTTCTAACTTATTAATATAATAATATGAGTGAGTGAGTGAGTGAGTTTGGTTTTACGACGCTTTTAGCAATATTCCAGCAATATCACGACAGGGGACACCAGAAATGGGCTTCACACTTTGTACCCATGTGGGGATTCGAACCCGGGTAGGGTAGGGACTGCATATCCCACACAGCTATCGAGCGGTCCTAGATGGAGGATATTAATTCAGATCAGAAACCTTTTTTCAGAAACTCAATTATTCCCACATCAAAACATCCATTTTATGTGAAGTAATTTGTTTTAAGTCCAAACACTCACCCGATTTGCATGACTGCTGTGTCAAAGAAAATTCCCTAGGCTATTTATACTATTATGTATTCCTCACTGTATGTAACGCCTTTTTGTCATATGATATATGTCATGAAATGGAACCTATTTCGTCAGATAAGTGAGACTAGGCTAGATAATACTGACTGACTGACTGAGTTTGGTTTTACGCCGCTTTTAGCAATATTCCAGCAACATCACGGCGTGGTAACACCAGAAATGGGCTTCACACTTTGCACCCATGTGGGGAATCGAACCCGGGTCTTCGGCGTGACGTGTGAACGCTTTAACCACTAGGCTACCCCACCGCCCCATATAATAATATGACTCAAATGTCACAAATTATCTGAACACAAATATTCTTGTGACAAGTCAACTGCAACAGTATTGTACAGAGAGACCTTTCTGGGTTTCATCTTCTTTTTATTGTTTCGTACAACGTTTCAGGGCTTGTTATGTCCCCATCATCAGGTAGTTCTACCTGATATAACAAGCCCTGATACGTTGTACCAAACAATAAAAAGATGAAACCAAGAAAAGTCTCTCTGTTCATCAAATAGCATCTTCTAAAATGCCAATCAAACATCTGCAACAATATTGGTATGTCATGCTGATTCTGGAGCATCTAATATACAATCTTGCCATTCAACAGAAATACCCTTACATTAAGAAACTGCAGGGTTCATAGAAGGACTAGGGGCCTTGGAAACTTTTAATATTCTGCTTTTGAGAGGTATAGTCACATTGGGCCATAGAGCATCAGGTTAAAATTCCCCATTGTCTTTGAAAATGAAGGCTTCTTTCTGAATTAGGGGGGAAAAACATACAAGTGCCCCTCCTCAGGTTTTCCCTGAATAGTACGTTGTTAGTAAAGATGATACAAGATTAATGATTACATCCATTTGGGAACATTAGACAAATACTTTGACATACTGTAATGCATCAAATTTATCATATCAATATGAGAAAAAAATCATACATTATGAGTACATCGTACAAATAGCAAGACATTTCCAATATAGTGTCTGAACACATTAAATTTCAGTGCTTCAGGGCCTTCTGATCATTTGTCATGTTTATAACATTCAAACATCAAGTGTGAACCAAAATATTTTTTTAACACCAGACTTTGAATAATGAAACTGCTCATCATGACTCAACCGCAATCATGCTATAAGTGAAGTCAACATATTTTTCCTTACCTGGAAGTGCTGTGATAAAATCCCTCTGTAGCATGGGTCTAAGGTAAGCATTAATCTGTCCATGTTGATAATGACACATCCGTGATAATAAATGTTCAACAAATGCAATTTGTTCATATTCAGTCCATTTCTCAAACTGTGTGGTACAAAGATCTCTCTCCTGTAAAAACTTCTCGGAATACTCTGGCGTCATCTTCGTGGAACTCTTCACTACAGCTGCACTCTCTGCCTGGAGAAAGGCAAAACACGGAATTATTAATTTTAACTTCTTCACTGCAAATATTTGTTTTAAACTGTGTTGACCAACACTGAAAGTCGATTTGGTGAATTTCACATTCGATGATTTGGATACCATCATGAAACTGGACATCTTATTTTTTCCTCCAAGCATGACAACTATCACTTGGCAAATATACTTGTAAAAGTCCTGAAAATGATGCAGCTCATTGCAGTGGACACGAACTAAATACTTTTCCAACTGACGAATGTGTTGCTAAACAAACACAAACAGGTGAGACGACCTCCGAATTAGTGTCAACAAGTAAAGAACTCTCCCACTCCAACTGAAACAATTGACCAGGTCACAATTTATGACAAAAGATATTGTAGCCCTACATCTATAAATATCATGCTTATTCTCATGGTCAACGATGACTGTAGCTTAACTTGAATACTCTGGTCAGGGTTAACTGCAGGGATTGTCAACTTCCTTGAACACGCTCTCATGACTAAGCAGCAAAAAAAACACCATTGTAATCATCAAAGGAGCCATTTTAAAACCTTGAACATGCAGAACATCTAAATAGAGCAAGGATTTTCACCATATCCACAATGTTGACATAATGAACAGAGTTGTTGTATTCTTAGAGCAGCCGGATCTATTACCGACACGTAAGGTTAAGTAATCTCAATGACTTCTACCTGACACTGCTGACCAATGGTCACCTGACACTGGACAGTTGAAAGGTGGGCAACTACCCTTTGTCCACACATGCTCCATTTGTCGCAGCCAAGAATCAGATTGTAGCTCTGGTTCGTCAATCGCTGTCATGCATGACCAAGCCACCACAATGAGATTTCTTCTCTTTGCTCACAAGAGGAGTGTCCGATATTAAAAATCAAATTTTCCCCAACAACAAAGGGGTGATGAATACGGCTAATACGGAAGCTAACATAATGAAGAATAGGCTTGGCGGAGATTGTAATCATCTTATCTGTGGCTATTGATCACCTTGCTGGACTGTCAAGTTTCCCGTGCACCATCAACCACATGATTAATACATACACCATACACGTCTAATGTTTCACCAGAGAGCTTGCCAGTCAATATAAATTTCATTACGTGCTGTTTTCATCAGTGTTCTACATTCAAGTTTGGAATGTTGAAATATTATAACCAAGCACATCTTGACTATTACTGATATAAAATTACAACTTAAAATGATAGTCAAAATAAGATTTAGACCATGTCAATGAGCCATGGAGATGCCTGAAACTAGTGAAAGTCCATTTTCAAGGCATTCGGATATTAAGTGCCAATGCAATAACTGATTTTGCTCATACAAGATGATTAATCATTATCGAAAGCATTATCCATTTAGAGTTTTACTTTGCTTTCAGCAATATTCCAGCAACATCACAGCGTGGCGGGGCAGAGAGAGAGGGGGAAGGGGAAAGGGAAGTAAGAGAGAAACAGAAATGGGCTTCACACATTGTGCCCATGTGGGGAATCGAACCCGGGTCTTCCGCGTGACGAGCTAACGCTTTAACCACTAGGCTACCCCACAGCCCCTTATCCATTTAGAATCATCATGACGATCAACTTAAAATCTTTATAAACGATATATCTAATAGAGCATACAACATGATCATACATATTATAATAAACTCACAAGACTTACTTGTTTACAGCGAAAGTAAGAACAAAGACTTCCTATCAATATGGTTATGCGATTGAACTAACAAATCTACCTCATAACCATGGTTACCTCACAGTAAATATGGTAATCACATTCGTTAATACCCAATACATATCTGTCTCCAGTGTACAATAGCAGCCAAATAAGATAACTAGAGCTTAATTACATAATAAACGTAGCTAGCGAGGGTACATATCGTCAACAATACAGTCAACATGGGACATAGCATTTGATGGGTGATATTACCATCCAGTTTGCATCAGGAAAATTGTACTGGTTGGACATTCTGGACCCATAGTCAATGATCATTAAAAATTACTTTATAACAAAAATGTTTTCTAAGCAGAAACTATGGCATCTTTGACAAAACTTGGATTATTAACAAGTAATGTTTCAGGCAAGGTAATGCAAACACATCAATCTAGCCAGGGATTTATCAAGGATTCTCACACTCAGTCTCTTTGTTGGAGTTTTCAGCGGGCCTGGAAAAATCCAAGGGCTGCCATGAATCTACTATGATGCAAATATTACTTAACAGTATTTTCAGAGTTAAACTTCATATGCTTACAACAATAACACGGTTAATGTAATTCAATGAACTTTTGAGTAAAACATTATCTGGGCAAATTTTATACCAAATCATTACTTTGTAACTGACATATCCATCATGCAGCTTAAGCTGACTGAACCAACACAAGCCTTGCAGCCATATCACAAAGATATTGGTTAATTGATAACATAATTGCCGGGCAACTGCCATGTATGGAGGACTCTTGTAAAAGACATAAGGTAAATCAATCCATCCAAGATAATGAAGCAATTACTCAGACCGAAAATCAGATCAAGGACATTCTATCAACTTTCTTCTTTTTGTGTTTATTTCAAGTTTTGTTCAGAGATCATGCCAAAATTTGCATCTTTTTCAACCAACTTTCAACCCATCTGCCATTGGTGAGTGAGTATGGCTTTACGCCGCTTTTAGCAATATTCCAGCAATATCATGGTTGGGTACACATGAAATGGGCTTCACACACTGTACCCATGTGGGGAATCGAACCCGGGTCTTCTGCGTGATAGGAGAATGCTTTAACCACTAGGCTACCCCATCACTCCCCAATCTGCCATGAGGGGGCGGTGGGGTAGCCTAGTGGTTAAAGCGTTAGCTCGTCACGCCGAAGACCGGGTTCGAATCCCCACATGGGTACAATGTGTGAAGCCCATTTCTGGTGTCCCCCGCCGTGATGTTGCTGGAATATTGCTAAAAAGCGGCGTAAAACCAAACTCAGTCAGTCAGCCAGCCAGCCAGCCAGCCAGCCAGCCAGCCAATCTGTCATGACAACTTAATATGTGCTACACAGTAAGCTGATCTAACAAGGACAGTGTGTCCTAGACCATGAACCAAATCAGAACAAGGAAGTCAATAATACACTGTTATCAGTCTGATCGGTCACACGTCTTGTGAACTTACTTTCAAAGCTTTACTTTGAACTCATAACAAATATTATCAAACTAGACTAAAGGTCTACTTAATTTTAGGGATTACAACCCGATACATTTTAATGGAACAAACAGTAAATCACTGACTGCAACAGCGGGAGTTCACACATAAACAGTCTGGTGGTGTCTCCAGTGAAAATGTGGCATGCTTTAGTCATTACTAAGCATACAATATGGGATTGTGTCTTGTTTGAAATTTGTGAGGCTATATACATCTTAAGTGTGTACATATTTCATAGTTAATTGCACTCTCCTGGAATTCATTGGCTGCCTTGGTGTAAAGGACCTGCATAATATTTATGTTAACTTAGGTCAAAATATTTCCATCAGACTGGATACAGGAATTAATCAGAATATATACCATGACATCGTGCATACAGTTTATACCTGAATATATATCAATATCAAGTCTCAATAATGAAGTAGCCATGAGAATTCTTTTCTCAATTCAGTTTCAGGAGAAACTTCGAAAAGCTGTCACTGTAACAAGTGACGGTGACCTCAAGACACACTTCACTCTGCAGATGTCAGAGTCTGCATAAGATTTACATTCTCTAAAAAACTAGAATGAGTTCACTTCCCTTGTTGGAAACTGAGCCACATGTTCCTCCTGCATGGAGACCTGCGAGCACTTAATGGGGTCAGTCGAGGGAAGTGCACTTGAGGAAGTGATGATGCCCAATCAGTCTAATTCCCTTAGCGTCACAATCGTTTACATGGGCACACATCTCAAATAGGTGTAACAGTAATTCAAGAAGTCATGTCCGGCTTCCTTATTATGGACAAACATGTTTGTACTGAGTGTAACTTACCCTTAGGAGCAATAACAACATATTCCTGCAGGATTTTGTAAGGATCTAATGTGCTTTTTAATATCAAGATCATCCCCTCCACTTTTTACAACCATTGTTTAATAATGAGAGTAAAAGTCCTGGGCCCCGTTTCTCAAAGCGATCATAGTGCTAAGATGATTGAACTCCCATACTTTAACATAGGCTTACGACTGTCGTAGCGCTACGGTTGCTTTGAGGAACGGGGGCCCTGGACTCATTATGCCGAAATTTAAAGACTTAGTATGTTCAGGCGTCCGAAGATTAAAACACTGTAAGAGTAATTACGAAGATACAGAAGTACCCCATCAATTTCAATGGGAATATCCACTGGTCAAATTCAGCCATTCCGCAGCTCTTTTTGAACCAGTAGTTACTCACAATGACTACATTTTGTAATAAAACAACTAGTCTAGACAAATTTCCTATAGCTTCGGACTAAAGGACTAATGGCCATATATTTCCCTGCTGAAACACTGCCATACAAAACTGGTTATCACAAGTCAAAATGTCAATAAACCGTATTGAGGGCACGGTAATAGACTTTCAATCCTGATAAATTTCTCATGTTTCATGGATAACAGAACTTCCATTCTGTAAAGAAATGTTCTAAATTAAAGATTATTGTGACCTTCAGTTTTTCTGCCATTGTTCTGAATCTTGAGATCACCTAAATAACACTGGAGTAATGACAAAGACTGTTTGATTTTAATACATAATTTACAAAGCTGTGAAAGGTTAATGTAATTAGATGCCTTAAGTAAACAGCCTGACTACCATAAATTTTAATCATTATTAAATTACAAAGTAAGATTTAATAGACCCTACAGTACTTCATTGTCATACAATATTCAGTTATCCTCCATGTGAGAGTTTCACATAAATATATAATCACCCTAAAAAACATGCAAGGATACACATTAACTCCAATACTCTACCAGCCTAATTATGCTCATACTAGTGACAACACGAGACGAACAGCTCTAATATATTTCTATTCCTTATCTTTCATAGGTTTGTGGCATGCATAATAATCAGTGTTCAAATTATCAGGTCCGAAGATCTATATGCATTGTGCTATGGTACCTTAATCCAAACACTTCTAAATCTTTTAAGGTTAAAACAGGTACCACTGTCTACCTAATTTTATTGTCTACTCAAATTCAAACACTGTATGTTAATGCCACAGCCTCACTCAATATCACCTCCAAAATAAATTGCAATCAAATCCTTCAGTCACCAGTTTACCTGCACACATAGCAAACATTCACCTGTAACCTTTCTCCTTTCAACTCCCAAGTCAAACTGCTGATATCCCTACAAGTAGTCACTGACCTATGACCTAGTAAATCACCCCTAACTGACAGATATGGTTCACTCCAGGGGCAATGATGCAAAGTGTCATGGGTCACTGCCTCGGTCAAGGGTCCAGAAAAGGAAATGCTTTCTGTGGGTTATGTATTTCAACACTTTCAATGACAGCCGTTATTAAGTAATCAATGGTGATTAAGTCTTCATCTTGTTCAGCAGATAGGTATTTAACATGAGAAGTACATCATCACTAGACCTGGCATTTTGTGTAATAAGGACATTATTCAGTCAAATCTAACACTTTACATGACAGAGTATAGACTACGACTGATCTTTTGAACGCAGTAACCTTCAGGCAAACAAAGGATAAATTGTCAAACATGCAATATGATATATGCAAACAATAGGGCTGGTTAAAAAGATTGATAATCAAAAATATTGTCAACAGAATCCTTTTAATGTTTATCAATATGAAAATGGTGTCATCGATAATTATGTACATAAATTACTGTAATGAAATAAAGTTTAATTTACTCAGAAAATACAAAAAGATAGGTTTTTACTTGAGGGCTAGTTCTAAATCATGTTCAGGACAGTGTTTTGCATGTAATCAATGCCTAAATATGTCACCACTTACCAGTGATGAGGAACTTGCTGATTTCTTTCAGAATTCTTCGCCAGTTTCGCTCAAATTTACGTCTGATATTTATTGACAATTGATCAATACTCAGGATTATTGATCGCTATGATCTGTATCAATAGCCAGCCCTAGCAAACAATAAACATACATTTTTTCATCTTATCAGTAAATACCCAAATGTTTTGAAAACAATCAATGATCATAGTTGTCTTACATTAATTATAAAACTCACTCACCCTGTTATGTTAAATAAATGTTAAGCAGATCAATAATAATTGTCTTGATGAAGAAGTTAGCCATTTCATTTTGTTATGGCTTGCAAGATAACAAACCATTGCAATAAAAGATGAACGATCCTGCAGCTTCCAAAATGCCAAATACATATTGCACAGGGGATAAACCTGGGATGGGAAACAAACAGTATCAATTCCAATTACAGGTGTAGCAACCCAGAGCTGAGATTCACAGCAGGTATCCAAACCTTTCTCTGACATTAGTAAGTAAACAATACATATCAGACACAGATAGCCTTGCTTATCTATACTACCCATCAAAAGTTTAGACTCACTCAAAGCAGTAACTATGGGTTATGTATAAATATATGGTTACATAGAAGATGAATTTCTCCACTCATTTGGGGAACCAATAATAATAATCTTTTCAACATGACGAATTTGTTTTACAATACATCAGTTCATGTGTAAACAGTACCTATAAACAGTATGAAATATTTTGCAAAATCTAGTTTAGAAAAGTTGACTGAAATAAGTGGCTACATTTACACTAGCAAGTCTAAACTTTTGATGGGTAGTATATATGAGCATGAAGTCTATCATACTTCCTATATCATGCATAAACATGCATGGCAAATGTCATGCAATACTGACTCGCATACAAGGATGTACAAACCATTAAAGCCTTAAATTTTGTTTGCTTAGTGACAAGGTTTTTCTATACTGTCAATGGTAAATATTGGTTTGTTGCTAAAAATGATCTAAACAATTATAAATAAACCTATCATTACCGACAATAAACTGCCACTTTAAATAAAATAGCCTTACCAGAGCTAACCCATTCAAATTTACTTCCAAGATTATTAAAATAATCCTCTACAATATTTCTATTTTGCTAATTACATACCTACACAGCAAACTGTAAAAAAAATCCCTCTTTAAAAAAACAAAAAGCAAAAGACAAAATGAGTGAAACAGATCCAGCCAAGTGACTGTCGTGAAACCGAAGACAACTAAAAATTACCCCAAACATAAAAAAAACCCCAAAAACTGAGAAGACAGCTTACATCTTACATAGAAAATGAGATGACTACAAAAACATATATGAGTACAGAAGTTAGCATTGTTATTTCACTATCTAGCAATCACGGTTACAAAAACATCATCATATAACTGGCTTATGTTCTTAATCAGGCTTATCCTGCACTGATGACATACAGCAGCAGTGATCATATTATATTGTAGGTGCCTTGAAATGTATGCTTCACAGTGAGTGGATACGTTTCAAACATGCCACATTTTGGGGGATTTCTTACATCAGTGTTATGTTTTCTAACTCAAATCATCATGGGAAGACTTGTAGAAGTATTCAAATTCTCTACCCTTGATAATAGTTTTACAATAGTGTAAATCGACAAAGTTCCCCGCTGTCAATGTTTTGTGTGATCAACAACCCAGCCAGTTCTACGTCGTGATTGTTTTGAGAGTCCTCCTCTTGTAAAAACAAGTCGAATTGTTGACAATACATCGTATCGCTTCGAGAGAACGAAAATAAAGGAAAAGACCAAAGACGCGTCAAATTTGTAATCAAACATCGCTAGTAAAGATTATTTACCTATTCAGTTCTAACTTGTTTTTGCTAGGCATTGTCTTATATGCAGGGATTAAGATTACTGTGTGTAATTGTCTCGTTTACAACGCCGGAAATAGCAATCAGCTGTGCAGTGCACACGTTCCCCTACCTATGATTTAGTTAAAACGTACCCAATAATATACCGAGATGAATTGTGATGCAGTGATCTTAAAAAGATAGTATCTGAAACTATTGTTTTATAAAGAGAAATATATTCTAGTATTGAGTCATTTTCATTGCAGGTAGTGTTCCATAAATGTAAAATATTTATAATCATAACTAAGGTCAAGCAACAGATTTTTGGTGTACTGACGGATAGTTTTTATGCATGGAACAATTTAACCTGCCACCAATGAGGTTTCGTGCGATGTTGCTATTTCCACTGTGAAATCAGTTTGTTGAAATGTGATCCAGCTACACTAATTATGACTTTTGGCAAAACAAAATATGTATGCGTATCCATTTACTGTCAACTACACTTTATTTCGAGACTTGAGTAGACGCAATATGTTAGTGATTGCTGTGAAGTACTGACTGAGTTTAGTTTTAAGCCGCTTTTAGCAATATTCCAGCAACATCACGGCTGGGGACACTAGAAATGGGCTTAACACATTGTGCCCATGTGGGGAATCGAACCCGGGTCTTCGGCGTGACGAGCCAACGCTTTAACCACTAGGCTACCCCACAGCCCCTTGCTGTGAAGTAAGTACATTGTGTTAAGGAATATTACCGGTAGGTGAACATCTGGACTTCTTGACATTGTTTGATCACGTAATTTACATGGACCGGGAATAAATGCTTAAGAAAACAAGACGCCATTACGCCTGGAAAGTTTTGCGCCCGGCATTCATTCTCGCAATACTAGCAAAACTTTCCTGCCCGCAAAACTTTGTCGATTTACAGCATATTGTTTTGTCCTTCATTAGCATTAAAAGACTACTGAATAGTTTTCATGAAATACTAAACACTGTATCACCAGAAGATTATAGGAGAAATATGTGTCGAGCCGAGATATATTACAAGCTTAATTTATAAGAAAATTCAATGCAACAGCTTAACCTCTGATTACAAACAGATCCTCCCAACCACACAGACACACCTGGCAGCTAGTGTAACAGGATGTAACTGAAATTGTAATCCACCGCTCTTAATGACCCACGTACTGGGCAGTCATTCTTCATGTAAACTATCTGAGTTTTGCTAATGTGATTTCAATTTCTGATTGATGATCATGAATGAGTGTATATGTTGTTATAAGAGGTAGACGAGGACATGTACCACTGGTCCACAGTACCTTTTGGACTAGTTTATGTAAAAGTTCTAGAAAAACTAGTCCAGCTTGATTTTAACTATTTTTGGAATTGTGGCCATATTTAACCCTGGCTTATCATTGCAGTCAGCAATCATGCAGTTATATCACATCTACCTGCAAGTAATTTGAGTTGCAAACACATTTGGAACTGTGGTTAGATCATGCGTTATCTTCTCAGCATCCCATATGAATGAAGCTCTAGAAAATAATATTTCACTACCATCAACTGTGACACTAAAAGATGGAAAATTAACATTGACAGTACAAACAAGCATGTTGGTTTGGTCACCAAAATATCATGAATATTCAACTCCTCATGATTACAAGAGTCTCAAAACAGAGCTGATCACATTTTCAAAAATATTACTATGTTAGTTGTTAGCTCTTCATGAAATTCTTCTCGCTGGACCATTTAATTTAAAACAAACATACTTGTTCAGCCAGTTTTGACAATGTGGAGATTCACCTGTCAAAATTCCAAGTTTCACTTCCTCAAATATTTACACAGACCGAAAATGGGGCGTTGTTCATATCACATAGAGTAGCATTACCATTTACATCTGTTCATAATCAACAATGACAGCACAGATGAGAATGTGAAGAACGTAATAATATACAGGCAGACAAAACTCGTCGATTCCATTTGACAAGCCAAGACATCTCAGAACATTCTAAAAATGGCGTCCAGAAATAACCGATTAGTGACTCTTTGTTACCGATTTATTGGCCTTACCCTTTTCTCATCGGGCCTATCATCTATAGAACTACACGTTTCCATTGTTGTTTCCATAGATGACATGTTCACTATATGAAGAAAGAGAGTATATGGTTAGAAAATCGGGCGAAATTCAGTATCCACCCTTGCAGATTGTTCCCATATTAGGGACAGGATCTATGACGTCATCTTTCTCGTTCACGCGAGATGAATTTTTAAGAAATATCGATCAATTTCCCACACAGTCATGTCTGTTCGGAATATCAAACTAATATACTTTTAGAAAAATATGTTAAAACTATTTTCAGTAATTGGGAGAGGACCGAGCACATGTCTTCATGGTTCCGGTTTGCAAACAAACATGGCGGCATTTTCAGATTTTTGCCTCCCTGCAGAAGATGAAACCACCGAGGATGCCCTGACACTGGCAATAAAACGTACAAGTCAACACTGATTCATTGCTATCCATATTCCGGTGCTGTAGATAGGAACTATGTAGTCACTGTGTGTTAATGTTGTGTTATATCTCGTGGAACCCCGTCAGGTTTTTAACATTACCTCACCCGAGTCACCGTTTAGGGGATGACCCGTGCTATTATTTGAGGAGTAACAAATTTGTGTGGTTTATAGTTAATTGTGAACTCTGCCTCAAGAAAAAACACCCTGTCAGATAAATTGAACTTGAGTACATTTTACCTGTGCATCTTACTGTGGCACTAATTTGCGCTGAAGGGGTCGTTGTCGGCACAGGTACTACAGATATGTACCCCAGGTACGTTTCTGTATACAGATATGTACCCTAAACAAGATCAAAATACAGAAACGTACCCGGCACCTTACACGGACGATGAGTCCATATTTCCCAACCTAAAATCGAAACCGTATGTAGTAGTTCCCGTTCAACTGATTGCAAATGGTATTGTGCTCTGCGAAATATTTGTTACCGTGCATGGTCGTTTCTTATAGAACGCAATCAAATGCATCTAGTACCACTGTATGACAGTTCCAATCAAGAAAACAACACACTGCGGAATGGAATCGTCCAAGGGTACGTTTCTGTATTCCGATTTTGGCTAGGGTACATTTCTGTATACAGAATCGTACCATGGGTACACATCTGTAGTACCCGTGCCGACAACGACCCCTTCAGCCTAAGGGGTACTGTCGCTTCACAGATCTCGCGTGCTTCAATCATTCGGGTAGTTATTGTAGGATTAGTGTAGACCCCCATCTCTACCCTTAGCCCTTGGAATCCCATTACTATGAAACATCCCGTATCGATCATTAGTGTTAGGTACCCCTTTCTGATCGAACAACCCTTCATGATCCTTAACGTTAGCCATCTTGTTACTATCTGTAGCGTTTGTGATGTTGCGTGTGGGTCAGCTGCCTCTTTAAACAAAAATATCTAGCACATTGCGAGGAAACTCTACATTTTTATCAAGTTTCGTGATGAAAATGGCTACTGCATGTACGCAGAAAGGTGATAGTCTTGTAGTCTTCTGATAGGGTGTTGGCAAATGTGATTATCTACATAGCCAAGCTTACCTGCAAGCTGGCAACATGAATCCTATCCTCCATGCCAGTCAAAATATAATCTGAAAAAGTGCACCTGGTAAAATGCACTACTCCCAATAACAAACTAAAGTGAAAATAATAAACTAATGGCCTTGATAAAAATACCATGTAAAATGGGGCGAAACAGGACTATATAGCTTCGAAGGAGTTTGAAGTCACATGGGTACTAGTACTGATATTGGAAGTAGTGCCTTTTATGCACTTCGTACAAATTTTCAATAGTTCCTTGTGCATAGGTTATTTTAATTGTACATAACCAGCAAACATATAGATAACTCTAAATATCTGCTTACTACTGATCCTCATGAAATACTTACAATTAAATTAATCATGAAGTGGAATTTTAGGCATTTTTAGATGTTCCTTGGTTTGACTGACCTCTCTAACCTCAAACAAGAAAAATATTTTCTATTTTATTCATTAAGGGTTGTTTGGAACTGAAATACTGGACCTATGCTCATACTACCAACCCTCCTGAAGTACTTGCAATTAAATCGGTCATGAAATAGACAAATTTCACGATACAATATCAGACAAATTCAGGTGTTCCTGGGTTTGACTGACACTCTAATCTCCAACAACAAAAGTAGTTTTCATCGGTTCATATTAAGGATTATTTGCAAATGGATTGTGAAATTGGGGTGCATATTTAGTTAAAGCTTTGACATACTTCTAATTAGTGTTGGAAATTGGTTAAAATCTCATAATTGATGATTGGTCCATTACAATCGATCAATCATCAAAAATAATTGATTAGGGTCATTTATCAAATGTTCCTGTTATCTTTGTTAATGCACACAAAAAATAAAGAAACAACATGTAGTAATTTTGGGTTTTTGCAAATTGCCCAAAGTCCATTTGCAAATTTCGCACATTTAAAGGATGATTAGTATGTTAGGAACACAGATTTCCTGGATTCTTTAAGATAAATTCAATCATGACTTGGAACAAGCTTGTAGTGCTTATGAAATTTTATGACACAGACAAAACAACCTTGTGACAAATATTGTTGATGCAAACAAGTGTTCCAAGATTGGTTGCGTTTGATTATGAGAAAACATGTTCGGTTGCTTAGTCGTTTAGTCACTGCGACCAGTCTTCGATTATTTCAATTAATCGGACCTCCACTACTTATAATGCAAACTGTTCTTTTATATGTGTTCTGATGTCAAATGTCCTGTTGGTGTAAGTAGTCAATAAGTTATCAAGTTATAGCACATTATGACTAAATAAGTCTTTTGATCTTTGTGTGTTTAAAATATATTTGAAAAATGTTACAAAGTGGTGCAAAAATACAGTGTCACATTTTCATATCCAGAGGTATTGTCAGGGTTCACTGTCAGGGCTTCTCATATTTTCCTGACGAGACATTTAAGGCTAGGGGTTGACACTTGCATTAATTTGATGACATATTTATTTCATGATTTCCTGTTCATTAGTTGCATAAATTGTCAAAATGGGACATATTATGAGAGAGTTTTATTTGTGTTAAGTTATTCTCATTACACACAGTACAATTAATTATTTTTATTCATTAAGGAATCTAGCTGTCTAAATGGCTTGTCACTGCTATGATGAATGATACTGACTATGTTATGTGGTAAACTACCAGGGTTTATGGGATTCTACCAGCTGAACATTTGAGTACGCCCATTGACCTTAGGTCAGGTGATGTTTCGGAGTCAGGTGTGCCCCAGTTGTACAATGTGCCACAGTCATCTCTACAGAGTTGTGTCCCTTGTCAGACAGACATTTTATTCAATAATAGGCCACTGGTGCAAAATAAATTCATATATATATATTTTGCATGAAGTTACATGCATTTTAAACACAAAAACATAAGAATTTTTTATTTTACCAATATTATATAAAAATAGGCATAAATTATGTATAATATTTATGTTTGTTGAAGACATTATGTTGACAAAACTGTGTTGTGATAGAGGATGTTTCAAATATTTATCCAGAAATTTATTCCTTATATCTAGGTATGCTTACAATAAAGTAAAACATGTATTTCATCTTCCAATAAATCAAAATAAATTTTTATGCAAATGACAAAATCTTGAATCATAAGGGACATTGTTTTATTTACCGATCTCAGAACTAAGTTTAAAATTACCACATCTAAATTTTCACAAACAATTTCTTAAGTATGGGGCAATATCTAAACTGAGATAAGTTTCAACATTTAGGAGGGACTTGAAAAATATATATTTACAATGCTTGGGTTGTATTATGTAGGGATGAGTACCAATCTTGTGAAAGATTATCAGACAATCTCTGCTTAAAAACAGAAATGAAACCAATATCTCCAAAATCCTGGGAAATCCAAACAAAGCCAAACCCAAATCTAATTAAAATATTCTTGATATGAGATGTTCCTTGTGCACACCACAAACATGATTCATACTGGTTTACCCGGATTATGGTTTGAGGTTGTGACCACCAAGCCCGTGTGGGTTTCACCAAACTGGTAAATGTCAGACTGTGATATAATTAGAATATCGTTCAGATTGATATTACTTGGGCAGTGTTCATGTCAATACATGGCTTTTCTTGTGAAAGAGACCCATGAAGATCTGGGGTAGAAATAGGTCTTCAGCAACCCAAGCTTGCCACAAAAGGCCACTATGCTTGTCGTAAGAGGCGACTAACGGGATCGGGTGGTCAGGCTTGCTGACTTGTTGACACATGTCATCGGTTCCCAATTGCGTAGATCGATGCTCATGCTCACTTTTCTCTTTTATGTATTCTCTTTAGTGAAATACAAGTCACTGCAGATAAAGTACAACATGAGTCATGAAAATAATAACATGATTTTGTAAATTAACGACTCTATTTTTTACATGTCTCGAGTCAAGAGAACACCTAAATAAGTCCTGATCCTGTTATCTCTATTAATCTGTGACTGATATCTGACATATTTCTCTGTATGTTACAGTTGGATATGAGTGTGTTGGACTGAACGTCCTGTTAAAGGATCTGAAAGGAAAAGGTGCATCACAGGTATAGTATTCTTCTTCTTACTTAGTTTTGAAGGGTTTTCTGCTATGATGAATAGCCAGACTGAAATAGCATAATGAAATAACTACCAATCAAAGTACTAAGAATTTCATTTCTAAGTTTGAGGTAGTTATTTATCTGGACCTACTCAGAGGCTAATGTTTGTCCCCAGTTTTGCAGAAAATGTCAGTTTAAATTGCTGAATTGTAAGTACAAGTTTCGAAATGGTTAAATTGTGTTAAGACTTTGTAGGGGAGATGTGTTTCACTGACCAATCTGAGCATAGTTGTAACAATGTTCTTAGTAGTCAGAAATCCTGTATGAATCCATGAGACAGCAAGCAATGCTAGCACATGGGGCCAGGGTATTTACCAAAATAGATTAGAAATATGATAATAATTCTAATAATAATGGATTGCTTAATAATTAAATGAATAATAATGTTTTGAGGATGATTGGCAAAGACATGAAAAAACTCTCCAAAGGTCATACGAAATGAGTTCTGTTTGTAAGCCCAGGCTGATATCATAAATATACTTTGTTTGAAAAGGAATTATCTTGAAATGTCTGTTGCCTAATTGAAACATTTAGTTTTCACTTTTCTGTTGAGGTTATATTGTTGTGACTTGGTCATCATCATACATCATAGAATACAAAAACACGGTTGTCAGTGTGGTGAACAAAGACATGATCTGTCCTCATGGGTAAACCCAGTTCCCAGGGTTTTACCTTGACCTTCAAATCTAGCTGTCTCTGAGGTCCCAATCTCAAGGGCCCTTCCAGGAGAAATGAGGTCACAATCCAGTGATCAGATGGTGCAGTTAACCGTCCTGTAATATTTTAAAATCACTCTTTGTAACCATGCATATTATTATGCATCCCCAGGGATGCAACATATATTTCTTCTGGGGCCATGCTGCTCAATGTGTGAACTGGACACATGTTTCTGCATCACACACTTGCAGTTCCTCTTGAGCAGCATAGATCCGTGAAGATCGGGGGTAGGATAGGTCTTCAGCAACCCAAGCTTAGCACAAAAGGCGACTATGCTTGTTGTAAAAGGCGACTTACGGGATCGGGTGGTCAGGCTCGCTGACTTGGTTGACACATGTCATTGGTTACCAATTGCGCAGATCGATGCTCATGCTGTTGATCACTGGATTTTCTGGTCCAGACTCGATTATTTACAGACCGCTGCCATATAGTTGGAATATTGCTGAGTGCGGCGTAAAACAAAACTCACTCACTCACTTGAGCAGCATAACAATGAACAGATTTCAAGTTGTTGATCTTTAAAAATGTAATAAATGTTTGGTTACTAATTTTATCCCTGCAGACCACAATACCAACACCAAAGAAGTATGAGCTGAGGAAATCAGATATCCAGTTCTTGAAGGTATGTTTACAGCTGTTTACGAAGTTTGTTTTGTTTAACTCTAGCAGTGTTACAACTGTGTGACAGAGGCCTGTGAACATCCATGTGAGGACTAGACAGTCAAGTTATTGACGTTGAGAGCTATTAGCCACACTGTCATGATACAACAGGGGTTCAAAATTTGTTTAAAATGCCACTTGTAACAGGGCAAGTGACTTTAAGAAAGTAACTTGTTCTGACTAATTTTCCACTTGCCCTGATTTTATGACATAATCATGATGATGTAATTATGAAAGAATAAATCAACATGGTATTTGATGTTAATGTTACTGGACTATTTATTGAAAAGTGATAAATAGCAAAGAAAGATAACTCTACTTTATTATCATTGCAAAATTTAGTAGCTACATTTTGATATGAAATTAAATCCTAGTCTATTTGCAGTTTGAAACCATAAGTGGAAATTATCTAGTAGCCCACGGACAAGTAAGATACCATTATTTGATTGCCCGAAATGAAAACTGACTTGTCCCGGGTGTCGGGCGATGGGATTTTTGAACCCCTGTACAATGACATTCATTCAACAAGTCGCCAAGGACCACAGAATCCTGTCAGAGGAATATTACGACCATATTCTGGATATAAGTTAATAATCTCCTTTACAAAGTATTAGATTCTTTGACTAACCTATTGTAAACTCTGGTATGGTGTAAATATTTAGAAAACATTTGCTTACATTTTATTTAAGGGTTCCATCTTTACATACTATATGCACTCATGAAGATCTGGGTTAGAATGACCGCCTCCGTGGTGTAGTGGTTAGAGCGTCCGCCCGGAGAGCGGAAGGTCGCGGGTTCGATCCCCGACTGCGTCATACCAAAAGACGTTAAAATATGGTACTTGTTGGTCCCTGCCTGGCGCTCGGCATTAATGGGTACAACAAGGACTGGTCGGCTCAGAGTCAGTATAATGTGTCTGAGTGGGGTATTCATGCTTCACTGCGGCATGGTATCTCAGTGGGCTAGCACTATAAAACCAGCTTCAGTCTGGGCTAGTACAAGAAGCCGCACATACACATACACACGCATGCACGTCGTCATATGAGCGAAATATTCTCAAGTACGACGTAAAACCCAATTTCACCTCACCTCACCTCACCTGGGTTAGAATCTTCAGCAACCAATGCTTATTGTAAGAGGCGACTAACGGGATTGGGTGGTCAGGCTCGCTGACTTGGTTAACACATGTCATCATATCCCATTTGGGGAAAACTCAAGGCTCATGCTGTTGATCGCTGGATTGTCTGGTCCAGACTCCATTATTTACAGACCGCTGCCATATAGCTGGAATATTGTTGAGTGCCGTGTAAAAGTAATCTCACTCACATTCTGTATACTTTTAACCTTCCTGTTATCTGTTGTTAGCCGTCTCCTAATGATAATGTCCTGTTCTGTATTGAACATGATAATCATGTCGGAATGAGTTTTTGTCTATTGCTCATCCATTTGTGTAACCAGTATTGGCTCATAGTTGATTTGCAGTAAATAGTTCATATTATTCATAAAGCATATTCAATTTTAGTCAAGTTTGTGTATGGCCTTCCTGTGTGACCCTAAATCCAGTGACTGAAATAACGTGTACTTTATTCCCACATTAAACTGATCCAAGCAATAGTGTTTTCTCTAAAGAACAAACGCCCTGATCTGATATTCAACAAGGCAACTTTGCTGTAATGATCCACTGTTAAATAAGTGATACACTGTGAAAAGAATGTTGTATAGATTTAACACACTAACACATACACATACATGCACACACGTTATGCAGCAACAGTAAGTTTCTATACCTTACTTCGTTTATAATAGTAATTACTTGAGCGAATTATTTTTCAGAAAAAACGTCGTTCACTGACACAATTTAGTCGACTGACTGCTACTATAGAAGATCCATCTCAGACTCACAAGCTGGTGAGTATTGCTTGCCTTGACAGAACCAAATACACTTAGACAGATTTCTTAAAGAGCAGCATCTACATTTAGTCTTTGTGTTGACTGTCAATAATTGTATTCTTCTCTTCAAGGGAAGAGGTAATTTTAAGATGATGCCTTATTGGTCATTCGCGATACACTCATGAATACATGTTAAAAGGTGAAGATCCTCCATTTTGTACTCCTTGCGATGAAAGAATCACAGTCAAGCATGTCCTGCTTGACTATATTGATTTTTCCCTTTCAAGGGATCAATATTTTCAATCAGTATCTATGAAGGTTTTTTTGAAACTATTAAGTCTCATTTAATCATTGATATTTTAAAGGAAGTCGACCTTATTGATAAATTTTGAGTTCATGGTTGTTTCTTATAAATTTGGTAGTGTATAACAATTCCCTGAGATTGTTTGTGGCTGTGCCCTTGACAGGGGTTGAAGTACAGTAAAATTATTGCCCCCCTGAAAGGGTACTGCAAAACCATACTTTCAAAGACAGTTGTGCCTATCACCATTTTAATTGTAGTATTTTGTAAGTTTTAATTGTTGGCTAAGTTTGCCTAAGTCCCCACGGTCCCCAGTATGGTTGCCTTACTTTGGTTGCTGGCGATCTATAACCCGATTTTATATTGTTGTTGAAGAATGATTTAGCGTTTTAAAATTATCTCAAGCTAGATAAGTCTAGAGACCAGGACAGCGTTTCACAAAGCAATCATAGCGCTATGACTATCGTATCTCCTATACTTTAACATAGAGTTACGACATTCGTAGCGCTGAGATCGGTTTGAGAAACAGGGCCCAGTATGTGAAGCCCATTCATGGAGACACCTGCTTGGATATTGCTCGACTCTGCCAAGTCATTCTTAGCCCAACTTTTGCAACTCACTATTGCAATGAGTATATGACCAGTATTTTTATGAAATATTGCTCATTCCATAAAACTACATGAAGGATACAATGTTATTCCATGAAATATAGTTCCTTGTTTTGCAGGGGTCCCCTGAGGTACAGGCCTATGATCTGGTAGCTGTTGAACCCACATCAGAGAAAACATTTCACGTATGTCAGTGTGTATTTTTATTTTTTGTGTCTTATGTTCATTTGTTAACCCTGACCATAAGAGAATGAAATTGCATACCCTGTGCACCTGGATGTGTGTATAAGACTGTAAGATACATTTGAAAGTGAAGCATTCACTGCACTTCTTGATGAACCGTCGGTTGGTAACCCTCTGATTCTGTTTCAGATGGCTTGTGCTGTACTTAATGTGGACATCATTTCTGTAGACATGACAGAGAAAATGCCTTACTATTTCAAGAAACCCTCAATAAATATGGTACGCTAACTTTTTAGCTTCTTTATCAAATGAATTCGTAACAATTCTGTCACCAGTCCAGCGCATTCATATCGCTTTGTTTGTGCATATATTGGCTTAAGTCTGTTGATAATTGCTGACAGCCAATAATCTTAATGTTTAGGAAATGGGGTTGTAAGGGTTACCTTTTCATTTGTCTGTGTATTCAGAAATATCTCAGAAAAGGTTAATATTCAACTGTTGTATTCATTTATAGCATACAATTACTTTTGATATGATGGCATTGAATCAGTGTGAATACATTAAAGACAGTACGTATACATTTCTTTCGTACTTTTATTTCTTTAAAAAAAATATAATATTGATGTTTTTATTAGGCTGTTGAAAGAGGCATCCATTTTGAAATCAAATACAGTCCTACTGTACGTGATTCAACACTGCGAAGAAATGTCATAGCATCAGCGATATCCCTTGCAGAGGTCACAAAAGGAAAGGTAAAATATGATTATACTCTTTTCTATTAGCTGCAGTTTTCAGCATGCGATATGCTTTACCTGTGACATGAGTATATTGCCGAGGATGTGGTCCAAGGGGGAGATATGCAAATGTATGTTTACTCTCCCTTGGATTGTCTTACTTTGCAACTTGCATAAACACAAGGTACTTGAAATAAATGCTCCTTCTTTGAGTTGACGTCAGTATTTATTAATAAATTATATTTGTATGCATCACATGTCAAATCAATAAGCATAGTTTGTAATACTAAAACTATTAAATCTTATTTTGTTTCAGAACATAATTCTCAGCAGTGGTTGTGAAATGGTAAGAAATTTCACTCTGATACTTTGTCACCTTTTTCAAATCTTCACGAACAGTATACGTACTATGAGACTACTCCGTTGCATTTGTCACATATAATAAGATATTGGGTTATTTTATATTTTGCCAGGCAATGGAGCTTAGAGGTCCATATGATGTTATCAACCTGTATCCTTTCACAGATTTCGATCTCCGACCGCATCATACCAAAAGACGTTAAAATATGGTACTTGTTGGTCCCTGCCTGGCGCTCGGCATTAATGGGTACAACAAGGACTGGTCGGCTCGGAGTCAGTATAATGTGTCTGAGTGGGGTATTCATGGCGGCGTGGTATCTCAGTGGGCTAGCACTATGAAACCAGCTTCAGTCTGGGCTAGTAGAAGCAGCCGCACATACACATACACACGCATGCACATCGTCTTATGAGCGAAAATATTCTCAAGCACGACGTTAAACCCAATTTCACCTCACCTCACCTTTCACAGACAGAACAACCAAATAAAATCAGTTACTCAAAACATGTTTTTTTATGGCAACAATTAAACAAGCTGAGAAGTATTTTGTAGTATATGTTCATGCATTACTTTTTAGGGCAATGCTTTTGACAATGTCACATGGGATTCAATGTTATTTTCAACAGATATTTATGTTGTATTTTTGTGTGAGTATTATTTCACTATGTCCTTAACAATATACCAGGGGTCTTATGTTTGGTTTGAATCATGAAAATGCCAAGAATGCTGTTGCCAAGAATTGTAGAGCTGTATTAAAACATGCGGGTGAGTATTCTCACTATGACTCATATTTAACATTTGGGGCAGTGGGGTAGCCTAGTGGTCAAGGTGTTCACCTCTCTAACTGAAGATACCCCCCAAAAAAGTACTATAACACATGTTACATATAACACATGTTACATTTGACCACTTTCTAAATAGCATTGTGTAATAATGAAGATACCAGTTCAATTCCCCATATGGGTACAATTTGTGAAGCCTATTTCTGGTGTCTCATGCTCTGATATTGCTTGAATAAAGCCGAGAATGGAATGAGACCATAATCACTTACTCTCCCATTTACCAGTGACAGCATACATACATTATGTGAAATAACAGATTGGACTCAGTCAGGATAGCTCCCTTTTATTTGACGTGAGGTGGGTGGTATATAACTGTAACTGCCTGATCCTGTTATGTAAAGGCTGAATTTAATTTAAGCTACAAACACATTAGTTTGTTGTTTACTCAATACTTGCAATATTCCTGCTGTGTGGTAGTGTCCTGTACATGACCAGACAAACCTGTGATTGATATTGTGCACTGCCCACAATATTCAGTGTAAAGTGACATGCCCAGTTTCTGATGCAATAAGTTGTCTCTTAAGAGAAGAGTACGTTGGGAAATATTCCAATCCTGATTCCTTGGGATGGTTTTTGTTTACATTTTACACATTATAACAAAAGTGAAAAATACATCTGTACATGTATTTGATTCTAACCATCAATCAGAGATGTCAAATCATAAATACTGTCATATTTCCTTTCTGTGAAGGTTTGTGATATTGTCACTATTTGATATGTCTTTAGTAGTTTGTGTTTGTACAAGATAAAAATAGTGAAATTTCTGTTCAATCTGCCCATTCAAACTGACAAACAGATTTTTGTCGTTCTTTAATTCTTCAATTGGATTGTACTTTCTAGATTCAAGGAAAATCTCGAAATCTGTTATATCTGTGAGCAAGTTACCTGCGTCTGGTAACACATGGACCATGGACAAGTATGGCAGTAGTGTGCTGGCGGAAGATGATAGTACAGAAGATGAGCCCAAGAAGAAAAGAAAGAAGAAAAAGGGCAAGAATAAATAGATAAATAAATTGCATTTCAAGTAATGTTTGCTCTTGTTCATGTTTTTCTGATGAAAGTATTACACTGCTTCTAAATGGTCTATTGTGTTGTAGTTGCAGCCTGATGCCAGGATTCACAGATCATGGCATCAAATCCAAGATTTCCCATGAGACACCATGTTTTGAGTTTCGCTAATGTCCTATGGTTTTTTATGATCTGCTGTTCTACGGGTTTTTATCACACAAATGGTTGACATACAAGGATGTGTGAATTTGATATTATTTGACTCACTTGTCACAAATAGAAATATATTTGAGGAAAATGGGTGATATTAGCCAGTAGCCATATGGGCTACCTATGTGTGTCAAGTAGCTTGTGCTTCCTCTCATGTGTGTTACCTGTGAAGATCCGGGTGAGAATTGACCTACAGTAACCCATGCATGTTGTAAGAGGCGACACATGTCAATTGCACAGATCGATGCTCATGCTGTTGATCACTGGATTGTCTGGTCCAGACTCGATTATTTACAGACTGCCGCCTTATAGCTGGAATATTCCGAAGTGCGTCGTAAACCTAAAATCACTCACCCACTCTTAAGTTTGTGACACCTTTCTTTCGACCTTTTGTAGCTTTTGGTCATAAATTGTCCAAATGCAGGGTACAGGCCAGTGAAGGGTTTGACAAGCTTGTAATATCTTCTGAAATGCATTTTGAAGTTTTTTCTATCGCAGTCCCTTGTCTGCTTGACCAGAGAACGGCTAATCCCCATGATGCGTTTAAATGTTGTGATATTCTATTGTAAATCCTCATTCAGTAGATACAATTAAGAACAAAATAACCAAAATTAAGAACAAATAACCTACTGTTTGTTTGTTATTCAACGCCACACTCAGCAATTTTCCAGCTATATATCTGTAAATAATCAAGTCTGGACAAGACAATCCAGTGATCTACAGCTTGAGCATCAATCTACACAGAAGAGGTATGATGACATGTGTCTGCAAAAGGATAACAAATGCACATAGTAATATTGTAAAAATACATTTTATGACTATTGTACGTGTGAAATAGGTAGTCAACAGCCCTTTGGAATAGTGACTGATTTTCTGCAGTTAGGACAGGCAGTTACGTCGACCCCTGACACAAGTAATGGCCTATCATGATACAACATGCCTGTGTGGGGTATATGTGGAAATATCATGGTTGTGGGCACATGTGAGGAGCGTATTCTTGACACTCAAGGTTTCGGCACCATTCACATGTGTTCAGATTCTGTAGATGATGGAAGCTGTAAATGATGACAAAGTACAACAGTAATAACAATGCAATTGACACAAACACTGCGGCTACACGACTCCTCTTGCTCCATAGTCGGAGATTAATATATGGAAGTAGTGCAACTGCACTCAGATGGCCTGTAAGGAAGCCAGTGATAATTGCAAAATTGTTGATCAAAGGCAAAGTTCCTGTTATTAAAGCAAAAGCTAGGAGGCCATAGATCTTGACAAGCTCCAGCCATGGTCGAGGGAGAAGGGTCCAAGCCTCGATGAGCTCCATGTGTAGAACACCGAGTGCGCCCATTACAGCAGCTGTTGTGCAAACCTGGGGGGTGTAGGGGGAGATAACTGATGCACACTGAAAATAGAAAAGAAACATCTACACTTGTGTACACATCATGTATCCCTATATGTTATGATTTGTGATACTTCTTGATCTGGTAATTTAATCAGTAAATGTTTCAGTGTGTTATTTATGTACAGTGTTTAAAATTAAACATGAACATCAAGGATCCTTGTTAAAGAGTTCATTTACACAGCTATAGATTCGGAGAGTCCCCAGATTCAAATACCCACTGGTTAAGACCAAGACCCCCACAAATCCAATTCATTTTGAACACTTGATGTAAAAATACAAGAAGCTGTTTTTGATGTTCTCAGTACAATTACAGTATTTGTTTTAAGATGAGAGTCCGCTGCAGTAAATCCTATTAAATGTAAATCAGGGGAACAATAACACTTGCCATTCCACCTGCAACTCCACACAGGACATAGATGATGCCCACTCGCAAGCACCCAGCTGACATCTCTACTTGCCGCAGGAGCAGCCACTCTGCCAGCAGCAGCAACAGCAAGTGAACTACACCATGGGTGTACATGAGAGACAAGAGTGGGCGCCACCACTGGTAGGAACTGGGAAGCCATGGCTTGTGAGTGTCTGATGACATTCCACCCATTTTGCAGACTTCACTTGGACAATTAACCTGTTAGAGTCATTAAATGGTGATAACAAATATATGAAAATAACATGCTTGGGAAGTCTTAAAAGAATTAAGAATAAATAACATTCATAGATAGTTAAAACTGAGGTATTTCTGTGTATAATAACTGTTAAAAGAATGATTGGTAAACATTTATGTGAATTTTCAATGTGAAAATAAAATACATGACATTTGATGAAAGTGGGATATATTGGTTCTGACATGGGTTAGTTTCAGATACAGTTACACATTTATGCATGCCAACTGACCCAGAAATAACATCAAAATGTCATCGAAAGCTTTAACTTCAGTGTCAAAAATATTGGATGATTGTTTTGAAATGACCGCACCTCAACCATTTGTTTATTTCCTTTGTTGTGTAATGCTGAACTCATGTATGTGATGGCAGCCTGTAAATTATCAAGTCTGGTCCAGACCATCCAGTGACTGACATCATGCACATTGATCTGCACAACTGGGATATAATGACATATGTTAACCTCCTACACTGATCATTGGCTGCTGAAACCAAATCTGACCTGGATCTTTATGGGGCCTGAACCTTCTGTGAAGATGAACAAACATTGTCACAATAAGAAATAAGACGTGAGATTTTTAACCTGAGAACAGTGCTCCTTTTCCCTTTCATGAAATAGTCCTCCCAGAAAACTGCAGTGTTCATGTGATATGAGTAAGCAGGTGCCCCTTTCATCAGTACAGCAGGGTTTGATGACATGCTGCACATAGTTCTCCCCAGGCTGTCTCTGGCCACAGGGCACTTCCCTCCAGTGACCTACACCTACACGTATCAACAAAAGTGTGTACATCCGTAGAGCTCGCACCAAGAATTTACATATTGAACAGGATATTTACTGCTTAGGGTAGAAACTGATTGTTTATTATCACTTGTCTGCAAGAATGATCTGCAAAAGATTTGATGGTAAATGTGGTGGTCAAAAAATAAATAAATGACAATAGTCTTTCCTGAATTTACAAGTCTTGGACTAGCAGACTCATTGTATTGTCTGTAAAGCAATCTGCTCCAATAAGGGACTGCAACAAGCTTCAAGAACTATCTGTAAGTAACCTTTATAGTATCACCTGCTTAGACCAGTCTTTACATGGCACTCTGTTATTTCTTGTCTATATTACCAGGATTCCCACTTTTACAGAGTTGTAATTGTCAGCGGCAGTGTATCAGTATATAATAGCCACCATCCACCATGTAACTGTCTAAGCACCTGGGCACATATTACAGTGTGGATTAATTATGAATCCAGAATGATAATAAAGAAATAGCCTGTTTATCTCATTGAGTATCTAAATTTGATATTTGCAAGAGTAGTATACATCCAAGTGAAAACATATTGTCTAACAACACCAAAGATCACAGTTTCACAGAGTACAATGTCCACCTACGTTGCATCTGAATTGCCTTACATTTAAAAATATATTTTGTACTGAAGTGCAAGTGAATCAAGAAAGGCTTGGACTAATTGTGCGCAGATCAAATATCACTCTTAATAATTCTCGTGTTTATATACAGCAGCTGTATCTCATTGCCCACAAAAGTAAATGCAAGGACTAGACCAGGCCATGGAATACAATACCTAGTGTAAGTGAGTGGCACTCCTCCTTGGTTGTAGTCCCTGCAGTGTTTCTGGCTTGCACCTCACAGCACCCCAGAGTGTTTTCTGTACTGTAGTTCTGTGCTACGCCCTGCATGTGCAGAATGTGGTCATCCCTCATACACACACTCAGCAGCGCACCCATTCCTGCAGGTACAACAAATACCGATAATGTTCCATATGATCATTTGATAATGATTTTTTATGGAGAAGCATATACAATGTGAATGACCACCCCCTTAAAGTTTATGTACAAAGCAAATGACCGCCCCCTGCATGTACAAAATCAATTACCCCCTCTCCCTATTATTTTTAAGCATATTTTAAAAATATTTTTATGTACAAAATTACTGACCACCCCTACCTCCGTAGAACAAAATGTGTGTGCACACACACACACACACACACACACACACACACACACACACACACACACACACACACACACGCGCGTGGGATTGCCCATATGACATACAGTCAATATTCACATGTATTCCAGGTTACTATTTGCCAACACATGAATACAATAAACTTTAAATATTATTGACACCTTACCTATGAAGAAACGGGATGAAGGCCCCACCCACATGTTAACTTCCTGCCTCATGTCCACAGTCTCGACACCTAGGAAGGTTCTGGTGTTATCCTGCAACAGCAGCCTTGACACAGCATCCACAGTAGCCACACCGTTGAGGGAGATCATCACACCCAGCATCAGGACCTGCAGCTAGTGAAACAGGAGCTGTGATCATGATGTAGAGGAAAAAGCCACTGGTCAATTTGTAGAATGGAATCAATTTTCTGTGTGGTATAGAGCAATCTGGCAGCAATGTCTTCCCTATGATGATCCATTTCAAAGAAATGTGCTGATTTCCAAAAGCAGGTTGCGTTCATAAGTATATGTTATAAAACAAATCACATATTTCCACACTGGATTAAAATACTGTAATGCAAGAAATATATAGATATAGGCCACATAGATTTATCATATGATGCTGCTTCTGGTGATCAGCCCTCAGTACTCTCTAAATATTACCTACCTTGCTTCAAATTGCGAACATCATTTAGTGCAAAACTGGAGTCCGAAAAATTAATACATCAAAATTTCTAATCAATATAACAACAGCTTTTGCAAAATATGAAAAAGAAATACACTTACAAGAAACCGAAACAAATACTAACTTGCCATACAGTCATCAGTACATTGATCTATAAATATGTATCCATTGGCTTATACATACTATCATAACAGCATAAGTGAAGATGGGCGTGTAATGTGTCAGGGTTGCCAGCTTGGCTCTGGTGTCCGTCATGCTGTGTTTGCTGTGCTGGTCAATCTCCCTCCTAAGCTCAATCCACCTCCTCCTGCCACTCCCAGTAGGGTCATGGTAATAGGCTAAAAGTGATGCAAAGTATAACCTCTCATTTATTCATTTCATTATACACTTTGGCAGCCAACTTGATCCCATCCTCATGCGTTGCTGACTAACTTTGCTAACTCTGTCACATCGTCATAATTTGTCAACTTCAACAAGTAACCACTGACATGTAAGATACAAAAATCAAAATGTAAGCGGAAACATTCCACTGGAGTTCTAGGGTTTGAATGTACATTGGAAGCCCTCTAAACCGGCATGCGTTGGGGCCGGCAAAAATGTCGGTATAGATGACGTGCCGGTTTAGAGAACTTTTCCCTTTTCAACCTGAGAATGATCTTCCGAGTGCCGTAAAATACAGGAGAGCCGAGATACTGGATGCCGATTTAGAGAGCGTTAATTACTGTACAAACAGTCAATTGGGCGGTCTTTGTTGTGCCGAAATACGGAATAGGCTGACACCGGATTAGAGGGCGTGTAAATGATAATAAATTAACTAGCTTCTGTCGGGACCAAATGCTAGTGCCGATATTGAGAGCATGCCGGATTGGAGGGCTGCCAGTTTAGAGGGCTTCCACTGTATTTAGGTCGGCTATTTGCCTTGCTTTGTATTTTGCGTGCTCATATGATGCACTTATGATTCACATTTTCGTCCTTATTTAATCATAACAATACAATACATGCTTCTTGAATGGCAATACACTTAATACAGATATCATGACCAAAGTAATACACGTGCATGTTTTGTGAAAAGACAATATTGTAACTACATGCTTCATGAATATATCAACATCTGTTTGTATGCTCATGCCAACAGCAATGCATAGTACGTTTGTGTCATAATCACTGAAATACACTTCCTTGCTTTTAAGAGGCAATGTTTACCGTTAGCTGCCTGCCGGAGTTCTTCAACTGTACCTATTTTCCACTTGTACTCAGAGACAATCTGCTCCTTCACTTGCTCAAGGCGTTTCAGATCTGTCGCGTATTCTATCTGTAGAATGTTATCATTAGTACCTATGACATCATGATGCACATGGACGTTTACTATAGTTACGGAATATCGAATCTTGATTACTATAGTTAATGAATATCAAATCCTGATTTTATATGTTTATTTTGCTTGTGTTTTCACGCCGAACTCGGCAATTTCCAATCTATACGATGGTGGTTTGTTTACAGAATCTGGGCCAGACAATTCATTGAGTGACATCGAGAGCATCGAACAGCGCAATAGGGATACGATGGCACAATCTGTCACATAAGCGAGCCCGAAAACCTGATCCCGTTTGTCGGCTCGTACGACAAACATGATGGGTTGCGGAAGGTGAATTGTAACCCGGATCTCGACTGGGCTGATCCAGATCTGTAGCAATGCATTGGTTCATTCATAATTGGGAACCTGGACACTGAAGACAATCGTCTTGCTTCCTGTTTTTTCAATAGATACGCTAAGAAACTCGCTTATTATTATATCGAGTAATTTACAGAAAATGCAATTAGAGGTTTCAGTCATGCAATTAGAGGTTTCAGTTATCATAATTATATGTCTCTACTAAGAAAACGTCTGAGTTGGAATATATCGTGAAATGTTAACAGCAAACAAAAGGACTAACAAGATACGACATATTATTACCATCATGTGTTCGTAATATATTTATCTCACCGTGGTAAACAATTTGTAGTGTTTGTATCCCTCGTTACCCTTCAAGGATGAGTCATCTTTCACAACATCGAAGTTCAACTGCAACAAAATTTAACGACTTTTGTTTAAATCCCCAAAACAAAGATCAGTGATTGTTTAAATCACGCTTGATCTTCAGTTTATCAGTTTTGACAGTGTTACACAATGCAGAAAGTCTCCGTCAAGGAGTTACATTGAGCCAACCATGTACTTCTTGCTGGTTACCTTTTCTGCGCTGTTCGTTAAAACCGCCTTCAACAATTTCTTGGATGACTCTGCAAAGTCAACTGAGGTTCCCGACGTTTGGTAGGCCATATTTGTCATTCCGAGTATATTTCCTGGAGAATTTGAAGGACTATCAGCGGCGTGGTTATTCTGGTTGGTTGGAATCGGACATACTTTGTTCTTAAACCTGCTAATATGCTTGTCACCCCCCGAATTGTTAATGTTCTGTTTGCTGCTTTTCCGAGCTGCGTCTTCAACTGCGTCACTTGATGAATTTGTACCGCAAATATCACACTGATTGCTTTGTTCTTGAAGACTGTCAGACGGCTGCATATCATTCTGCAAATGTGATACATCTTTGGTTTCATGTAAATTTAAACTGTCATTACATTCCTCTGTCTTGCATTTCGAAGGATCGGTACTTTCAGACGTTCCTTCTTGACCGTCATTGTTTGGCAACTGTACTTCACCATGGTCCGATAAATCGTCAAAATTCTCAACAGACTGGGCACTACTTAAGCCGTTAGGATGTTTCGGGGGATACACTTTCCCTTTCCACTTCAGAGAGTCATCTGCCTGGTGTTCATCTGGTGAAACGAACCCAAAAGTGTCATCAACAGTTTCATCAATGTTTTTGGGCTCAGTATCATCTTTAACACCGGTGTCTTCGCATGCCAGATCGAACTCTTCCAGAAATGTTTCCATATCATTCACTAGTATCTCCGATTTTACAAATTCTTCTAAACTCAAAGAGGAACGTTTAACGAAAGGTGCCTTTCGGGTCTCATCCGAATTCGCCCTGATATTAAGTGGGCGTTGACCAATAAGACCTGTAGTCGAGCCCCTGAACAGTTCCTCAGAACTTCCCTCTGGTTCAAAGAGGGACATGTGGGAAATCACTGTCTCCACTTGTTTCACCAGCTTGTCTTGCTGAAATGCCCTTGGTGCTAACCTACTTGGCAGCACTGCTTGCAGCGTGATGCCAAAGTCACCTGTCTGAAATGGAGGTAAACCTGCTCATCTGTTGTAGCTTTATAAGTACAGAGAATTTAACATTGTTTTTAAACACGAATTCGATGTGTCCAAAAAAGGTCTTGAAACATAACATTTGGAAGAGCAGAATACACAACGTACTTCGTATAACGGTTTCTTTAAACCTCTGTCAAAAGTCATTGATGAGAGTCAAATGTTTTACATCAGCATACCTCCTAAGCCGCGATGAATAACCTGCTGTGAGAAGTATTTCAATCTGATATCAGGCATCCTTGAAACCCATCCTTATTATTTATACACCAATCTGTAGTTTCTAGTTTCACACAATTAATCCAGCAAGATTAATTATTTTTCTGATCCTCGATTATTACAGTTACCTGAATTCTCTTCTCAAAATGTCTTTTCCAGGACTTATACTCCCCATCATCTCCAGCCCAAAAGAAGGGTCCAACAGGTTCAAGAAAATAGGATGCAGCTGATTTTGCTTTTGCCAGCATGATTGTACACCTCTCCTTTTATGTTGCTGGAGAGAAAGCGAGAAACATGTTCATTGAATTATGAACATGTATATTCTGTGTATAGAATATCTGTCGTTACTGTTGCACTGTCATACTCCCCGTAAAAGGAATGTTTTCAAGATTCAACCTATAAGGCGATACGTTGATTAGCTGTGTGTTTGGGGCGGGTGGGTTGGGTTTAAGGCGGCTGTAAACAGTGTTCCAGTTACATCACGACGTGTCATCTTGATGTGGGAGGAAAGCCGGAAGTGACGCAAGTCTCAGACGTTTGCCACTATCGTTTTTCCCACGAAACGTTTATGGTGCTGACAAACCAAGCACCGTAAACGATACGAACCCTGATTCGAACACACCATCTTAGGTGTCTGATGTACCCAAGAAACGCAACTCTGGACATTGAATTAGGGCGCCTTGGACGACTGTGCCACCCCTGCTTGTGTGTTTGGAATATTTCTGATTGAAATAGAGTTCAACAAACATTAGCCAAACGTCTTTGCATGTCACTATTACAAGTACAGCATTCTTAAAACCTGGCACCGTGTCTTTTCACCATATTCATGAATTGTCACATGAAATAATCAAGAACAGAAATCCTGCGAATGACGGCTTGTGCAATAACAGCCTATTCTTCACGAAGACGAAAACTGTTGCAGATCCTGACGTTGACGCAAACGTCTCTCTAAATCATCCCACACATGCATAGGGTTTACATCCGATCACATGACGGTCAGGTTTGTACGTTTTGAACTTTTTAGGTTCTATGCTCTCTAAACAAATAGCACAGACTCTTGCTGTGTAAGTACTAGAATTGTCATGCTAAAAAGTGACGTCTGATGTTTGCAGGGCCAGGACAAAGTGAGGATGTAAGGTCTCGTTACAATAACACCGATTAACTGAAAGAATATGTGTCCTGTTTTTGGTGTGAATGACTCGGGTTACTGTATCGGGTGTATGTGGACTGATCTTGAGTGGTGAGTAAACAATCGTATAATACTCAGCGTCACATCAGCAATTATTTCGCCTAACCAAACACCCAGATTACATGATCTACACACCTATTCTCGCGAAATGTGCACCATTTGTAATTTTACGTGTCTCCGCATTAAAAAAGCAACTTTTTAGTATTGGCGGAGTCATCCAAGTGCCAAAAGACCATAGCATGACGGACATTTTGTTCAGTAGTGTGATTGAACTGTGCACGATTGTCCAGTGACTGTCTTACCTGAGTACAACTGATCACACACTTTTGCAACTTTTGAGAGGCATTCTAGAAGCTGTGTCTAGAAGCTGTGTGTAATGACAAGTCTTTATGGGTGATCAACTTCTTTATTGTGCAATAGCGAAGTTTCGGTACCGATACCTATTCCGTTTTCACGCATGAAAAGGTATCTAGATATAGAAACGTCGCTATTGCACAATAAAGAAGTTAATAATCCACAAAGACTTGTCATTCCTATTACTTACAGCTTTTAGAATGCCTCTCAAAAGTTGCTCTGTGTTTATGACAAAGATATCTTTTTATAAGTTAGTGAAATGTTCTATAGTTGTTGGTATAATTATAAAGATAACAACGAATAATTCTTAAGTGTCCAAAAAAAACATAATACGAGGATATAGAGATATTATTTGCAAAAGAAGAACCCCCAAAACACATCCTAAATTATACAAAAAAAGCAGGGATTATTTTATGCAATAAGCAGTAGATCAAGATCCACCTAGTGAAAATCGAGACCACCAAAACAAACAAATATGCCTCAAACGTGTACATTGTAACGTCTGAACATTTCATGAATGTCAAATGCTAATGAGTCTAGGTGCACGGGACACGTACGTGGGCTCTTTTGTCACTGCTTAATGTTTCCAGGGTGCCGTTGTACAAAACAACCTTAGCGCTAAGGTTACCTTAAAGGTCACATGCAACGTAAAACACAACTTTGCAGATTCTGATACCTTTCGGTATGGACTTACCGAAAAAAAGCGTCAAAAATGCAAATTCAACTTATAAAGTTGAAAAATAACGCGCTGAAAAAAAACGCGCGAAATCGGAGTTCAAACGTTTCACTAATTTTCCCCAGACTTTTCTGGGGAATACGGGTTTCAACAGCTGGCTGCGCTCATAGCAGTGCGCAGTGAAATAGGTTCGCGCAACTTGGAAGCGGGCTGTCTGGTGAATACTCGGTGAAGGCTTTGGTGTGAGCTAGTTTCATAATGTTTTGTTAATATCTCACAGGCGCGAGCTTTTTGTATGTTATGACAGTAAATAACTTGTTTATATCATTTCATTTATCTATTTCACCACACGTTCTTCTTACCGAGTCACTTTCTCAGTTCGATACTTAAAAGCAATGTCATTATTTAGAGTTGACACGATTTCTAACTGTGATATAGATATGTTGCTGTCACAGACAAAACTCAATGTCTTGTTTTATTGACACCAGTGTGTCTGCCTGCCTGTCTGCTAATGACAATATTCAATACACAACTTCGATCACTGACCACATGCAATTTGAACTTAACACCAATCAGGCTATACACCATAAACAAAACGCATTGATTTATGGCCCGAGTTCGGTCTCTGTCACATTATGTAATTACACAGACAGGCAGGTGTGATACTTGAACACATGACATGTTATGATGTCTGTTGATTGCAAAATGTTATACACAAAAAATGAGCATGTATTTACAAAACCCAACTTTCTATATATACACACACAATGACCCGTGAAGGCGGCATCTGCTAATGAACCAGCCGTTACACTTGAGTGCACACCCACCCGCTCTGACTGGGTTCGGTATCCCGGGTGCTTCGTTTCGAGGAGGTAAACCCAAGTACAAAATATTGCACTTTTGCTTTGCGATTATACGCTTATAATTTTGTTTATTTGTTTTTTCATAATCAGCAATGCATATTATATGTCATGAAGAAGTGATAATTGTGTTTTAATTATGTTTGATTTTTTGGTTGCATGTGACCTTTAAGTCTATGTTAAGATATGGGAGTTACGGTCACCTTACCGCAAAGATCGCTTTGTACAACGGCACCCTGATCAGTTGATATCACAAATGTCGGAAATGCACTATCCTCAAATTAGAAGACGGTGCATTTCTGACATTCGTTATTTGTTTGGAAATATTCAAGCAACATATAGGCCTGTCGTCCAGTGTAGATGTTCTGGGTTAAAAAATAGTCTCCAACAACAAGATACGAGGTGACAATCGACACATGTAGCGTGTTCACTGCTTGTGAACATTCAAACATTCATTAATTGTCCGACAACATCCTATTATTTACGGGCCGCTTCATCAATATGTGTTGAGATTAAAACATAAAGGCGAGTGGTGAAACTTCAATGACAATTACTCATTTACCTTGTATTTTTGTAGGTATTTTAGAGTTTTGTAGATTTTGTCAGTATCATGACTGTTGATCCATTCACGCAGTCTGCTTTTGAGTAGCAGACGAATCATTGAACCGGAAGTGCACGTGATTGGTAAATTCTAAATTACGACATCATTTCTAAAAACGGAAAGTAGTAATTTTATGCGTTTGTTGCAGACAGTCTTTGGTGGTGTAGATATTAAATACGAAATCTTATAATACAAATAACACAAACAAAAACTCAAAATAATTCTTTAATTGAAAAGTTTGTAAAAACAATACAGGAATCATATGTTTTAGAAATATGTAACAATTAACAAACCATAGACAAGTATGGGAGAAACATTGAGAAAATATATTCCAGTGAATATGTTATGAAAATGTACTTATGAATCTCAAACAAAACACTGTAACATTTATACCAATAGTCTGGTACCTTCATATATACAAGTCTCATAAATGATTTTGAAGGAAATGTCCCCCAAAATAATATATTGTCTGGTATTCAAAATGCAATAAGAAATTCGAGAAATAATTTATTCAGTGCAACATTTGAATGAAAAATGAAATATTCATAGTTCCTAGGCACTGCCCCAATAGCAAAACAGTGACGTGCTTGTTCTAGGCACAAAATAACACTATCATATTTTCTCACCCACACAAATAATTAAGAGGGTGCAAAATGTACACCTTCCACTCTATCTACAAAGGTTTTCTTTCCAAGTGTCATGGCACATCTCTGAATCCTGAATAGTTCTTAACAGAAATGTAATTAGCATTGAGAAAAGCACGAATTTAAAGTAACAATACTATGAACTATATAAAAATATATTGCACAGAGGAAACAGATTTATATGTATTTTACATGGACAGCCAAACTCTGTTAACAATAGCATAACTTGGTGCAGCCCTATTGACGAGTAGACAAAAGGGTAATAGTGTATGTAATACTCCCATTCAAGGAGAATAAGTATCTGCAATTCATTTCCCAGCATTATATACAGGACAAGGTATATCATATGTTAGGTGTAGTTAATATTATTCATAATAATCTGGTGACCCTGAAACACAATGCCTGGGTAAAACCAACATGGAAAACAAAATGTAAAACAAAATATTTTGAATGGGGAAAAACATACTGTAAAAGAAAATATTCTTGTCATTCTACAGAATGCAAACATGTGATGAAACCCTCAAACATGGCAGATGTTGTCAAAAACAATAAAAAAACAAAACATCTGATCTTTTTCTGAAAAAAAGGTAATGCGAAAAGGAGGTTATTTTCTTTGCTTTTCATATGTGTAACATCAAGATTCCACGGAAAGCAAACATTGGATAAATACTCCAATGTGTCAGATGATATAACATGAAACATGAAAAAATATTTGTCCTCCATAAGTGACTTATTTCAAATCTATGTACAAACGGGAGGTTATTCTCATTCCATCTCCAATGTGTAATGCAGTATTCAAAAGTGAGTGAGTGAGTATGGTTTAACTCCCTTCTACTTGCATGTTGGGAATTGAACCCTGGCCTACAGCATGATGAGCGAACACTTTAACCTCTCGGCTACACCACTGCCTAGTAGTGGTGGTCCGATTAATTGAAATAATCAAAGATTGGTCGCAGTGACTAAACGACCAAGCAATCGATCATATTTTCTCATAAGCGAACATAAAAATTCTGGAACACTTTTTGCATTAACAATATTTTTCACAAGGTTGGTTTTGTCAGTTACATTTCATGAGCACTACAAGCTCGTTCCAAGTCATGATTGAATTTATCCCAAAGACCCCCAAAAATTTATGTTCCTTACATACTATTCATCCTTTCACGATGTGAAATTTGCCAAAAAAAACCACCCCAAAGAACCACATGTTTTTTCTTTATGTTTTTGTGCATTAACAAAAATAGCCAGGAAAAATTCATAAATGACGCTTACTAATTATTTTTGATGATTGATCGGCTGTAATTAAGCAATCATCAATTATGAGATTTTAACCAATTCCCAACACTACTGCCTAGTCATGGCCCAATCTAACATGCATGGTAATATATACGTTTTTAATGTACAAAAATGAAATGTTTTGTATTCCCTATCTGCCAGAAAGAATCTTTCACCAACAACTCTGAAGACCAAGACAAATAAATAGTCCAGCCACTCAGAAATTAATACACATGTGGGAGTAACTAATCACTATGGCTGACTGTTTCAATCAGGTTCAATGAATTAGAACAGTGATCGAAATAACGGCCTGCCCGAGGCTGGCAGCTTTCGTGTCGGGCTGGTTAAAAAAAATCTCCACCAGCCTGATTGTCTGGCCTATATTTTTGAATACCTCCCTTTTGGAAGCTTTGTGTGAATAACACACGAGAAGATATATTTGGGGCGTGTATCGCTCTAAACTTTCGCTATTAATTTTTTTCCAGAAAATATATCATTTTAACGATGTAAACGATGTAAAGTGGAAAATTGCAAGTTTAACAGGCTCTTTTCAAATGAGTCAAGAAATCACTACCAGTATCTAAACCTGACCCACACAGCATCCAAATCTGTGGTAGATCAGTCCAGGAGTGTGACGCAGTCTGCGAAATAGTTTCAAATTTTGCTAGCCAGTCGGGCTAGCTATGCCTGAAATTTACTAGCCCACAAAATAACATTTTATCATGCCATAATCTTGCATGATTTATAACTTAATAATTCGGAGAGAGTGATATATTTACAAAATGACCCAATGAAAATTCACTAGCCAGTCGGGCCAGTGACTGTGGAGATTTACTGGTCCGACTGGATTTTTACTAGCCACGGGCTAGCGGGCCAGTGGCTATTTCACACACTGGTGTGACAAAGAGAAAATTCACAAAGGAATAAATAATGTCATCATTAACCCAATGCCATACAAGATCTGTCATAAGACAACGAACTGGTGGGAAGCTGTGTATCAACCACTGATTCTACACTTGGCTGTTTACATACTGCCATGGTACAAAGCAGCGAACGTCATATGTACAATCAAACAGTGTTGTGTTGAAATTGATTGGACCTACGCAATGCTTTGAGTTATCTGACGTTCAACACAATGGCAAAATGCTGACTAGATAAGGAATATGTAGGGACCAAGCCATTAGTCTGACAGGAACAAATTTAGCAAACCAAAGTTCAACACAACAATGTTTGACTGTACTGAATTTTCGAGATGTCATGGAACAAATGGACCATGATCTTACTTATAATGATATCAAAACAATACACTTCAAGAGTAAACAAGAAATAAGTCCAAATAAGTCAAGGATAGTCAAGGATAAAACAGGTACTGTAGCTCAACTTCATTGGATGACGTAATGATTTGACAAGGTTCTGTTACCCAACTGCTATAATTCTCAAATTCTTTCTGAATTACAAATCTACTCGGTTGTTTCCCACTTTGTTGAAACAATGCACAGGCATACAATTATATTTAGTTTCCACATAAACCATTTTTAACTTTACAAAATTTAATTACACATTTATACAGAATACAAACATATATTTAGTTTGTTAGTGCCACTTTCAGCAAACATACAGTTATAAATAATCAAGTCTGGGCCAGACAATCCAGTGATTGACATGTTCAAATTGGAAACATTTCAAGACATCCAGCACATATACATATAAAACATGAAGGCATTACAAGACATCCTATCATATCATTGCCGTCTAAGTCTAACTGATGTCGTCTGAAGACTATAGACACGGTGGAGACATCAATGGGACTATTCACATTAATTCATTAATTCATTTTAGGTAAGAGTTTGGCATTTGTACTAATATGACACATTAATTTCATTACTGACATCATCCAATGTATTATAAAGATGACAGCCATTTTGAAATATGAAATTTCATACTTATAACTTGGAGCATACAGTTAATGATATGATAATGATATGAACATTAGTTTTACAAAAATTATTAATAACTTCATTGTTAGCATGTTGAATGACAGTCAGATGAAACCCATTAAGAAAGCTCACACTGACAATGACAATGTGAAGTATTGTTCACAAAACAAATCACCATAAATGATATGTACATTTTCAGCTCCTGACATTTCAATATGTAAACAAAGACGCAGATGATGACAGTGCACATGCATGGAAAAATCAACTAATACCACCACCATTACCCTGATCATAGACACGAAGATACCACGGTGTTGTCTCGTAACGAATATGATGCAGTTCAAGTACCATTACCAACAACCGCCCCCGTGTTGTAGCGGTTAGAGCGTCCGCCCGGAGAGCGGAAGGTCGCAGGTTCAATCCCCGACCGCGTCATACCAAAAGATGTTAAAATATGGTACTTGTTGGTCCCTGCATGACGCTAGGCATTAATGGGTACAACAAGGACTGGTCGGCTCAGAGTCAGTATAATGTGTCTGAGTGGGGTATTCATGCTTCACTGTGGCATGGTATCTCAGTGGGCTAGCACTATAAAACCAGCTTAAGTCTGGACTAGTACAAGCACCCGCACATACACATACACACGCATGCACGTCGTCATATGAGCGAAATATTCTCAAGCACGACGTTAAACCCAATTTCACCTCACCATTACCAACAGCAACATTTACTCAAAGGCATAATTAAATGTTTTTATTCTTAATTTTCCTTGCTATCACAAAATATGTGCACGAACCCCATACTTTTTTTCAGTTTTACAATAAGATGAAATCATCTACACATAAATATACATGTATCTTCTAGTAAATTAGGGAAAATTATGTATGACTTTGGACAGTCTTGACAGTTATTCTTCCATGATAAATGGTAGCTCTGAAACAAACTTAGAAAGTCTGTTTGTTCAGACAACTGATACCATTATTTATTACAAAAAGCTTTATTTTCTATTATTAATTCTTTAAGTAATTATACTACTTTACTTTTATGACGATATTCTTATCTTTCCATGATACATAAGATTGATTCTCAGAATACATGCATGTCAAGTGTATAGAATTAGTATAATACTCCAGCTACAGGATAGCTTTGTAGTCACAAATGGCAGGGTTGTCCAAGTCAAGGGGAGATAACTCTCATTCGTTTCAATTCGTGCCAGGTGTGCCATTTGTAATTGAAATGATGTATTCCTCAATCACCAGTCTGTAAATGACTGATTATAACTGTGCATCACTGATATGTTGTGTAGCTTTGATGAAGGCCTCACTGACAAGAAGGCAAGTACATTAATAGAGCTATCTCAAAACAAGATGGCGGAAGTTTAGACATTTACAATTTTTGTGAAACAAGGGGGAAGCGGGTGGTATTGACGAACCTAGGAACACAATCAGGGAGAACCGAGAGTCAAACCCACAAGCATAGGATTCTGGTGAGTTAAGGAGACAACTCTGCAGAAAATTGCATCACCTTAGATAACTTGACTACGTGTGGCCCCCTTGTGAGCAAAGGAGTGAAAGACACAGGCATCTTACAGCACTAGCTTCAAAGTGTAAAATGCAACCACTGCCCAAATAATACCAAAAGATAAATACAGCAGGTGATAGAGTTTGTGAGAATTACATGGCACCATAAGTGCACTGAACTGTAATAATTTACCCCACAGATAAAAGTTTCCTTTTTCAAACAAAATGTTTGAAGCACCTTTGTCTTTGTCAAATAGACAAAACTGACCTCTCAGCCTTGGGATCGCCATTTTGGGGTAAGGAATCTGGCAAAGTGTAACAAATTTGGTTTTAGTACAATAATTATAAGCATCCTCCAGTTGTATGTTTTGGGCAAGTTTTTGCACAAATCTCAATTTATTACATGTACAAACTAGGGCTGGCTATTGATATAGATAAAAAAGATTGATGATCCTATTGATTGATTATCAGAAGTAACTTTGGGCAAACTGTCTGAAAGAAAGGCCAGACCAATTTTATTTCTTATTTTACGGATCTGCCAGTCGTATCTTTTCAAGAATAAGAAAATTTGTTTTTAGTTTTCCCCGCTCAAAAAATTTAATCCTAAAGTATTTATTGGCCAGAAATGTAAACTTACAAGACAATTATTTATAGATTGTATTTTCCCCCATACACACTTCATAAATTGCCAAAAGTAAAATACTCTTAGCATTAAAAAGGAATACTACTTTGACAGGTGATTTTATTTTTATTAATTTCCCCTCCTGCCTTTACTTTTTCTGAGGACAAGAATCCGTAAAACAAGAAAAAAAATTGATCTGGGTCAGTGTGAGAAAATAAACACTGTATTTCTACACATTTGTTTATGCTTGATATTAGTGTGGACACAATTTTCATATTGATAATCATAATAATCATTCCCATCGACAATATTTCTGATTTTCAATCTTTCAGCCAGCCCTAGTATAAACATTAAGTGATGCCATCATATATACTGTTTTTGGTATAAGTAGGAATAAGCGTGATATGCATATATTCATTTAAACAATAAACGGTACAACAAATATTAACGCGATAACAATAGCCATTACTGGAGATATTCTCATAGCAAAGTAACAGGCTCTTGGCTCAAGACTTATCAGAATTGTTTTGAGATCCATTGACTTTGGAAAAACTGTTTTCAGGTCGATTACTCTTAACAATTGTGTTGTGGTCCTCTAATTTCAGCATGATTGTGTTATGGTCCCGTAATATATTTCAGAATGATAGTGTTGTGTTCCCATAATTTCAGAATGATTGTATTCTGGTTAAATGACTCAGGACAATTGGTTTGAGTTCCAATGACAAGGTGAAGTATACTACCCATCAAAAGTTTAGACTCACTAGTGTAAATGTAGCCACTTACTTCAGTCAACTGTTCTGAACTAAATTTTAAAAACTAATCCATACAGTTTGAATGTATTGTTTATACATGAGCTGATGTATTGTAAAACAAATTCATGACGTTGAAAAGTTAATTGTCATGTGTTCAATAAATGATGAAACTCGGTGAAAAATGGCGATTTTTTAATCAAAACTTTACACCAAAACGCAGCTGTTCACATGCACAATATTTGCACATGCTTTTCAGCAATTTGATGCATGATCCTCGTGCAATTAATCTGCATAAGGTTTGCAGATGTTTCCCCCAAGTTAGTGGAGAAATTCATCTTCGTTGTAACCATATGTACATTCATAACATATAGTGATTGATTTAAGCGAGTCTAAACTTTTGATGGGTAGTATAGTTTTCAGGTCCATTACTTACCGGTTAAATGTTGTGGTCTCATGAATTTGGAATTATTGTGTTGTAATCTCTTTCAGAACAATTGTTCTGAGTTCCGATGACTTGGTACATTACTCAAAATGATGGTATTGTGGTCTCATAATTTCAGAATGACTGTGTTAGTTCTCATAACTCAGACTTTTGATTGTACTATGGTTGTAATTTCAGAATGATTATGTTGTGGTCCCGTAATTTCATAATGACTTTGTTGTGGTCCCGTAATTTTGGAATGACTGTGTTGTGCTCCCGTAATTTTGGAATGATTGTGTTGTGGTCCCGTAATTTTGGAATGACTGTGTTGTGCTCCCGTAATTTTGGAATGATTGTGTTGTGCTCCCGTAATTTTGGAATGATTGTGTTGTGCTCCCGTAATTTCAGAATGACTGTGTTGTGGTCCCGTAATTTCTGAATGACTGTGTTCTGCTCCCGTAATTTGGGAATGATTGTGTTGTCCTGTATTTTCAGAAAAACTGTGTTGTGGTCCCGTAATTTCAGAAAAATTGTGTTCTGCTCCCGTAATTTTGGAATGATTGTGTTGTCCTGTATTTTTAGAGGTTCTGAGGTTTCCACACTCAACTTTGTTTATGGTCCTCCAAGCCAACATTCTGCAGTACAGCTTTGTTACCAGCCTGATTCAAAAGGGATGAAGCTAAAAGCTGTGATCAAATTACTCTCACAAGCACAAGCCATTCTGCTCAAAGTAAGGGATGGGATATACTGGGAATGATGTCAAAAGTGGCATCACTGACATAACATAACAATAGTAACTAGGTCCATATCAATTATGAATTATGAAATTTGAATGAAATATTTGAGAATGTGGAGTACCAGGATTTTTTGTATGGCTGAATAATTTCCTCTCCAAACACATTTAAATATATGTAGCATTAAGATAAAAACATAGATATGTTTATGAACTATGGCACAGATGAATCTCTCTAGTATGTCACAGTTTACACATATAAACAGTCAGTATCTCCAAAGTAAATGCTTCACTCTCAGACATGGGCAAACTGCTCAGCAGCCTTTGTAATACTTATACTACTCAAAGAACTTAAGGACATTTATTTTCACATTACTATAGTTACTTGCAATGATAGATTAACTGTAGTACTGTAAGAATCAGGAGGACCTTAACTTCATATGTGTAGAATATATCAAGTCAGTGATTTAACTGATTGGTTGCTGTCTGCTTTGGAATGTAGGCGGAAAGAGCAAGGTGTATGAGGACAGTATTTGAAAGAAATGTCAAAGTTATTACTGAATAGCTACTTGTCACCTAACACTTTAAAATATTAGTCGACTTGTTAGAATTTGTAGAATGTGTAGGCTGTCATGCTATAGACTCACGTAAATGTTCACTGGATATATTCCTCATAAAATAACTTCTCATTTAAATATAAAACTATCTCTGCTCTCACACTAAAGTTGATCTACATCTCTCTGTATATGACGACATGAATGTTATTTCATAACTTCAATGATATATAAAGATAAACAAAGGACAAATTAACTCCCTCTCATTCTCTAAATAGATATTTCAATGTTCAAACATTCATTGCTAATAAGTGTTCCATGCATAAAGCATTTAATCGGTTTTGGAGTTATATGTTCAAAAGGAACTTATTATAATGAAGATATTGCCACCAGAATCTTGATTCTGAATAAAAAGACTAATGAAGAAATTATTAATTTGTCATGGAGTGACCATAATGTTCCAACAGGTTATTACAGCCTGAATGTGAAAAACGTGACGTTTTAGTGAGGACGGCCAGCAAACACAGTCGTTTGAAAAAGTGTCCAACACTTCAACAGAGCAGAGACATAATTCTACAAAATGCTAAACAAGTTTCAGGGCAGAGTCCGTTTGGTGTAAAGGTAGTAGAGGTATGGTGGGGGACCTGAGCGGACCTGACAAGTCTGTGTGTACATCAAGCACAGCTGGAATTTCTGTATACGGTAGATGACAGTTTGGTCTGGAGAGTGGAGGGTAGTACTGTCTGTATACTATATACGCTATTAACAGTCCCTCCAGCGAACCCACAGTTACATCTGAAATAAAAACACAGGTACAATACTTATCATTGTTAACAGATATAGTGATGAGTGAGTGAGTTTAGTTATATGCCGCACTGAGCAATATTCCAGCTATATGGCGGCGGTCAGTAAATAATCATGTCTGGACCAGACAATCCAATGATCAACAGCATGAGCATCAATCTACGCATTGGGAACCGATGACATGTGTCAACCAAGTCAGCGAGCCTGACCACCCGATCCTGTTAGTCACCTCTTACGACAAGCATGGGCTACTGAAGATCAATTCTAACCTGGATCTTCACGGGTGGTTAATAATTATAAGAATTGTCATAAGAGTAAAGCCAAAGCCTCAAATATTTATCAGCAACCTGTAAATCTTTATCAAAGTGTTTTAAGTTTTGAAATTTGACAATAAGTAATGACAAATGGGAAACTAATGTGAGTACAAGACCTAAATGCAAGAGTTATAACTCAGTAGATAAGCTGATTTTTACTCCAGTACATTATGAGAAGTGAGGTTTTTCCACCATGGCAAATTGAAGAGCCAGATACTGATTGGTGGTACATGTACTAATATCTTGACAACTAGTTATGTATAGTTGACAGTGAAGTAGACTTCTGTTAAATCCTAAAGATTAGATTTGTGGTGACAGCCAAAATACAGGATTTAAAGCAATGGAGTAGTTAAATTAGTTATGGGCTAACAAATCCACTCAAAATGTACAACGATACACACAGTTATTTTCATCTTATTACCAAGTACTAAATGGTTAAAAGTATCTAAAGAACATAAACTACAAATTATGTGCATGTTGAGATGCGGCTTACCCTGCCAGTGGTGGTGGTAGTCCGCGGTGCGGGACACGGCAATGAGAGTAGCCCACAGCAGGGGGATCACCACACAACACAGCTTCAGCCCGTTCCCACGTCCCTTACTGCTGAACACATGGAACTTCCCTGCCACGTACAGCGAGATGAAGGCAAGGCAAGCGAAGGCAACTGGAATGTACAGATGAACACGAGTGAGTGAGTGAGTTATCAAGATTCAGTTTTAAGGCCAGACCAATTTTATTTCTTGTTTTACAGATTTTTGTCCTCAGAAAACCTAAAGGCAGGAGGGAAAAAATAATATCACCAGTCAAAGCAAAAACCCACATGTGTTTTTTTCAAAGGCATTTTCAAGTTCACACTTGCTGAGGTGCTCAAAGCACTGATTTCTAACACAAATATTGTTAGATAATTCAATCTAAAGTCACTGAGAACAGATACCAGTATTTTAATGTCCGAGAAACTGCCCTGCATAGTCAAAGTCTTGGTCCCGTGTATCTTTATATTAGGATTTTATTTTTCGAGCAGAGAAACATTTTCTACATTTTTTTCTCATTCTTGAAAAAATACGACAGGCGGGTCCGTAAAACAAGAAATAAAATTGGTCTGGCCTTAAGTTAAATTAAAAGGTGATGTTTGGTAAATAAATCAATAAACTAAATACATGTTATAATATGTAATATGAGAAAGTGAGTTGTGGGTAGTATCACCTTCAATAACATTTCAATGTGCCCTTTTCAAACTTTCTCCATTGGGTATACTGTTTAGCATCAAACATATATATAAGATGCAGCTCTCCATATTTACGCTGTTGAATTCTCATCGCTTAAGATCAACATAATCTGATGAACATGGGTTTGTTAGTTGTTTGCTGAACACCAATTCTAACCTGGATCTTCCCGGATTTGACAAAAAAGGGAAAAGAGTGTAGCACCATCTTTAGTGGTATTTCAGAGTGTCTCTTTTCTGTAGGATTTCATGGGGTGTATTAGTGTAAAAAAACTAAAGACACAAAAGGTGAGTCACAATGTGTGTATCCAAAATCAGTCCTGAGGGTCAAAGTTTTCTTGTAAAAGATTCACACAAAATAATGCTTATAGAAAATGTTGACAGTAATTGTGCACAAATCTTTTGGGGTGTCTAGATTGCTAAAAACTTTCCTACAGATGGACAATCACTAATTGCTTTCCTACCACACACCACACAAAAGGCTCTTCTGAACTTTACATCGTAACACAGGTGAGCTATGGACCTACATGACGAGTGACCGCTGGGGAAGCTCTTCCTGCCCTCGATGATGGTGTCCATGTTCCCAGTACATGCCATGTCTTCTCTGACCGCCCCATCAGGGAAACACCGGTCAATGTAGTCCGGACGTGGCCTGGAAATTACATTCTTTGATGTCATCACATGTACAAAGGTATCTTGAAAATAACTGGATCTCTGACAACCTCTCTAGCAACTAGCATCTACTATCTACAATGATTACAGGTTTGGCATATTTCAGGTTGAAGCAAAATAACACTCTATTGTTTCAAAATGAAAAAGAATTAACTATTTTTTGGTTCACTGAAGTTCAGGACTCTCTTTCAGTACATCAAGTTGATAGTTCAATGGACACAAAACCCAGGATCAATTCACTGACAAGGGTGAAGTAACATGATGATGTCATCATGTTATTATGTCATAATGTTATCTTGAAATCTGTGGAACTTGGGCACTTCGAAATCACTGAAAAAAAATATTGTCATCTAGGCAATCAGCAAGACGCAAAAGTCAGAATGCTGAGAGAGAATTGCTTAGATAATTTGATATGAGTCAATACCTTCCAACGCCAAGTTTTACTAAATTCGTCAAGGACCCTGTGAGAAATATGGACAGGAAAACAGCTGGAACAGAACAGAAAACAGTTACTGTTAAACTGACAAAAGTTTAATACAGGACATGAATGGTACATCATAATTCTACAAGAAACACGCAAAGCGTGTCATCATGTACTATACAAAGAAGACAAATAGATAGAAAGTGAATTTCCAAGTTTCTATTTTATAAAAGTTATTTCAGTGTCATCTGATTCTGAAAGTTTGTGGATTTGTTTAATTTTAACAAATACTGGAGTACTGTATATTTGATGAGCAATATGATGCAGCAAAGTAGTGATACAACATGTATCATGATACAAAGGTCATGATCTTAGGCTATGATATAAGCATGTTCAGGTCAAAAATTCAATCCAGGTTTCAAATGAAAAAAATACCCCACAAACCTTGGGTTCTTAACCCATGACCTACAGTACATCGCCATCAACAACATCAACTTCAACCTTGATATCCCGTCCAACAACCCTTTGCTCTAATCATTTAGTAGTGAACTAGAAATGCTAATTAGTTTTCATTTTGCCATACATGTACATGACTGAAAACATTATTTGCGTTGTCAATACAAAAATAGTAAGGATTTTAGCAAGTGTAGATACAGATATTTGTATCGATACAGAAAAACATACATCGTGTCCAATAAAAATTGCAGACTGAGTATTTACCCAAGTTCATACTCAGTAAATACTAAGTCTGAATTCAGATTACCTTAGCAAATTTATATTGTCAATTATACACAGGAGATGAGTGTCATGTAAGCCCTTCAATGATGATTGTCATCTTGTCTGAAATGCCTGTCTGCCTGGGAACTATAATACACTTTACCTAGGAGGCCTTGAACCAAGTCTTCAGCGCTTCTCCTCACCAGGTAAAATAAGCCCATCACTACCACAGGTGTTGCCAACACTGTCAACTGAAGAGAGAAATTCATGGTTCTTTCAGACATATGGTTGTCGATAGTGGCTGTTACATATATATGCAGCCTTTGAAATTCACGTCTGTTAGCTGAGACTACTTAACTGTGCTGAGGACAGGTAGACTCTGATTACTGGATGCGTTATTCAGTCTCGATGTTTCACTATTGCTACAAATTAGTCCTTGGTGTCCAGGGGCGGATACAGCTTTTTGAGAAAATGGGGGTGCACACTATTGTGAAAAGTGTGTGTGTGTGCGTGCGTGCTTGCACACACTTCATTTTCCCCCCAGTTTCAATGGTCATTTAATAAACTTTCAGGACAAAAGGGGGGGTGCTCCCCCCTGCACCCCCCCGTCTGGATCCGCCTATGGTGTCCCTTCAGTGATGAACACCAGGCAGGGAAACAACAAGTGTCTTATCATGGTAACCACCGACCTTCTGGTTTATAGGGACACTCGTTACAAAATGTTCTTGAAAGAAGCGGTTCCCAATACTGCAGCAATGTAACTTGACACATTGAGAGTGTGTGATCACTGATGATGGGACATCAGGAAGGGAGAGCAGCAGCAGCACCCACACGGGATACTTGGAGCCATTTCTGACCAGACACTCCCACTGGTGTGTGGTCCTGTTTGTTCATGAATTGCCTTTGTTCACCCAGCAGTGAATGGGTACCCGTTGGGATAAGTCATATGACTATTAATCTTCTAGCACCTCACAGGCAGCTTGGGTTATCTGGGGTGGGGTAATAATGTGTTAGTGCTGCGAGCACACACAAGTGCGTGGAAACAGGCGCTGTATAGATAGCCATTATCATTATTACTGTAGGCTGTAACCAGGGCTCCAGATAAGGGTCGTATCGGCATATGTACGGATAAAAAATATGCAAGATACGGTAGGAAATAATTTAGAAAGCGTAGCAGATACGCACCACAGCAATGGTGTACGGTCTTAGAATCATTTACAGACGTATTTATCTGAAAAAGTATTGTTTTATTGTTTATTGACCTGTTTACACAAGAGTAGCAATGTTGTGGTGCATATATGAAACGAAACACAAGATTACTGATACGCCATTACTTTCCATTCAGTACTCTAAATGTACTCTTAAGGTTTTCCAGTACTCTGATATTGAATAAATAAGGAGTACGTACTCCTGATCATGAAAAATTATCTGGAGCCCTGTGTAAGACATTCAGGCAAAAAGCAATACTAATTTCAAACATTACAATACCCATAACAGATATCCTGGGTAGTAGCTGGGTGTTTTGGGGTATCTGTACAACCACATCTCTTCTGGCTGAATCTTCCTCTGGAACGGAACTGCATCATCAGTAATCCTAAAAGGAAAATATGTCACCATAAATACCTCAGTCAAAATTAAATTAAGTTTTCATACTCGCCATGTCACTTCCATACACAATTTTATTGTCTTTAAGTACAAGATGATGAGTGAGTGACACCAGAAAAGACCCAAACACAACCAATGACCTAAACACAACCAATGAACCAAACACGGCTAAGGACAACCAAAGACCCAAACACAACCAAAGACCTAAACACAACCAATGAACCAAACACAACCAATGAACCAAACACGGCTAAGGACAACAAAAGACCCAAACACAACCAAAGACCTAAACACAACCAATGAACCAAACACGGCTAAGGACAACAAAAGACCCAAACACAACCAAAGACCCAAACACAACCAATGACCTAAACACAACCAATGAACCAAACACGGCTAAGGAAAACAAAAGACCCAAACACAACCAATGACCTAAATACAACCAATGAACCAAACACGGCTAAGGCCAACAAAAGACCCAAACACAACCAAAGACCCAAACACAACCAAAGACCTAAACACAACCAATGAACCAAACACAACCAAAGACCTAAACACAACCAAAGACCCAAACACAACCAAAGACCCATACACAACCAATGACCTAAATACAACCAATGAACCAAACACGGCTAAGGACAACCAAAGACCCAAACACAACCAAAGACCCAAACATAACCAATGACCTAAATACAACCAATGAACCAAACACGGCTAAGGCCAACAAAAGACCCAAACACAACCAAAGACCCAAACACAACCAAAGACCTAAACACAACCAATGAACCAAACACAACCAAAGACCTAAACACAACCAAAGACCCAAACACAACCAAAGACCCAAACACAACCAAAGACCTAAACACAACCAATGAACCAAACACGGTTAAGGACAACAAAAGACCCAAACACAACCAAAGACCCAAACATAACCAATGACCTAAACACAACCAATGAACCAAACACGGCTAAGGACAACAAAAGACCCAAACACAACAAAAGACCCAAACACAACCAATGACCTAAACACAACCAATGAACCAAACACGGCTAAGGCCAACAAAAGACCCAAACACAACCAATGACCTAAATACAAATAATGAACCAAACACGGCTAAGGCCAACAAAAGACCCAAACACAACCAAAGACCTAAACACAACCAATGAACCAAACACGGCTAAGGACAACAAAAGACCCAAACACAACAAAAGACCCAAACACAACCAATGACCTAAACACAACCAATGAACCAAACACGGCTAAGGACAACCAAAGACCCAAACACAACCAAAGACCCAAACACAACCAATGACCCAAACACAACCAAAGACCCAAACACAACCAAAGACCCAAACACAACCAAAGACCTAAACACAACCAATGAACCAAACACGGCTAAGGACAACAAAAGACCCAAACACAACCAAAGACCCAAACACAACCAATGACCAAAACACAACCAGCCATGCTTATTTGTGGACAGCTGAGTCGTGGTTCATATTGTTATTATGACAAAGAACCTGTTTGATAACACTCTGAGACATTCTGATAAAACCAAATCAATATATCAACCCCTGGCCTAAAACGTTTCTTGAAATTAAGCAAAACCCAGGTAGCAGATTTTTGGAAACATCGAAAACAATCAGCAACAATACCACCAAGACTGTACTGAATCTCATGCAACTGTATGGTGTGGTGGTTCTTCAATAGCATCATTTGCTGTCTTTATTGACTTAACTTCAACTGCTGACATGTTCCACATTGCTAATGATGTATCGGTATATTGTTTGTGCCAATGTGCAGTGAATATGATACAACATCATACTCCCAAGTCAATTGTTTGCTCGGCATTCTAGAAGTTGGTGAGTCAGAAATGAAACATAAAACTTATGGATGACAACTTCTTGTTTATTGCGTCGCATATTATTATAGAGGCAAGAGATGCTCACATTTCTCGCATCATATTCATGATTACAGCTTTTAATGACAGCTGTTTCATGGAATTATCATAATGTCAATTACAGCTGGTGTCATAACACATCTATTGATGCAATAGTCAGAGAGTATTTCAATGATTAACTTATGTAAATGTTTTCTGGAGGCTGCACTAATTATCACTAACAGCTAGTGGTGGGAATCGGTTGGAATTTCATAATCGATTATCGGTTACTATCGGATTGTCCCATCCGATCAATGATTGATTGTATAATCGGCTACACTGATTAAGAATTAAATATTTTTTACAACTTGTGCAATTCCCAGGTAAACATTTGAACTCTGTTACAATACTGCAATGCTGTATATTTGTCATTTTTTAAATTATGTGATAGTGTGAGCATTAAATGAAATATATCAGCTTTTGTGGTTGGTTTCTGTGAAAAACGTGACTTGAGGGTGCATCTACAAAAACCTAAAAACTCCTGAATATAATATGTTTCGTAAGTTTTAATTGTCATTTGAGGCAAGATTGTACAGAATCACAAACAACCCAAGTCTACACTGATCAACAAAAAAATGTGTACAAAAATAAATATTGACAGGCTACCAAGATATATACTACCCATCAAAAGTTTAGACTCACGTAAAACACTCACTAAAATAAAAAGAAGATGTAACCCAGAAAAATCTCTATGTTCATCAAATATCATCTTCTAAAATGCCAATCAAGCATCTCACTCACTATATGTTATGTAAATATATATGGTTACATCGAAGATGAATTTCTCCACTAACTTGGGGGAACCAACTGCAAACCTAATGCAGATGAATTGCATGAGGATCATGCATCAAATTGCTGAAAAACATGTGCAAGTATCATGCATGTTAACAGCTGCGTTTTGGTGTAAAGTTTTGTTAAGAATTGGCCAATTTTCACTGAGTTTCATCATTTATTGAACTCATGACAATAATCTTTTCAATGTTACGAATTTGTTTTACAATACATCAGTTCATGTGTAAAGAGTACCTCTAAACAGTATGGAATATTTTACAAAATCTAGTTTAGAACAGTTGACTGAAGTAAGTGGCTACATTTACACTATTGAGTCTAAACCTTTGATGGGTAGTGTAGAAAAGATGACCGTTCAATTCACTCTTTTACAGATTCTCCACAATCACAACAAATCCTCACAATTATTCCGAAAATTTGACCCACTTTTTACACTAATGTACCGTATATTACCGTAGATAAGCCAAATTTTGAGGACCCCAAAATAGCAGTCTGTAGAAGGGGGTCGGCTTATCTATGGTTTACACTTTCGTCAAACCTTTGTTCAGGGGGTAAGAAAACGACATCGTATCACTTATCATGAACAAACAGACAAGAGAAGATGACTTTTCCAGTAAGGACATCAAATTTGCAATTAAACATCACTAGACAAGATTATTTACCTTTTCAGTTCTAATTTGTTTTGCTAGGCATTGTCTTACAGATAACTTTTTGGGTCATTGAGTTATGTACTCGCTTGTGTTCATCTCAATTGGGTATCCTAATTTTCTTTTGAGTAACCAAATATATTGTACCCACCTCAATCAAACTCAATTGGGTGTTTTACCATTTTCCGGAAATTTGTATAAAAATAATAAAGTTTAAATGTTGGTTTATGTGTTTGCTATTCATATTTGATCTGTAATATGAGAAACAATGCGAAAGACTGCAAGCAGCCGAGTTCACATGTTTAAATAAAACATCTCAATATACCTCAGTTATTATATCTCACCACCAGTACGCAAGCTAAAATGTGACATTCATGTTTGTCGCATGTGAGATCAAACTTATTGAGTATTTTCAAAACTTCAAGTGTACTTGTACACAATAAATATTTGCGTAATTTACGGCGTAAGATTACGGTGTGTATATGTCTCGTATGTAAAGCCGGAAAGTAGCAATCAGCTGTGCACACGCTTCCTGGCGATCTAGTTAAAACATTACCCAATAATGTAACAGGATGAATTCTGACGAAGTGAACATCTAAAACTATTATTTTACCAAGAGAATTATGTCCTAGCATTGTGTAATTTTACTTACAGGTTTTGCTCTATAAATGTAAAATATGTATAATCAATACTAAGGTTATATGGACCCTCACGAACATGGTAAGCTGAAGTTGTACGCACATGGAATGAGGTGAAATACACATGCCAGTTTGTTGTGATCGCCAGCTGCAATAAATATGTCATTTTGGAAAACAAAATATATATGCGTATCCATTTTCTGTCAACTACACTTCATTTTGTGACTAAAGGGGATAGAAGTTATGATTATCGGTAGCTGCCAGTTATCTTGTGGTCTGAGCTGGGTATTCATTACTGTTTTGCAAGAATTATTAGCGACAATCGATTATGAAATTTTGCTATCGATTATCGCATTGGAAAAGGGTAATCGATTAATTATTGTGTATAATCGATCATTGGAACACCACTAGTAACAGCCATATGGATATTACACTGACTAACTTCAGTAAATAGTAGAACACCTGTGAAGCGAAATGATGATTTTTGCTCATTACAATGTCAATCCCCAATTGTTTAGATGCGGCAGTACTAGTAATTACAACAGCAGCATCTGCTACACTGTGTTAAGACCTTAAAGAAACCATAAGCTGGAATTACACAGTGTTTAACACCAAAGTGGACATTTTCATTGACAAAAACTCAATATTGTTTACAGTGAATGATGTTTAAAGGCACAATGTCACACATTTTGGACAATATTTTGGCCTATATTACATATATTGGGCCATATGCACTCACTTTAGCTTCCTATTGATGCAATAAACAACTTATTATCCCTTACAACTTGCCTGAAATCAAAAATTGAAACTTCGAGGTGAAAAGCTTCCAAACAGAGAACGCTTGCCTGATATGGAATATAAACAATTGCTCCGTACACCGAAAACTGTCGCACGCAGTGTTGTCGGTGTTTGCCGAACTGGTTTCAATCACAAGTTGTGCGTAGGATATTCGTAAAGAGCGCTCCATGATACAACTCTATGGGGTTTGCTTGAAATGATGTTCGGCTAGTAGAGGGAGCGAGAGTCAGTTTAATGCAATGTTGCATTAATTCATTCAAACTTTTTAATTTAATATAGTAATCTAAATATGTAATTTGTTTTGGAATAAATTATATGGTAGCTTCCCTGAGGGCTGATAGTTAGTATTATTAAGAGAAATGGATTATTTATTTTTAGAGAAGTGTGGTGTCATATAGTGCCTTTAATGTTGCTTTTAGCAATATTCCAGCAGTGACACAGTGAACAAAGGGACACAACTCTGTACAAAGCTTTCAACACAACCATCAACACTCTTCAGCAACTTCTGAACCATGTCACGGTGCACACGTATAAAAATATAAGACTCTTGTTAAAACCATCACACCGTGATCAGTGTGACAAGCTGTAGTAAGTTAAACCTGTCAAGGTGTGAACAGGTAACAACTGCTCCTGTCATGTCTCCAACTGACTCTGAGGTTCTCTGTTTGACAAATATATCTGCATGGTTTGCTGAAGACCAATTCTAACCTGGATCTTTATGGGTCCATCTCTATCTTACGGAGTAACCTATTAGAGGAAGATCTTTTTACAAAATTATGATCAAGCCCCTGTTTCAATGAATAAAAATAATAAAAATCAAAATAATGTGCCCTAAAACCCCTTTTCTTGCAGGCAAATGTCCAAAGAATAAACATCTTTGTACTTATGTACAGAAATTTACATTTGAGCACCGAGATTAAATAATTTCATTTCAAACAATGAAAAAATGATATTCTAATCTCAAACCAACATCTTAGGCATGAAAACAACTAGATTCAGTGTGCGAAATAGTCACAGGCCTACTAAAAATCCAGTCAGGCCAGTAAATCTCCAGTCACTGGCCTGACTGGCTAGTGACTTTTCATGTGGTCATTTCGTAAATATATCACTCTCTCTGACGTGTTAAGTTATAATACACTTTTAAATCATGCAAGTTTATTATTTCGACATTCAAATTTCGCACTATTCAGAGCTCCAGATAAGATTTAGCTCATATGGGTACTGTACCCACTGTATTTTTTGGGAGTGGGTATTATGAATGCTGAGTGGGTATTTCATTTTCCGTTACCCACTGCTTTCAAATATGTGCGTATTTCAGTCATTTTACTCACATAAGTATTATGTCATTGAGTAAGTTTACTAAGCAGGTATGTTCTGCCTTATGTCATACCTAATCAAAACCAAGTTGAATATAATGGAAATGATTTCATAAAAAATCACTCATCCTATACTGACAGTACAACACTAGTCCTATACTAACAGTACAACTTGATAGCAATCCATGTCTTTTTCATTGCGCAAGGGATATTTATAAATATATTCCGTACGCATTTGTTTTAAACTTTTTGCATATCTAACATTTTAAATGCGTAATTGGTACGCAACAATTATTTTTCAATGCGTAATTGGGAAATTTTCTATGCGTATTTTACCCGGATACGCAGCTTATCTGGGCCTCTGACTAGTGAATTATTTTGTGGGCTAGTGACTTTCAAGCGTAGCTAGCTCGACTGGCTAGCAAAATTTGGAAACTATTGCACACACTGACTGGATTCCGTGGTCAATGTTTTATATGTTGAACTGAAACACTCACCAGTACACAACAAACAAGGCCAGTCTCACAGAAAGTTCCACGAGAAACGATTGGTGTTTGTGTTTTATCATCTTCATCCTGAAAAATTAATTGTCAAAAATTAATTATTCCATTTTCATGTGCCGTTTTCACTACAAAACCTCCCATCTACCATAATATTGTTGACTAAAAGGAATAAGAGAATGAGTATGATTTTACGCCGTTTTAAGCAATATTCCAGCAATATCACGGCAGGGAACACCAGGAATGGGTTTTACACATTGTAACCATGTGGGGAATCAAACCCGGGTCTTTGGCATGACGAGCTAATGCCTTATCCATTAGGCTACCCCACCGCCCTGAAACACAGATGTGAATAATATAACTGTGTACATGTTACATATGGATATCATAATCAATTGTATTAATAGTGTTGCAACAAACCCAGTATGTGGTGAATTTAATACATGTCATTAATATCATGAATATTGGGTTATGATAAAAACAAGTCAGCTGTTGAAGTATTGTTGATTACATCATAAAACAATAACAAAATATACTCCGACATGTTTGGACCTTGTTGACAATGTTAACTAGTGATGACATTACTGTCAAACTGAATATAGAAGAGTGTTGGCTGTTATCCTATTGTTTGATCAAAATTCAGTTTTATGACTTCTCAATTAAATTAAATTCAAGTATCATCCAGTTTATGTTTCTAGCATGGATATAATTTATTTCACATATCTTGCTTTGACAAATAAGACTCCAATTCAACCTAAAAACTTTACTTTTAAATAAATTTAGGAGCATTTGATTCTTCTGGTCCAGAATAACAAACTGAATTCATAAAAGGATACGGTTCTATCAACCGATACACAAGTGAACCATAACAGCCCTAGCAAGTGAGTGAGTGAGTTTAGTTTTATGCTGCTTTTAGCAATATTCCAGCAATATCATGGCGGGGGACACCAAAAATGGGCTTCTCACATTCTACCCATGTGAGGAATCAAACGTGGGTCTTCGGCGTGACGAGCGACCACTTTAACCACTGGGCTACAACCATGCTTACTTACTCACTCCTGGTAGTATCAGTGAGACAACAAGGTACAGCTTGATGTGACACTCATTCCTGTATCATTACACAGTACCATTTAGAAAGTGAGTGAGTGATTTTAGTTTTACGCCACACTCAGCAATAATCCAGCTATATGGCGGTGGTCTGTAAATAATTGAGTGTGGACCAGACAATCCAGGGATCAACAGCATGAACATCAATCTACGCAATTGGGATACGATGACCATTTAGAAAGTGGTCAAATGTAACACACATTCTATTTGAGACAACACTTTCTCAGTAAAGTACACATTCTAGTACTTTCGGGTCTGAGTCCGATCAGAGTGAGGCACCTAAGGGACCGTTCATAATTTATGGCCAGGGGGTGATGATGATTTTTATGGAGAAGCATGTACAATGTGAATGACCCACCCCTAAAATTTATGTACAAAGTAAGTGGCCCCCCTGCATGTCATGTACAAAATCAATGATCCTCCCTCACCCTTCCAATGTTTTTAAGCATAATTTTTGAATACTTTTATGTACAAAATTGCTGACCCCCCCTACCTCCCTAGAACAAAATGAGTGGACCCCCTAAAATCATCAAACACACACACACACACACACACACACACACACACACACACACACACACACACATAAATTATTATCAGTCCTTAATAGCTACACCAAGTCAGAGATCTATCCCACTCAGCGGTACAAGATACAAGTAGATGCTATCAGCAAATTCCCTTCAGTGTGATTACATGCTATCTTTCTGATTACCTCTAAAGCTCAGTTACAGATATAATATAACATTTTGACCAATTATTATACACAAATTATGGTAAAATCATAATAACAGTAATACTGGTTACAGATAAATCAACTAGTAACCATAGTAACCGTAGTAACTAGGTTGGGATAATTTGACAAAATGAACCAAGCTTCCTGCATACATGCATACAGTAAGCTTTTTCCTGATAACCAGGTATTTTTAAATGGTTTATATCTTATCAACGTCTGACAAATTGTATCTGGAATATTAGATACATATTATATATTTCATAAATCTTATAGAGGAGGCCTGTTTATTATCTGCTAGCAACATAAACTGATGATACTTGGACTTTATTTAACTGAGAAGTCTGAAAATTGAACTTTTGATCATACAATAAGGTGATATACAACATACAGAAGATAACTATTGGGAACCTTTACAAACAATCACCAGGTGGTGAGATAAGGTGAAATGTGCGTTAATGTTGTCTTTAAGATTATTGTACTTGAAATAGCGATGTATGTGTGTGTATACTTGTGTCCGACTGCTGACTCAGTCAGTTTACAGGGATACCCCACACAGACACAGTATACAGTCACAGACACACCCAGTCCTTATCCTTGTAGCCATCACCAGTCAAAGAAAAAACAAGTGTCAACTGTCACCATAATTTGGTATGACACAGCCAGGAATTGCACCTCTAAAGCTCTGCTCACTAACAGAGACTCTGTCCACTAGACCATAAGGCTTTCTCAGTTTAACCTAGACTAGTTTAATGCTTAGTCTCTCATTATGTATAATTTTAATAGTAATAAAAAAAACACAAACATTTAAATTGAAAAGGAGCTCCAGTGACACTGGAGGTTTCCTGAACCCGTGGAAATTTAGACTTGATTCAGTTAATGATTTAGCAATGCAGGGAGGGCAAACTGAAATACATATTAAACTTCTAAAATGCCACTCAAAGACTTTTTAAGTAGGGAAAATGGTAAGACTTCAGCCCGTAAATTTTAACGATGAGGAAAAAAGTCTTTGAGTGGCATTTTTTAGAAGTTTAATATGTCTGTCAGTTTGTTCAGATACAATTAAAGAACATGTTAAAATTCAATCCTTATCAGATGAGAAATATATATTCAGGTGATATGATTTGACTAGAATGAAATTTAAAGGGGGATACGGGCGGAAGTCATTCTGGGACTTTGAGACATGTTTAACCAGGAAGGTCAATTCTCTAAAATCTTCCCTATGTTAAACAGAGGAATTATTTCACAACAGCAGTGCAACCTGAAAATATTTGACAGCAAATTGTGTCTGGGATATAACCCAACATTATTTACTTCTATCACATGATCTGTGAAATGATATGAAATCAAAAACAACATGTCTTAATATTAATACAGCGATAAAAGCATATGACAAGCGTGGTCCTGTGCTCAAAGCTCAAGTCACAAATTGGTGAAGTTAAGCAGCGTCGAGCTTGGAGTCCTTGGATGGGTGACCGTGTTTGGCAGCTTGACTCCTGAGAGTTTCTAGGACTAGAGTCCTGCCCCACAACGAAGCACATGTGACACATGTGGTCTCACCTTAGGCAAGTGAGTTTGTTCAAAATTGTCTCTGTTCACCCAGCAGGAAAATGGGTACCCGGTTGAAAAAGTCATATGACTATAACCTTCTAGCGCCTCACAGGCAGCTTGGGTTATCCGGGGTAATAATGTGCTGTGCCTTGATTGTTAGCGCTATGAGCATACCTAGTGTGGAGTTTGGCGCTATATAAATGGACACATTATTATTTATTATTATTATTATTATTATTAGAATTAGATCCTCTACAAATTCTTCCTCTAGCTAAACAAACTATATTACGTAGTTTAGTCAGCAATTAACTATTACAAAATAATAAATCCATTTAATTAAAATTAACGGTCTCGTCATGTGGAGTTGATGAACAGCTGTTCTGTCTACCGACAGGTAAGACATCACTCAGTTGGCCGGGAGTCAGCTGGTCGGTTCAGTGATCGAGACTGTTGGTCGAGATGTTACGCTAATAACTGAACATAACTTTGATTTAAATGGATTACTATTTTGTAGAATATGGGAAAACTGGACAAAAATAATTCCTACGCGTCTTCGATGCCGATTATGAATGAGAACTGCAATTTGAAGTATATTCTTCACTCCACGTTGATAGATTCATAAACCGGAAGAGGAAATGGCTGTCTGCTAGCATCACTCGGGATCTCTCGGCTTTTTCATCGAGCCGAATGTTTGTTCGGGGAAACTGATCTAAGTAAGGCGATCCGTCAAGCGAAACATTTATCTGTTGAAGTCAAGCATAACAAACGAGTGTATATATACAGTTTACTCGTGTTGAGTCTGTGATAACTATTTTTAAATGGCAGAGCTGATAAATTATCGATTTGTGAATAATACTACAGAGTGGTTTTGTATTATTCCCTCCAGGTATGCCAATTGCAGGTAGAAACAGAATATCTATATATACCCAGTACGTGTCTCGTATAAGGCAGTGCAAGTGTCACACAAATCTTATTTGTGCTGGTTTCAAGAATACATCATAGCTAGTGCAGTAATCCAAGCCTTTCAAGGCTGTACTAAATGATAAGTCCATGGATGATTTCGTGTTCGAACCCCAACCCCCAACCCCCTTTTTGAAAATGACTATTTAATACCACATTGAAGTTAATGTTTTGCAATGGCGGAGCCAAGTTGCCAAGTTGAGGTTCAGGGGTTCGAACCCCTGACACCCCCACCCACCCCGGATCCGCCTATTACTATCACTAACGGGGTCTTTACACTATATATAAGTTAGAAAATAATATTCTACGTTTCTGAAAAATAAAATATTAGCAAAGTTCTGCGTGATGCCTATATTCACAAAATATTGTTTGCTGTCATATGTTAGATGAATAACAAAATTATATGTCTGACTTCCGAACAGTTTGAAATGCATTAATAACTTTATGCAATGAATGAATATCCTTTATGTTGCTGGTTTATATTGATGACAAATTTTTCGATGCATATTTTTTATAGCTGTTGCCATTTTTCAACATTTTCAGATATTTTTATACGTTAATTATTATTGATGTGTAATTTTGTTCTCATTTCCCCCAAGTGATATTGGGTAAAGTTTCACAACTATATCAATGCATTAACAGAGTAAAAATTACAAATCTGCAATAATTATCTTTCATCTATATATCAGATTAACTGGACAACTAACTATCTTTCATAATTATTTAGTACGAATTTACCGTAAACAATACTTGGATAGAATTTTCACTTTGTTTTTGTGTATTTTCTTTGCAAACAAAATCTGGTGGAATATTATTTTTGCTCAATATATAGTTAAATATGATAGTGTGTATTGATATTGATTACATAGAATATCATTATGACAAAATTATTCTGGGTCTCATAAGATTATTTTGTATTACAACATAAAATTTCGTGAACTACAATTATTCGATCACTGTCCGTGGAGTCATAACGAACGAAACACCGCTCGCGCTGCAATAAAGAAGATTGCATCCATACATTGTATATGGTTTTCCTTCCTTACAGCTCCAACTTCTAAATGCCTCTCAAAGAACTTAACGTGACTGCTTCAAGCCAGTTCCTCGTCATTCTGTGAGTGAGTGAGTGAGTGAGTGTAGTTTTACGCCGCACTCAGCAATATTCCAGCTATAAATAGTCTGTAAATAATCGAGTCTGGACCAGACAATCCAGTGATCAACAGCATGAGCATCGATCTGCGCAATTGGGAACCGATGACATGTGTCAACCAAGTCAGCGAGCCTGACCACCCGATCCCGTTAGTCGCCTCTTACGACAAGCATAGTCGCCTTTTATGGCAAGCACATGGGTTGCTGAAGACCTATTCTACCCCGGATCTTCACGGGTCTCGTCATTCTGTTTCCCCGATGAAGTCTGTGTTCTTTCAACAGCAAAATAATGTAACATGCACTGTGTGCAAGATGGTATGATAGGGTTAAATTTTGCAGTTTCAGGCTGCACCACTGCATGTTCGAACCAGTAAATTTTCTTTTTATGCAGACTGAACTTTGATTGACAAACGTCACACGATGTGAAAAAAGTATCCGGAATTATAACTTTAAAGCTCTACTTTCTGAGGCAAGAAAATTGTATAAATTTTACTAGGGCTGCGCAATATAACCGGCTTACCGGTATTTACCGGTTCAGAGATGAAAACGATACGTATTGCGATACGCTGATCGAAAACCGGTATTTTGATTTTCATTCGGAAAACTTCGTAACACTCGGAAATCTTCGGATATTTCCTTGTTTCATATGTGTCAAATATTATTTACATTTATATTTTGTCATGATTAAAAGTTTTTATTAAAGCTTAATCAAGCATTGTGATTTTGTTGTGTTCACGCTTATTAAATCAAGCATTAACTCGATTATGCGTAGTTTTTCGTTTAAAAATACTTCTTGCAATATATAGCAATACATATGGCAATATATGCTTTTGCATCGCAATAGGAAAATTCTCTGCAATACCAACCCCTAAATTTTATTCACACGTGTAGTACAAAAGATGAGCTGTTTATCTGTTTTAACAAAAAGGAAAAGGTTTCATGGACTGGCAGCTTTATATAGCAGACACTACCACCGTTATCAAGCAAGTGATGATATCAAGATAACGGTGTTAGTATTTACACCAAAACGTCGCATCTATAGCAATAAGATGCAATATTTAGACACCCCCCACGTGTCATCTACGGCTGTCAACATGTCAATGAATTATGTTACAACAGACTTTTAAATTTATGTAATTAATTCTAGCAAAGTAAGTTAGATATATCAAAAGGATCACAATAGTTTTTCGGCATCACAACGCACGTGGAATTGTTTGGTTACCGCCGTTGCCATGTTCTAGGTTCCCAAATTCGACCTGATTATAGCTCTTTGTTTGTCAACGCAATACCTTTCCCTTGTTTTTTTACTCAAGTGTTAAACTTTGGAGATCAAAAGCCTACATGACTTCGGGCTTCCCTCCCACATCAAACAGACACGATATAACTGAAACTCTGTTCAAAACAGCGTTAAAGTCACTCAGTCACCCCGACACCCAGGTAGACCGGGGCATTTGTTATTTTTAATCCTTGCCGGCCTTTCACCATAGTGAAAGCGGTTAGATCAAATTTATCAATAACTGAATAGGCAGTGCAGATAGATTAACAACAGTTCACATAGCCCCTAGCCAGAGGAAGGATTTTATTAACCACACCTGTCATGCCAGTAATTGCTACCAACAAACGAATGCCGATGGCAAAAAGTGTGCAGGACACATGCAATCTGCAGTATTATAAAACAGTTCATCCACAAGGTGCACTCGCGGATGTCGCTAGTTCTGAAGCCCATTAGTTCATTCAAAGCTTTCTTTCATTCAGGTAAGAGTTCTTTTATGGTGGTGATGATGATGATGATGATGATGATGATGATGATGATGATGATGATGATGACAATGATGATGATAATGACGACGACGACGATGACGGTCATTAGATCATTCATAGCTTTCTTTCATTCACGTAAGATTTCTTTTATGGTGATGATGATGATGATGATGATGATGATGATGATGATGATGATGATGATGACGACGACGACGACGATGACGGTCATTAGATCATTCATAGCTTTCTTTCATTCAGGTAAGTTTTCTTATGATGTTCTGTAGTGATGATGATGGTGATGACGACGACGATGAGAACGGTGATGATGATTATTATTATTATTAAATGTTTAGACACCTTTGTTCATATCCAATAACTCAGCAGCTCAAATCGGAGTTATTGTGTATGAAAAGTATATCCGTGCCGCTTTATGTTAAGTTCAGTAAAACTACATTGTTTATGAAATTGAGTTATGCATCATTTAATTCATATTCCTGAGGACATCTCGACTTAAAAGTCGTTATTCATATTTTCATGTGCATGTTACGGCACGGCGCGCAGTTTGCATATCCGTTGGGAGGATGCTACTGATACGAGTCATTTTAATGTGGACAGCATATACAAGGGTTGCATATCATTAACAACAGTTTTGGATAATTTTTGGGGTCATTGAGTTATGTACTCGCTTGTGTTCATCTCAATTGGGTATCCTAGTAATTTTCCTTTGAGTAACTAAATAAATTGTACCCACCTCACTCAAACTCAATTGGGTATTTTGCCATTTTCGATTAATTTTTAAAATATAACAAGTTTAAATGGTATTTATATTGGATCTGTAATATGAGAAACGATAAAAAGTTGCAAGTTGGCAAGTTCCTGTGTTGAAATAGAACCTCTCAATTTACCTCAGTTATTTTATCTATGCACCGGTACGCAAGCTAAGATTTGACATTTTTGTGTGTACGCTTGTAAGATCAAATTTATAGAGTATTTACAAAAATTCAAGCGTACTTGTACGCAATTGACTTAATGAGAATTGTGTTTTCAAACAAATATTTTCGTAATTTACGCAGATATGCATCTTATCTGTACCTCTGCAATTCGCAGTAGAAAAATATGCAAACTGCTTTAGTTGGGATACAAATGTCAAAATTGACCTTAATAGTATAATTTATTATTAAGAGTGAGTGAGTGAGTTTAGTTTTACGCCGCACTCAGCAATATTCCAGCTATATGGCGGCGGTCTGTAAATAATCGAGTCTGGACCAGACAATACAGTGATCAATAGCATGAGCATCGATCTGCGCAATTGGGAACCGATGACGTGTCAACCAAGTCAGCGAGCCTGACCACCCGATCCCTTTAGTCGCTTATTATTAAGAAAGCATAATAGATTGTGCAGATCCGGGCTAGAATTGGTCTTCATGATTGTCATAAGAGGCGAGGTAAGAAGGCGGTGAGACTCGCTGACTTGGCTGATGCAGGTCATCGTATTCCACTTGCGTAGATCGATTCTTATGATGTTGATCACTGGATTGTCTGGTCCATGAATATAAACAGCAAACAAATGGAAGTATAATAGTTCTTCTAATGAGACCAAATGATGCCCCAACAGATTTAACCGGACATTATTAATCATTCAAATATGACTTAACTAATTACGACATATGCTTAAAAGTTGGAGCAAAACATCAGCAAACGTACCCAACCTTTAGTCCTGAAAGTTTAATAAATGACCATTGAAACTCTCGTGAAAATGA